AGAGAGGACAGGAAATCTTCAGTTAAGTCCTGGCCCTCCTGAAGATGAGCATCGAACACACATCGCTTAGTTTGGCCATGCTTTGGTTCTTCTGAATAAGCGTTGAAGCTTTTCCAGAGGAATCCCGAGCTTGCAATTCCAGCTTCCACAGCCAGACTTGATGTCTGTGTTTAGGCTGACATCTCTGCTCCCCTGGTCACAGTCACACACCTAGGCATCAGATGGTCTTTCTGACTATTCTTTTTTTTCTCCTTAAAAAGAGTTCTAGTCCAGCCTGGGCTACACAGTGAATTCCAGGTCAGCCGGAGTAAGAAAAAGAAATCTCTCCATAGATAAGACATAATAATAATACAATGCATGTTGTGTGTATAGAAAGGATCAGAAAATGCCAATCAGAAATATTTAGATAGAAAGAAACATTTCCCCTGCTCTTCCCCATATCCTGAGAGAAAGCCTCACTATGTAGTCCAAGTGGCTTTGTACTCATAATCCTCCTGCCTCAACTTCTCAGCTGCTGGAATACAGATCCACATCATCACATCCTGCTAGAAATGAGGCTTTTTGTAAGTGAAGCATAGGGTACTTCTCAGCAGGTGTGGTGGTGCGCGCCTTAGAGGCCAGCACTCTGGTAACATGGGCAGGCAGATCTCTTCTACACAGAGAGTTCCAGGCCAGCTAGGGCTATAGTCAGGCCTCGTCTTCCAAAACAAAACAAAAATCATTACTTTTGAAAGCTGATAAATCTTTGGAATCTGAGTTCTCTGCTCTACCATTTTGGGGTAATTTGAGGCAATTGGTTGAAGAAAGGACCGAGGAAAATGAAGAAATTTTCCACTTCCAATCCTGTATCTACCCTCTGGGTTAGGACTGAGGACTGGTACCAATGTACTCAAGCCCCAACTGTGAATGCAGTGGGACAACCAGGAAGACATTGACTTAGTGTGGGTCAGCTGCTGTGGATCAGCAGGTCCTGTCCTGGAGACTGAGGATAAATGGGCACTGCAGGAGAAAGGCTGCAGTGAGGACATGGACAGGGCAGACACAGCTGCTGTCAACACCATCCTACAGACAGTGGGCACATCCTTCCTTTGCAGGCATCAGCTGAGTGAACCCCTAATGACTTCTGGTTACACAGGCTTCTCCGCTCAGATAGCTCACAGCAGGAACTGTGTTCTACACTGTGAAATCTGATGCAGCATAGACCCACGGGCTGGCACACTCAGAAAGAGTGGCAGAACACATGGTCTTTAAAGATCTGCTCCTCTCTCGGTGGAAAGGCTTTGCCACAAACTGGACATTTCAAACAACTGATCTGCATTTGCTGCTTCTCCAAGGTCTGCTCACGGATTTTATCAGCAAGGATGGCAGCAAGCAGGCTGGGAGGAGGAGAACTCTTTTGGGTACCAGAATACGGGTTTCCATATACAAGGCTTGGGTTTTGCCTACCAGCTCCTTGAACTGAAGGTTGCATTTGATGTGGCAAGGAGTCACCTTGAGGGCCCATGTAGTCCATCAGTCTGTTATTCTCTTTCTTGAGGGTAGTGTTTTCTCTTTCCAGTTTCTCTTTCTCTTTCTTCAGAACATCAGATACAATCTTGCTGTCACTTAGCATTCTTGATACGCCAAAGTTCTCGTCCTTTAGCTCCTGTTGATTCTTCTTGCCACAGTTCCTTTCTGTGTCATCTTTTCCACTGTCTGCTCAGGCTTCATCTGCTGCTCCTTCTGTTCAGCTGCACTGAGGACGAGCTGGCTAGTCTCATCTTTGAGATGTTGCAGCTGCTGTGTCTTGTCTTGGTCTCTTAGAGCAAGCTCCTCCATTTCTTTCTCTCAAGTTGACAGTTGGGCCTGAAGCTGTTTGACTCTGATCCCCATCTTCTCATTTTCAGAGGGTATCTCTGGTTGTATTCTTTTATCTGGAGCAGCTCAGTCTCCCAACAGGCCTTTTGCTCTCCCACTTTCTGTTCTAGCTTCTTACAGATGTCCTGCAGTGCCTCCTGTTTCCCCTGGAGCTTGGCCCATGCATCTGGCTCTTTACAGTCTTCCAGCTGGTGTTCCCGCTGGTGGCTGAAGATAGAATGGATTCTTTCTTTGGACCCAGGAGGATGTTTGTTTCTGCAAGACCATTTTCTGTGGGTAGCATACACTGTGTGAAAACCTTAACCTAGTGTGATAGCAAAGCTTGCACAGTTAGAAATACTTGTTTCCACATGTTTGCTGGGGTCTAGGCTCTAGAAGCAGCCCTGTATTGACTGATGTCTGCTTAGCTGAAACCCTGAAGAAGCTAGGTATTCAGATGCTAACAGAGGCCAGGTATAGTGGAGGGGACCTTTAATCCCAGCACTTGGGAGGCAGGGGCAGAGGCGGACAGATCTCTGTGAGTTCCAGGACAGCCAGAACTACATAGTGAGACCCTATCTTGAAAAAGAAAACAGATGCTAACAGGTATCAGTGTGCATTGTGATTTAGTTGCACAATACTGAACTATGTCAAGAACTCAAGACCATGCATCTCTGTATCTGGGACAGCTGTGGAGCCACCCTGTCACCAGCTCACTTATATAAATGGCCCATTTGCCTGTTAAGGAATGATCTTTTCTACAGATGCAAATTTTCCAGTGTAATGAAACCAGGGTCCTTTCTGATTGCCCAAACTCTTCCTCCCTCTCCTCCCTCCCCTCCCCTCCCTTTCTCCCTCCCTCCTTCTATTCCTCCCTCCCTCCCTCTCTCCCTTCCTCCCCCCTTCCCCCTCCTTTGGAAATAAAAATCAACATTGGTATTCACTTAGAAATTCATGTACTGTACTTTGATCATATTCACCCCATCTCCTCTTTAAACCCAGATGCACCTCATCTCTCTACTTCCCCAATTTTGTATCCTCTTTTTTTTTTTTAAATAACTCATCAACTCCAATTTTTGCTGCCAATATACTTCTAGTGATGGGCCATTCGCTACATCGTGGTTGACCTACTAGGAGCTGAAGCCACCAACCATCCATGGCTCCTCAGTTAGGGGTGGGGACTCAATGCTGGAGTGTTGACTGGTTGATCTTGTGTGGTCTTTGCAGTAACCCTGTTATATCTAGTAGATGGATGCTGTTCTGCTCTAGTCTACCCAAATCTCTGACTTCTAGAATCTTTCTAGAATCTGATGGTCCCTCAGTCTTGGGTAGTGGTATGATATAAATAAATGTCCCTTTTGTGGCTGGGCACTCTCCAGTCACTCTCTGTGCTTTGATCAGTTGTGGGTTTCTGTGTTAGCCAGCATCCACTGCACAAGGAAACTTCTTTAAGGTCTGATAACTGCACTAATCCTTCAGTAGAAAGATAGGGATTTAGACAACAGATCGATAGTGTCCACTTAACAAAATAATAATTGTAGGTTCACCCCAGAGACCTTTGAGCTAGCTCCCCAGCCATGGGTACTTGACCAGGTTTGCAGTATCAGGCATGCATCTCCTCCTGTGGAACAGGCCTGCTATCCAGTCAGAAAGTAATTGGCTACCCCATAACTCAAGCCACTGTTGTACCCATGGGCTGCTACTCTGGTCATTATTGCAGTTCACTAGGTTCATAGCTCAGTAAGACTCTTTCTGACTCCCCACCAACCCCAGCAGCCTATGCAGCACTTTCTAGTACTAGCCAACAGGAAGGAAGCTTCCTGGTCAGTGCTAACTTGATATCCCCATCCCTGTGAGTAATGTCTGTGGTGTCTGCAGAGAGAGGGTCTTATCATCGAGTTCTGGTGGGCAGTCAAGAGCAGTGGTGATAGTCTATTGTTTTGGCTGTCTCTGGGATGCCTTTGACCAGCAATGTCAGGAAAAGTACGTCACACAACCTGGAAGAGGGTAACCAACTGAAAATGCCTGAAAAAAGACATGAAAACCTGCTATTTTATAAGCTTCCTAAATAAATGCATGTGTGAATTTAAAAGTTTAATTGGGCCTTGCCTCCTTTTAAATTGTGTGTGTTTGGGGTTTGGGGCTGAGTGTATGTATGTATGTATGTATGTATGCTTTTATGAAGGCAAAAGATCAATTTTCTTTAGGTGCTGCCCATTGTGCTTTGTGTGTGTGTGTGTGTGTGTGTGTGTGTGTGTGTGTGTGTGTGTGTGTGTGTACCATGCACATAGGCAAATGCTGTGAAACACATGTAGAGGTTAGAGGACAACTTGTGCTAATCAGTTCCATATGTGTTCTGGGGATTGACTCAGGCTCTCAGGCATGGCAGCAAGTGTCTTCACCTGCTGAGCCATCTTTCCAGCCTTATGAGGACTTGAGCTCAAGTCCCCAGAACCCACATAAAATCTGGGCAAAGCACAAACCTCTGTGATCCCAGCACTCTTGTGTGGAGACGGGAGCCAGAGACGCTCCAGAAGTTCATGGGAACCAGAGACAGGAATGCCCTCAAAGTCAATGAGAGACAGACACGGGAATTCCCCAGAAGGTCATGGGAGCAAGAGATAGGAATACCCTGGAAGTTCATGCTCCAACCAGGGGAAAAAACCAGAAGAACGCCCCTATCAAACAAGGTGGGAGATGAGGACAGACACATGAGATTGTCCTCATTTGTACTGTGTGCCCCCATTCCTGCATGTGCATGCACGAGAGTATACATACACACCATAAAGCCTACAAGCTGGAAACTGTAAAGAGTCAGATGTTTGCACACTGGAGTGGGAAAACATTCTAGCTCCCTGAAGGTAATCACCTTTGTAGTTGCTTTCTCAGGACCTTACATTCCATCTCATCATACAAACCTGTATTTTCAAGACTGATGATTGTTCCGTGTATAGGTGAAAACAGAGGCTTTGTTTGTTGTTTTCTTTGTTTTTTCAAGACTGGATTTCTCTGTGTAACAGCCCTAGTTGTCCTGGAACTTCCTTTTAGACCAGGCTGGCCCTTGAACTCCCAGAGATCTACTGCCTGTGCCTCCCAAGTCAGGCGTGTGCCATCACCGCCAGTGAAAACATGAGTTTTTAAACAGTGACTCCTTTGCTTTTCAGATAAGAATTTTGATGATGAGGATTCTGTGGATGGAAACAGACCTTCTTCTGCCAGCTCCTCTTCATCCAAGGCTCCATCCAGTTCCCGGAGGAATGTTAGCATGGGGACTACCCGTCGACTTGTATCATCCAGTCTTGGATCTAAGTCTTCAGGTAAGACCACATCCTGGGTGACGACATCCTTTGTGATGTGATGTGCTGGGGTCCCGCTAGGCATGAACAAGTTCCCGTGTGCACATTCTTGCTTACAGACTTTGCTTGGCCTGGTACCTCTCTGTTGATGCCCATGAGCTGGTAATGGTACTCTAAGATGCCAGATGGACTCACCGCGTACTAGTGAGTCCAGCCAGTAAACACGTAGACAGTACAGGGGAAAGCACAGCCTAAGACGAAGATTAATAACATGCCGCAAGCCCCATTTAGTTATCTGGAACCAGTCTTGCCTTGACCAGCATTGGGCATTTTACCAAATCTGTTTGTTAAGACCAGACGCCAGATTGAAAATTGTGAAAAATATGATTTGTCCATACAGGTAGCATTTTCCCTTGTGAAGATCAGTGTGAGTACTGAATAAATAAATAGTAGGAGGCCCAGTGAGATGGCTCAGCAGTTAAAGACACTTAGTGCACAAACCTGGTGATGACAGGGTTCAGTCCTCGGACCCTCCTTCCCAATAACTCTCTGTCTTAGACAGTTAGACTTCTAGTTATTATACCTCTTTTTGCTTCTCATTTTAAATTTACACACCTTTTCCTTACTCTTTACCTCTAAAAGATTGTATAGCCACTTGCTTTAAAACCATGGTCACTGATGGTTGTGTCTTGGGATTGAGGGTTGAGAGGTGGGTAGAATCCCGCAGCTATGAAAGCCAGAGTTGAATAGGCTCAGTGAACTCCTGAGGGAGGAGGCCCTGGAGTGCTGCCCCCTGGTGTTCTCTTCTGGGTGAAGGAGGGTCTTAGGAGTGATGGCCTCTGGAATGACAGTATCTTGACTGGATTCACAAGGGGCCACTGTTCCTCTCCAGCCCAGTCATCCCGCCCTGGGAGCTGCATTGGCCACAGGAAGACCAACGTTACTTTGCGTCATGTGTTTGTTATTCTTTCTAATCATCTTGAGTGCTGTTAGTTTTTTGTTGTTGAGTTTATGTTTATTTAACATAAAATTCACTATTTTAAAAGATTTATTTACTTTTATTTTAGTGCACAAATGTTTAGTGCACATGTATGTGTGTCACTGTGTGCATATCTGGTTCCTGCAACATAAGGTCCCCTGGAACTGGAGTTAGAGATGATTGTAAACCAGTCTAGGTTCTCTGCAAGAGCAGTAAGTGCTCTTAACCTCTGAGCTATTGTAAAGGGAAATATTTTCAGTGTTTCATTCGCCTCCCCTATAGTATGTATCAAGACCCCATGCGTGCACACATGCACTCACGTGTGTATACTCAGGCATGCTTGTAGAGGTCAGAGGACAACTTTGGGGATGTCATTTCTTTGCTTCTGTGATTTGGGTCTCAGGAAGCAAATTCAGATTGTCAGACCTGGTGACAAATTCCTTTACCGCTTGTCCCACCAATTTCTTCCTAATGCATTTTTCTATTTTGACCTCCCGCTGAGTGATGCTAGTTCCCTAAACAAGGGCTAGACAATTTCTGCGTGATCTGGTTGCTGCTTTCCTGGCCATCTGTCAACCACAGCCTCTCCAAAAGTCTCCACTTGGTCAGTTTCCCCCAGCCATAACCTCATCCTTTCTTTGTTTAACACCATGGTCCTGACTGCTTTGCAGATCCTGTGGGCTCAGAGGCCATTGCTGTCTGCTCACAGTGCTCTAATCATTTGCTAAAGCAGCTCTCAGGTCTGCATCATAGCCTGTGACTGATGTGTGAACACATTTACGGATACCTGGGCTGTCTGTTTCTTGTTTCATTTTCTCTAGCAGGTCCGCAGGGCCCTAACAGCAAGTCACATGTCTCATAAGAGCAGACATGCTAATCTATATAAGTCATTGCTGGGGTTTCAAGGATGAGCACAGACACCAGTGTAAAAACTTAAGGAGCAGAGCAAGACGAAGTTGTCATGGATGGGGAAGCAGATGTCGTTTCTTCCTATGGCAGGACAGAGTCGCTAGACAGCCTCAGCGTGATCCAGATACACTTTCCTGCTCTTCCCTCACCAGCCCTTCTGGAAGTCCCCCTGGACCAGTTTTGCCCTCAGCCCTGCCCCGTTTTAAGTGTACAGGGCATCTTAACACAGCTTTGTGGGAGAAACTTGAATTGGTGCCTAAATAAAACTTCGAGGCACCGGAGAGATGGCTCAGCAGCAGGAGTGCTGGCTGCTCTAGCAGAGGGCCAGAGTTGGCTTCTGGCATTCACACCAAGCAGCCTACAACTGCTTGTGAGCAGCAGAGGCTGCAGTGCCCTCAGGCTCTGTGTGCAACCAGGCACAGTGCACACAGCCACACACAAGCTCCTACACATAAATGAAATCAATCTGTTTTTATGAGTTTCAAATATTCCAAAATACAGTTTCAGTTATGTATCGGAATAATTCGGTAGTATATGTTTTATATAGTGTTCATATTACCTTTTTTAAAATTGATTTTTGTTTTGTAACAGCTGCAAAAGAAGGTGCTGGTGCTGTGGATGAAGAGGATTTTATTAAAGCCTTTGACGATGTGCCCGTAGTGCAGGTCAGTGTCGGTCGGTGCTGCTGTTCAAGTCAGGGCAGTGACTTGAGAAATGGCTTTGTGGTTTAGAGCCGTTGCTGTTCTTCCAGAGGACTGGGTTTTGGTTCCCAGCACGTGAGTGGGATGCTCACAAGTGCCTGTAACCCCAGCTCCAGGGCATACAACACCCTCTTCTGGCTTCTGCAGGTACCTACAAATGTCACACACACACACACACACACACACTCTCTCTCTCTCACACTCTGCAGGTACCTACAAATCTCTCTCTCTCTCTCTCTCTCTCTCTCTCTCTCTCTCTCTCTCTCTCTCTCTCTCTCTCTCACTCTCTCACACACACACACACACACACACACAGACACACAAGAGTAATTAAACAAATAAATAAACCCTTTCTAAAAAAATAATCAAGGTAGAAAGTCTTTAGATTTCATTTTTCAGACATACCTTTATGGTTAGAGTAATGAAAAGCCTGTGGGACTAGTTTTTATAAAGTGAAAAGATTCATTTTCCTCATAACTTTGGAGGCCCAAGGTATGGAGTATATGGAGCAGGCTCAAGAACCATGCCTTGATCATAATACTTCATGGTGTGGGGAAGATGGCCCAGGGACAGCAGACAACTCCTGTCAGACCACCAGAGAGAGCACAGGGTGGGGTCAGCTCAGGCTTTCATTAACAACCCATTGCCTCCCCAGTGACCCAAGGCCTTAAAGAGCCCACCCCTTCTTAGTCGAACCACCCAGGCTCCTAACCTTTTCACACAGCGGACCTTGGGGACTCATATCCAAGGCATGATCCCACTGCAGAACCCTTTACCCTTCAGTGTGGAAACTGAGATTGTCAAGACTAGAGATCTCAGGTACAGATTAGAAAATGTGGGAGCCCTGTAAGCGTCCAACAGGTGCAGTCTCCAGAAGGGCAGGAAAGGTGTCTCTGCAGAGGAAACTAGTTTGTCACGTTCAGAAAAGAGATGGTTGGTGATCAGTTAGAGAAGATAGCTGCATATTTAAGAACTTTTTCTTAAATGAACTTTCTTTATGAACTATAAGGTTTTGGTACCTACAAAGCTGAAGAGAATGGTTCACAGAAGCGTGGCTTACACTCTTTGATGCCTTATTTAACAAATGAGGTACTGGGGCCTCCCTTCTGCCTGTTCTGACTCTCTGTGCGCCATGCTGTGGGTTTCTGCGGCACTTGGTTAGGTCACCAACTGAAGCTCCCCTTGCTACCTGGGGTCATACTGTCCATCAACTGGCAGGCTCCATGGGCCTTCCTTAGTGCTTGGCCTCTTGAGTAAAGTCTCACAGTAGGATTGAGGACCAACGAGGGAGTAGACTTGAGTGTCAAATGAGAGCTAAAGAGCTTGCCCTAGAAGCCCGGTGCTCTGGTTTCCTTTCCATTGCTGATAAACATTGCCCAAAAGCAGTAGTGAAAGAGAGGATCTGGTTGGCTTATTCCAGGTCACAGTCCATCCTTGAGGGAGCTCAGGGCCGGAAGTACATGGCAGGCCTGCTTGCCGTTCCACACAGCTCTCCACCTCTTCCCAGGAAATTCACTCACAGTCCATGAAGTACAGCAGAAGCGATAGGGGTGCTGCTCGCTGGCATAGTCTGAAATCCATGCTTAGCAAGCTTTCTTTTCATAGACTCCAGGAGCCCCTGCTCTGGTGCCACTACAATGGGCGGGGCCCTTCTGCATCAGTCAGCAGTCAAGACAGTGCTACACACCAGCATTCCCACGGGCCAATATGATCTAGGCAATCCCTCTATTGAGACATCCTTCTCAGATGGTTGCAGTCTGGGTCAAGATCATCCTTAGAGCCTTTTAGATGATGGCTAGGATGCCTGATGGCCTGAATTTGATTCCTGAATCTTACAGGAGAAGTTTAGGAGTGATTGCCAGAAGTTGCAGTACACCATGGGACACTTGTCCCATCATACCCATTCAGTAATAAGTTTTTTTTTTTAAAAAATGACTAATGCATCACTGTCTATTGTGTTCTTTCTCTTGTACATAAACTCCCCTGTTGCATTTCTAGTAAAGATGTCCAGAGCAAGGTGGCTTTCATGTGGCCCCAAATCTGGGGGTTCTGCTGATTACGGGTCTGGGCTCATTGAGATGAGCATGCCCAGAGAATCCCTCATGGGGATTCTCTTATTATTCTTCCTTGACTTTGTATATTTAAAAATCATCTTAATTCTGTACATTGTTGTCTGTTGAGTTTAAATTAACTTTGCTTCCAGATTTACTCTAGCCGAGACCTGGAGGAATCCATAAACAAAATTAGAGAGATCCTATCAGATGACAAGCATGACTGGGAACAGAGAGTCAATGCCGTAAGTGCTGCTTTCCTGTCGTTCCGTTATGTTTATGTACTCTTTTACACACATAGAAATACTCTATACATAAATTACCGCCTGTATTGAGCTGGAGAGGTGGCTCAGTGGTTAACAGCACTGGCTGCTCTTCCAGAGGACCTGAGTTCAATTCTCAACAACCACATGGTGGCTCACAACCACCTGTAATGAGATCTGGTGCCCTCTTCTGGCTCGCAGGTTACATGCAGACAGAACACTGTGTACATAATAAATAAAGAAAGAAAAAAAGGGGAGCGGGGAATGATCTCTGTGAGTTTTAGGCCAGCCTGGTCTACAGAGTGAGTCCTAGGACAGCCTCCAAAGCTACAGAGAAACCCTGTTTCTAAAAATCAAACAAACAAAATAAAATAAAGCAAACCAACAACAAAATTACCACCTGTACATTTTACTTTGCAATTACATTACCTTATTTTCTTTATTGTTTGCTTATGACTTTTGGTTTTTTAGTTTGTTTCAAGGTAGTCTCACTATGTTCTTGTTTGCTTTCTGTCGATGGATAAGCACTATGATTAAAAGCAACTTGGAAAAGAAAGGGTTTATTTGACTTATTGGTTTTGTCCATCACTAAAGGAAGCTAGGACAGGACCTGGAACCTGAAACCTGTAGGTAGGCTCTGAAGTAGAGACCATGGAGGAATGCTGCCTACTGGCTTCATGGCTTGCTCAGCCTGTTTTCTTACATAGCGCAGGACCACCTGCCCAGAGGTGGCACCACCTTCAGTGGACTTGCCCCCCCCCATCAATCATCAATTAAGAAAATGTTCCAAAGACACACCCACAGTACAGTCTGATAAAGGCAATTCAATTGAGGTTCCCTCTTCTCAGATGACTTGAGTTTATATCAAGCTGACAAAAATTAATGATAAAATTACTTGCTGTATAATCCATGCTAGCCTTGAACTTGGGATCTCCTGCTTTAGCTTGTGGAATGTTGAACTTCATGGTCATGTGCTCCCACACCCAGCCCTACTTCTGTTTTTAAAACATATCCAACTCGCTGGGAGTGGTAGCACATGCCCTTAATCCCAGCATTTAGGGGTTGGAGGCAGGCAGGCAGATCTCCATGAGTTTAAAGCCAGCCTGGTCTACATAGAGAACTGCAGGACAGCCAGGGCTACATAGAGAGATGCTGTCTCAAAAGCAAATACACAGCAACTTAAGGACTAAAGAGGTGACTCAGCAGTTAAAAACACAACTGCTTATTCTCCAGTTCTGGGAGCCAGTACCCTTCTCTGGCCTGCATGTGCTCCTGTGTCCTTGTAGTACACATATATTCATGCAGGTGCACACATACACCTAAAATGTGTGTATGTGTTTTTTAAATGAAATCAAATTTGTCATGGATGCTACATTTAAAATGCTTAGTTTTGGTTTAATTAGTTCATTGTATACTAGTTAATAATTAGCTGCCCAATTTGTCTTTGCAAAGGTGGTTTCTAGGGGTAGAAATTCAGCAGTTAAGAGTACTCGATGTTCTTACAGAGGCCCTTAGCTTGGTTACCAGCACCTATATCAAGTGACTTACAGCCACCTGTAACTCCAGCTCCAGGGGATATGACACCCTCCTCTGGCCTCAGTAGGTGCCTGCACAAATTGCTTCCTATTATCAGTTAACTTTTATGTTATATTATATTGACAGCTTTTTGTTATATAGATTCAGTGTTTAGCAATGTTTTCCACACCTGACTTTTCTTTTCCCATTAGCTAAAAAAGATGAGGTCATTGCTCTTGGCTGGGGCTGCTGAGTACGATAACTTCTTTCAACACTTACGTCTTCTGGATGGAGCCTTTAAACTCTCAGCTAAGGACCTGCGGTCTCAGGTAGTGCGGGAAGCTTGCATCACATTGGGGTAAGGACTGAAATGTGCTACTTTCACCCACACTGTATCATAGCCCTTCTCTGAGCTTTAAAGAGAACTGCTTGAGCATGTCTGTGGGGTCACCTCTAGCTGGTGTGCAACACTTCTGTCCATACCATTAGAGGAGTTGCTGCCCAGCTATGTAGAGTGTTGGATTTAAATTTTCCATTTGACATCTCTGAAGCCTCCATTGTACTACTAATAGAAAAAAATGAAATTGTGTGGAATTCTGTCTTTGAGATCTTTTCTTGATTTTTTTTTTTAACATAGGTTACATGTGTATTAGGACATTTGTTTATTTCTCAAAGAGTGCTGTAGCAATAAATACAGGACTGTGGGTACCCAACCCTCAGTTCAGTACTCAGAACTGGAGAAAGAGAAAGAAGCTTAACAAAAGGACTACTAAACTGAAATGCTGTGTTTATATGAGCCAGAATATTAAAGCAGTAACCATAGCAGCTGGCAAGCATTGTACCTGTATAAAATTTTAGTTTAGGTAGATCTTAGAGCATCATGTTTTATATGCAAAACAAAAAATAGAAAGGGACAAACATTGTGTTCCCACTACATGTTTGTTAGAACGTCTTTGGTCTTGGTGGGGTTGGTTTTTGCTCTTTCAATACGTGTTTGGAAATTAAGAAAATGATTGGCTGATGGCTTTACCAAGTTCTCTACTTGTGCACTTTAAATTCTTTTTTAAGATATCTTTGACCTTTGCCTTTTCTCTCTAGAGAACTGTTGGGGGCGGGACTGTCAGATGTTGAGAGGCTCAGTGCTTCCCCGTGTGTGAGACTGTGACTACAACTGGTCCTTTCCCGTTGCAGGCATCTGTCATCAGTTCTGGGAAATAAGTTTGATCATGGAGCTGAAGCCATTATGCCAACCATCTTCAATTTAATCCCAAACAGTGCCAAAATTATGGCTACTTCTGGTGTTGTAGCTGTTAGGCTAATCATTCGGGTAAGTAGAGGGTGGGAGAGGTAGATCCTGCTGGCTGATGGGACAGAACAGGCACTCCTTCTGAGGGGGACTCTACCATTGCAGTCTGTCTGCACATGCAGCAGTGTGTCTTTCCGTGGGTGACAGTGCTCCAAGCTGCAGGCTTGTGCTGTGTCTTGTGAGCTGCACACAGTTGCTGACATCATTGACTCACCTGCCAGTGGTTCTAAGTGCCTGACCGGCCAGAGCATTGGGTTTCTGTCTCCCCTCCACCACTTTGGTTCTTCCTTCCGTGTTAGCTGTTTGTACTGATGGTTGCTGTTTTCCTGAATCTCATTTTACTAATTGCAGCAAACGAAGGATCTCTTCATTGAGTTCCCTAGCACTTACGGTAGTGTGAGCAGTAGCCAGGTGTTAGTAATCCTCCTGTGTGTTTTCAGGAAGAGTATAAAAACCTCCTCTGCTCCCTCCTTTCCACTACCCTCAAGGCAGCTGCCTACCACCAAGTCTGAGGACCCAAGTTCGATCCTCAGGACCCTCATGGTGAAAGGAGACCCAACTCCCACAAGTGACCTCTGACTTCTGCACATGCGTATGCTGGAGCACACACATAATACATAATTGAAAAATCTTGAACCTCTGCCCAATCCCCATAAGATACTTAGTATCATTTTCATTCTTACTGTTCCGGCTTGCCCTTACTTGTAATATTAAACCCAAAGCCATTGTATTTTTCCATTGAGACAATGTCAGGATGGCTCAGCACGAGGCCCCATGCATGCACACTGTGTCAGCTGCTAGTGTGCTTTAGGCCCCCTACCTCAGAATGCCGTGACTCCAGACTGATTCCTATTGCCTCTTGTCTGTAGTGGCTTTGTCAGTTCTATAGTATTCATTTCAGGGAATTCTGTTCCCTTCTTGAGCGCTGGCATTTTGGCCTCATGCTGTGAGGCAGTTCTGTTGTGTCTTGTTCCGGGTCTGTGTTCCAGGTGCTCATCTCTGTCTCCACCCCTCTCCACAGCACACGCACATCCCTCGGCTAATCCCTGTCATAACAAGCAACTGTACCTCTAAGTCTGTCGCAGTTAGAAGGTACGTGTTGGAAGTTCCTCTTACTATCTTTTGGTGTCTAAAAACAAGCTGAACACCAAACCTCCTTCCAGGGATAAAGTTTCACATATGAACTTGTTATTATTTAAGATCACTGTACCAACTGCTTCTTGGTCCAAAATCAGTAAAATATTTTGTGGCTGGCAAGATGTTTCAATGGGTAAAAGTACTTGTTGCCAAGCCTTAGGACCTGAGTTCATCCCCAGGACTCTCAAAAGTTGTTTTCTGGCATGTGTGAGCATGTGTGCATATACAGACATACACAATTACGATCTTAAAAATATTTTAAAGATTTTTTTTTTTTTTTTTTTTTGGTTTTTATGAGACAGGGTTTCTCTGTATTGTTTTGGAGGCTATTGGTCCAGCCCGGCCTCAAACTCACAGAGATCCGCCTGCCTCTGCCTCCTGAGTGCTGGGATTAAAGGCGTGTGCCACCACCGCCCAGCCTATTTTAAAGATCTTAATATCTTGGAGAGAGGGAGAGAGAGGGAGGGGGGGAGAGAGGGGTGTGTGCGTGTGTGTGTGTGTGTGTGTGTGTGTGTGTGTGTGTGTGTGTGTGTCCCTCAGAACACTGGCCTAGTCTTTGCTTCTTTACCCCTCCTTTTTCTGTTTTACCCCCCTGAAATGAAACTTATCTACTCAAAAGATAAACTGATTGATTTAAGCAAAAAGCTGTTTTATTTTCACCAACAGACACCTTACTAAGTTCTTTGTTTCTTTCTCACCACATTTCAGGCGCTGTTTTGAATTTTTAGATTTACTTTTACAAGAATGGCAGACACATTCACTAGAAAGGTAAGTGTCTATGATTCCCAACCATTCCCTGGCCTGAGAGTCTGGGGATGAGTGCCTCAGCAAGGAGTCCGCTCCATCCTGTATAAGGAAGGAGTGAATCAAACATATGCTCAGTGACTGTTGTTTCTACTGATGGGAGCCACTTCATACTGCAGAAGCTTTAGGGAACAGCATCCTTCCAGATACTAGTATGTTATGGCTTGTGTAGCTCAGTTGGTAGGGTGCTTGCCTAGCATGTAAGAGGCCCTGAATTCCATCCTCAGTCTTAAATAAACTGTGCCTGTAATCACAGTGGGGGCAAGGGGTGAGGGGGGGAGCGAAACAGAGGGAGGAGGGAGGGAGAGGATCAAAAGTTCCAGGTCATCCTCAGATATGCTGGGAATTTAACACCAGCCTGGGCTAATGACCATGTCTTCAGAAAAACAAAACTAATATTCCCCCAGCAGGCAGTATGCATTACCATTATTATTCCATAGAGGGCACTATCCATACAGTGCTGTTCGAAGCTTAGTGAAGGAATTTCACCCATTTGAGGTTTTTTTAATTCCTTCTGTCATTGGTCAGCCGTTGTCTTTATGGCGGTTTGTAGCCGGCTACTTTTACATATCAGAATTTAGAAGAAGCACTGTGTCGGGCTTTCTAACCAACCTTGTACCCTTTCATTTTTGACATTTTCACTTCTGTGCTCCTGAGTTTGGAGGCGATGGGTGGTAGTGGTTTGCCACGCTTTTGAATGGTTATCATAGTTTTCAAGCATTTTTCATCATAGTGGCAATAGACTCCAGGGAATTCATCTCAGTGATTATAGAGATCAAAACCAAGAGTCAGACTGAACTCTTAAGCAAATTTCTAATCACAAGCACTGCTTCTGAGGAGCCGAGGCTGCCTGCCAATGGAGAAAAGAGCGAAAGCTTGACAGTTTGTGCAGAGATCTCGTGCGTTGGTCATGGAGGCAGTAGTCTTTGGGAATTTTGTCTGTATTGTTTAAGGAGATTTTCCTGTTATAACATGCACATCACGGGCTACTTTTTCCCTGGAAATCTTTGTGTCATCCTGTCCAAGATATTTTTTTTTTCTCTCTTAATACGGCAAAGGGATAAGAGATAGGCATGCTGCATTGAGGCGCAGGCCTTGGATAACATGGATTATGTATGAAGAGTGTAGAACTTCTTTGGTCTTCAAAAGCTAAATAAGTATGGCTTTAATGGGAGTTATTGGGATTTAAAAGTAGCTATCCACATCCTTCTTCAGGAGTAGGGTGGGGGATGGGAAAGAGGACATTGGTGAGGAGGTGGACATGCTCTTAGCCTCTAAGCTATGTTTTAACTGACTGACTGTGGCATGAAGATACCAGACCCACATTGCTATTATGAGCTTGGTTCCACAAGCCTGTTTTCACCCCCTGAAAGTTGTGTGCTTAATGACTCTTATTTCTCTTTCCTAAATGTCTAGACACATATCAGTATTAGCTGAAACAATAAAGAAAGGAATACATGATGCCGATTCTGAAGCAAGAATAGAAGCCAGAAAGTAAGTTTCTATTGAGCCCAGCGTACCACTCAGAGCCACCCTGTGGATTGTCTCACTCAGTCTCCCTCTTGGTTCCTTAAGCACATTTGTTAATGATAACTGTGAAAGGTAACTCCAGAAGTCCACCTCAGTGTGTTTCTCTAAGTTTTTGTTGATGTTTTGCTCTTTAAACGGTGCCTAAGTGGAAATGGATATAAATAGGACTGAGGTTGCCAATAGGAGGCTTGTTTTCTATCTTAAGAGAAATTATCAGTCGGTAGTGCTGGTTTCCACTCTGTGTATTCATTTACTAAGCTGTTCAGAGCCATACAATCCAGTGTTCCTTACCATGTTACCACAGGTTATTTTCTTCCTGGCATCATGTTTGAAACATGAAATGATCATTTAGCAAGCATCAATTATAGGAGGGGGAATTGGATTGACTGATGCCTGATTTGTCATAGTAATAATGTCTAGTTTCAGACCCCCAATCTTCAGTCCTGTGGTTATGGCTCTCAATCCAGTACCTCCCTGGAGATCATTTGCCAGGAGACGTACAAGAATGTTCGGTGTTAATAAGGTTTACTGACTTGCAAGTTAGAACCTTTAATTCCTGTTTTGTAAATGAGACAGTGGCTCAGAGAAGTTAAGTAACTTCTCCAGCATCAAAAGCTGGTACAGAGCAAGATGGCTCAACTGCCAGTAAAGGCGCTTGCCACCAAGCCTGCTGACCTGAATCCAGTCCCTGGAGACCCCATGGTGGGAGGAGAGAAGCAACTCCCACAGGTGTCGTCTCGCCCCCACATGTGTGCTGTGGTGGCTCTGCCCCACCACGTCAGCAAATAAGTAGAAGGGCTTTTTAGATTTAAACCGTAAGTTGTCAAGACAGGATTTGTCCAAGGCCTCCTTTGTTAGTTCTCTGACCTTGTGCCCCGTCACGCCTCTTAGCCTGGAATCCCAAAGATGCTGCATTAGGTACCCTTGGGTCAGCAGGGTCCTCTGACTAAACCGGAACTTTGTCTTTTTCCTAGATGTTACTGGGGTTTCCACAGTCACTTCAGCCGAGAAGCAGAGCACTTGTACCACACTTTGGAATCCTCCTACCAGAAGGCCCTGCAGTCCCACTTGAAGAACTCAGACAGCATCGTGTCTCTGCCTCAGTCAGACAGGTCTTCTTCCAGCTCTCAAGAGAGTCTCAAGTAAGGGCCTTGGCTTTGCTGACCCCAGTGCCGTGCTGTGTGTGTAAAGTTAGCTACACAGAAGTGCACTTTGCTCCTGTGTTTCCCCTGACGGACGAACCGCTAAGCTCCCCAGGTGTCTAGATCAACTGGTTCTAGGTCAGATACTGTCTGTTTGGGAGGTGAGAAACGTGGCCTTGGACTCTGCCATAGGCACTCTTTTCTGCAATAGCGTAGCAAGTTATAGAGCATCCTGAACTGTACACATTAATGCATCAGGGAGTCCCCAAGACAATGTGAGTGTTGCCCAGAGACCGGTTTGCAAAGGGAAGACATTCAAGACATGGGACTTCACCTGGTAGCATGTCCGCCCTGCACTTCTGACTTCTGTCTCTATTATTGTTTTGGTCTGTTTGAAAGGTCATTCATTTCAAACATGTTAACACTCTGTCAGATGTGGGGTTGGCAAAATAATGAATTTCCTGAAAAGTTCTGAAGACCCTGAAATTCTTCATGGGCACACTTCAGTGTTGTAGTTGTGTCACCACAGATAAAGTACATGTTTGTTAACACACATGAAATGCATTTTGCAGCCGGCCCCTTTCTGCCAAGAGAAGTCCCACCGGCAGCACCACATCCAGAGGTAAGAGCCATAGAACCACAGAGTCACAGACTGCGTCGGTGGGTGGCGTGTCCCACCTGGGTGACCTGCTCTCAGCCCCACTCAGTTGGGGTCGTGTACTACTCTGCCATCTGCGTGACCCCTCGGCCACACTTCTCTGCACCAGGGTCAGTTGTTCACGTTCTCCGCGTGGCCAGGCAGGCGGAAGTCAGGCTCTCTGGCCTCTCCTCCCTCCTCCCTCTCTGCAGCCACCAGTCTCTGCTCCCTGTTTCACATAAATGGAGAGAGAGTAAGGGCAGCAGTTTGGTGGCTGCTAGAAGCTGGTGTTTCCAGAGAGGGCATAGCTAAACGGGGCCGCTTACTTTATTTCATATGTGGGCCGTAACCTTAGACCTGTAGTTTCCCGTTCCTAGGACACTGGAACAGTAGACACCCCACAGGCAAGGTTACTGTGGTTTTCTTCCCATTGCATGAACCCGGCTCTGGGGCGGGGAGGTGCTTCCTCCCTCTCGTGGGCACCGACATGTATTACAACTCTTAGTGTTGGTCTCTAAGAAAGCCACGCAGCAGCATCTAACAGTGTGTTTGAAATCCTACGTGGGCAGTCCTTCCTGACGTCTCTTCCTTCACCGCTATAGCCTCTACAGTTAGTACCAAATCTGCGTCGACGGCAGGATCCCTCCAGCGGTCTCGAAGCGATATTGACGTGAATGCAGCAGCCAGTGCCAAATCCAAAGTCTCCTCATCCTCAGGCTCCACTGCCTTCAGCTCTGCAGCAGCGTTGCCTCCAGGGTCCTATGCATCTTTAGGTAAGCGGGCTCCCTCCTGTCCTGCTGCCCCAGTGACCCTGCCTCTCAGCAGATCACAGGCCTCTGTGGCTGTGAGAAGCCTCGATGTAGCAGGGTGGTCTGAAGTATAAGTAACTGCCATCAGGGATAGTTCCCAGCTACCCTCTGTCCAATGTCATGTCCAGTGTCCCTTTTCTCTGGAACACCAGCCTGTTCCATAAGGACATGTGTGCTTTCAGACTGTGGTCCTCATGTCCTCTTTGTGACAGCAAGCCCTGCCCATACCCAAGCCATGCCCATATTGCCAGCACTGGCTTTCCTCTCTTCTACTGGTGGGAACAGAGCCTAATGGCTCAGTGGGTACTCAGTTTCCTGTAGTTGATTATCTCTTAGAGTGGGGGGTGACAGGAGGCTTCGAAATGACCTTTAGCCAACTTAAGCACAGTCCTGCCCTACTTGTTACCTGAGGGGATCACATCCATACTCTAAAGATGGCTCCAAAGAGTTGTTTCTAATTATTTTCCAAATTTTTGGTATGCAGCATAATGGTAGGTACCTTACTCTTCCTGTCAGCTGCCACTCAGCGGCCTCATTGTGCCAGGCTGGTGGTGTATCTAAGCACTTTTGTAAATGCTGAGTTGGTCATTCAACCCTCAAACCTGAGACTTGGCTTAATTATAACACCAGAACCAAGTTCCTCACACAGCCCATTAGGGATTTCAAGGTCACCATCAAGCCGATGTTCTGAAGGGCTTTGAGATCGGAAGCATGGGGACAGGACAGTAGCCAAAGATGGTGTCACTTGCACAGCCTCCTCATGGTGCCGGGGAACAAGCGTTGAGTCTGTTCTTTGCCAATGACCTTGTGGTAATGGTAGCCGTCTGACTCGGGCACGTGTTGAGGAATTACCTGAAGGCCCTTTGTAAACGATTGCCCTTCAAGGTAGAAGAAAGTAGAGTCGAAGTAAGAACACTGTTAACCTGAGATGGTGTGTGTTCTGGAACCTTGTGTCCAGGCAGTCCTATTTCCCTGAGCTCAGACATTCTTTTGAAAAGAGGCCCAGAGTGGACTCTCTTCTTCCTCATGGTTAGTGTACAAGTATTAAGGTGGGGTTTGTAATATTTGATGAAGGGAAAAGCAACAGCTGTCCCTCCCACAGTGAACAAGTTGTGATCTAAGTATTTGCCAGGGTGTCAATACTTTTGATGTTTTACTTTTGGTTTTTGTTTGTTTGTTATTTTATTTTATTTTATTTTATTTTATTTTATTTTATTTTATTTTATTTTATTTTGAGACTGAATAGCCCCGGCTAGCCTGGAACTCACTATAGATCAAGCTGGCCTCCAACTCACAGAGATCAGCTTGCCTCTGCCTCCCATAAGGTGGGCCTGGCTCACCTTGAGTATCTTTAGTTAGCATTTGCTTGGCTGTTTTCATGCCAGCCTTTAGTAGCATTCCCAGGGTCATTATTTACTTGTATACATCTGGCATATTTAGTTGGGGCCTGATTAGATTCCCTCAGTGTTGAGGGAAACCCCAAGGGTTTGGTTTGGTGACAGACCAGTGCACCCTCAGAAGCACTGAGGACATTGTCTTAGCACAGGTCTCCTCTCCAGACAGGACTATCCTCTCCCTTTCCCATAAGAATTCTACCTCCCATTTCCTTGGTTTTGCCCCTCCTCCACATGCGACTTAGTGAAGTAATAGTTTTGAGACTGCGTCCAGGTCCCACTTAGGTTGACTGCGACACTTGACTTGTAAAGTGGAGCATTAAAGGCTTATAACCGTTTTCCAAACTTCTAGAGTCCAGACACGTGAGGGAAGACTTGGAGTACGTAGGCCTGGATGCAGGTACTAAACGCGACAGCTGCCGCTGCTGGGCGTGTAGTTGGGATAGGCCTCGCTACAGCCTCTCAGCTTCTCACTCGATTCTGCTCTTGGGGTGACTCCTTAGAACCTGAACTAGTTGCTCCTCTACGCCCCTTTCCTGCTAGAACTTTCAGGGAGTGGGACCTTCCGAGGATGATGCAGTTGACAAAGTGGAGACCCTGAGTCACGCTTGTCGACTGTGACACAACTGTGGTCACTGTTCTGTTAGCTTGTCAAAGGCAAATCCTGTTACTCCAGACTGAACTAACTCCTGGTGAGGGCAACTCAGCTGGCTTCCAACTCTGCTCTGCATTTGAACGTGTTCTCCTTTTGGCTTTGTTTTAAAGTGTACATTTTGCTTTTTTTAGTAGCTAATAACATTCTGCTTTTTAATTTTCTGAATGTCACTAACTGTTCCCTGTTGTCCCCTCCCTTGTTTTTTAATTGGCTTAAAGACGGTACTACCACTAAAGCGGAGGGTAAGCGGTTTGTTTCTGTGATTGAGGTGTGTGTCTCTCTGGTCCTCTGTTCCCACGAGTGCTTCCTGGTGCCCTCTTGTCCTCACTGAGGTCCCTGCATGATGTGTTGCACGATGTCCCCACCCTCTTTCATTCTGTCCCCAGCGGCTCCCGGCCCTCCCTCCCCTCAGTTCTCTCCCCTTTCTTGTTCTGGTGAATCAGGACACTGACGTGGGCTGAGGGCGGTGACGATGCTGAGGCCCACTGGGGAGGAATATGGACGTCACCTTGTGTGCTGGTGCCTTGGGGTTTGTTGCTCATGAAGACCCACACGAGCTACACTTTCTTCTTGGTGCTGTGTGGGCCTCTTGGGTTCATCTTTCTGGTTTTGAAAGTAAATGTCTGTGTCAAGTACTCAGGTTCAAGGCTAGTGACATTTCCTACTGTGCTACAAAGACATTTTTAGAGAATATTTTGCTTTCCTATGAAGAGTACTGCTGAATCACGTGATGTTTTTATTTGTGCCCCTGTTTGTCCGTTTGTGCACACTGATCCTCTCACCAGCCCCATGATAATAGCTTTCTCAGCTGAGCACTGGGGTCCGCACCATGGAGAGAAATGAGTGTTTCCACATCCCCTTGGTCCACATTGTAGGCCAAGAAGCTCTTGCTGAGTTCTTCCCTTGTTCTTTGGACTTGAGACACAACCGATGCACTCCGCATTGACCTTAGATTTGCAACTGTTAGACATTATTCTTTCCCAAGGTTTCTGGGTAGAAAGCAGGATAATGCTTCAACAGTTGCATTTAGAGAAGTGTTGACTGTTTGAGGCTGTGGATGGGACCCCAGCCCTCCAGATATCTTCAACAATCAGGATCAGCCTGTTTAGTTTTAACTGTGAAATGGCTACCGTACAGAGGAATTCAGGTTTGAGCAGGGTAGCTCTTTGTAGTTTTTAAAGTTTATTTATTATTGTGTGTGTATGGTGTGTGTATGAATGTGTAGGTGTGTATGCTATGGTTTGAGTGATGGACAGTTTTCAAGGGAGTCACTTCTGTCCTTCCATTATGTGGCACCCCTGGGAGTTGAACTTAGGTTGTCACACTTGTATGGGAAGAACTTTAACCACTGAGCCCTCTCCCCAGCCCCAGCAGAGTAGTTTTATGTATACTTTGATTTTGTTTGTAGATGGGGTCTCATGTAGCCCACGCAGGCCTCAAACTCTCTAGCTAGCCAAGGTTGACCTATAAGTCTGATCCTCCTCCCAAGTGAGGCTGAGGTTACAGTCATGCACCACCACACCCACATTTATCAGTGCTGGAAATCAAGCCCAGGGATTTGAGCATGCTGAGCCAGCATTTTGTCAACAGTGCCACCTCCTTAGCCATACTGTTCCCAAGGCCACAATCTAGGTCTCAGGATTCAGAAAGGAAAAGAGAGAATAGGCTAGCAATTTTTGAATTACATTTATTTGTTGGTATGTGTGCATGTGGGAGTGTAGTGTGAGCACTTATTTCTCAGACATGTCTCATGCTTAGACTTAACATGAATGTTTACAAGAAAGACAGGCAGGCAGACAGGCAGGTAGGCATCCTGGGTATGTCCTCTGAAGGTGCTGATTAAGTCAGAAGGATCTAGAGAACCTGAACTTGAAGAAGTCTTGTTGGTGATCTCAAGGTTGGACAGATTTGTAAAGCCTCTACCCAACTGAGGCTTTTATTTGGGTTAACCAAAGGCCTTGGCTGGGTGATTATTTTCTTGTTCGCTGATAGTAGTACTTTTGTTTCTTGTCCTCCAATGAAACAATCCTGTTTCCTTGTCCTAGATGGAAGGGAAGTGGGAAACTAGAATAAAATAGAATTTCATGTCAGCTACCTTTCTGTTGCAATAAAATATCTTGGCAAAAAGTGACTTAAATAAAAGGAATTTGGGCTTTTGATTCCAGAGAGGAGAGTCCATAATGGCGCGAGAGGCATGGCAGCAGGAAGTCAGAAATCACATCTTGAAAGGTCACAGGTCCCTAATAGAAGACAGTGCGGCTCGTGGCAGCAGGAAGCTTGGGCAGGGAGCTGAGGGATCCCATCTTCTGCGAGCACAAAGCAGAGAGAGCAAACTGGAAGCGGAACGAGGCAATAAACTCTCAAAGCCTGACCTCAGTGACGTGCTTCCTCCAGCAAGCCCCCGGATAGCATTATCAACGGGGGACCGTGTGTTCATATACATGAGCCCATGAGGGTCACTTCACATTCAAGCCACCACAAATAGTTTGTATAAAATGAATTCCCTATATAACAGAATTGAAATCAGCCTATTATGCCTCCTCCACTAAGAATTCTTTTCTTCTTTTCTCCCCCATTCTTTTTTTTTTTTTAATCAATTATATAGACCCAAGCAAAGTTAAATTGGTTGTTCAGTTACTGGACAAGGCACTAAGTCGCTTTCTTGTTTCCTTCGGGCAGAAATGATGGAATGATCTGATTTTAGAAAATGAGAATGGTCAGGGCAGTGGTGACGCACGCCTTTGATCCAAAAAGTCTGGAGGCAGAGGCAGGTGGATCTCTGTGAGTTCAAGGCCAGCCTCGTTTGCAGAGCAAGTTCCAGGTCAGAGCTTCACAGAGAAACCCTGTCTCAAAAACTAAATAAATATTTTTTAAAAAAGAAGAAGAAAAAGGAAAAAGGAAGAAAGAGACAGTAGGAAGCTTTGCAGGAAGAGGATAGTATTTGTATCAGGGTTACCCAAGTCCTTTGTCATGGTGGAGCAGAGGACAGATGTCTCAGTGCAGACAAGCTGTGAAATTCAGAGCTGGTGATGCTAAAGCAAGCTGCCCGTGATAAGAAAGGGCTGTTTGCTGTATATGTTGGGTATGCTTCTGATACCAGCACTGGAGAGGCAGAGAGGCAAGTAGATCTTTGTGAGTTCAAGACTAGTCTGGCATATACAGCAAGTTCCATGTCACCCAGGGCTACATAGTAAGGTCCTGTCCCAGATAGGGTGGGGGTGGGGAGGCTAATACAGCAATACCACTTGGTACCCTTAAACTTTCTCATCTAGTGTTCTATTTCCTCCTCTCCTTTTCCTTATTCTTCACATATTCATATGTGTAAGAGTATACATGCACATGTGTGTGTTGAGGCCCAAAGTTGGCATCTCGTGTCTTCCTCATTCACTCTGCATCTTGTTTATTGAGATGAGGTTTCTTGCAGAACTCAGAGATCTCTGATTCTTTCCAGTCTAGCTAGCCAGCACGTCAACCTCTAGATTTACAGGTGGCTACCCTGCCTGCCTGCCTGCCTGCCTTTTATGTGAGTATTGGGGATCCATATTTTTGCCCTTGTGCTTGGTAAGCGCTTTAGAAACTAGGCCATCTGCCCAGGCCTCCTCTGTCTTTTTAAATTATTGTGCTTCCTCTCTTTCAGCAGTGAAAGGGATGCGTCCTGGAGCCTTTGTATAGGGGGTAACCTCTTTACCACTGAACCAGACTCCCAGCTGTCAGCCTTTAAATATCTTTTTAAATAAGTCTGTTGTAGATGGTAAACGAACTGCACTGATGATACCGACAAAGGGGGTTCAAAAATGCACTTTATCAGAGAGAGAGGCCACTTACATGAGAAGCTGAGAACTGAGCTCAGCACTCTAGTCTCCAAACCTCAACTGGAATCCAAGAGAGCAAGCTCCCCTATCTTCCTTTCCTTTATCCCTGGCTTCTCCCACATAATGGGCATGGTCAATGCTGCAGTCTGTTAAATATTTTATAATCTCTAATCCGTGAGACAAAAAGAAAAACCAAAAAACTGGGTGTGGTGGCACAATGCCTATATTTAGTTCTGGGCTGAGGAAAGAGGATTGTAGCAAAGGCCAGCCTATGTTACAGAGAGAAACCTATGTCAAAACAAGCACCACTGAGAAAATCCGATCAATCAGGTTGGTAGCCAAAGATCACCTTAGGGCCTGGAGAGATGGCTCAGTGTGGGCAAAGAAGTTCCCATGCAAGTGTGAGGACCAGAGTTCAGAACCTCAGTATACACACCCAAGTCAGCTGGACTTGGTGGTCTGCCCATAATCCCAGGTCTTGGGAGACAGACAGGGGATGCCTGGATCAAGTTGGCTAGCTACACTAGCTGAATCAGCAAACTGTGGGTTCAGAGACCCTGTCTCAGTGTGTAATAGAGCAATTGAGGAAGACACTCTATGTCAACCTCAGGCTTCCACATGCGTGTGTGTGTGTGTGTGTGTGTGCGCGCACGCACACACACACACACACACACACACACACACACACAAGGCCATGTTAGCTTAACTTTTGCTGAATTATGATTAGTAAAAACTGACAGCCTCATCTGCCATCTAGGAAAAAGAACTTAAATTTTAGTTAGATTTTGCTGAAAAAGAAGCATTTAGTATTGTTACCTATTTATCTAAAAATTCCTAATTTTAAGTAATTGGCCTTTCTTTACAACTGAAAATAGGTCTATTTATAAAAGTAAAAAAATCTACACTTGTTTTTAAAAACATGGTTCTTTTGAAGGGAGGAGTGATAGGTAGCAAAATTAACACAGGACCAAGTTCTTAAATTCTGGCTGTGTTGAGAGCCAGCTGTGCACAAGCAGGGGCTGCTTTCATTGTGTCCCAGCAGGTGAGATGTAAAGCAGGTGGGCATGCTGGGATGCCCAATGTAGAGAGAACTGAGATGGAACTGAAGACTTCTTTCTGTACAAACCTAGGAACTTAACCTTAGTGCAAAGGAAGCTGCTTTTGGTATTTTAATTACCTTAGGCCAAGGCTTCTGAGATTTCTATTTACCAAAGAAATGATTATACAGCCCCTGGGTATATGGATATCTACAATAAGTATACAGACCACTCAAGTACTATAAGTTATTAAGAATTTCATTGTAAAACAATTCTTCAGCATACATACAATTTTACCATTTATTAAAGACAAAAGCATAAATGTACTTGTTTCTTTTTCTGCAAAGAATGAAATCTTGCCTGAATAATTAGGAGTGCAGAACACAGACTGTTATCAACACTTTTCAGAATTGATTGATTGTTGTATAGTTCACCACTTTCCATAGTACAAGATAGCATAAGTATGGCGTGGGCCATTTTAGAAATCATCACAAATTCTGTCGTTGAGCAAGACTTTAACTCAAGCCAACAAGTCAAAGAGTGGTCTTTAAAATCAGACATTCTCTAAATCAGTGAATCAATCAATCAAGTCAGACTCCACAGGTAGACTAATATTTTTGAATGAGAGATGATAGAAAATGTGAGAAATCTTTACCTTTCTTGTGTTTCTGTAAGAGCAGAAGTTCGCACATTAAAAAGACAAAACATTACAGCTCATGACATTACAGTCAGATGAATAAGTGCTGCCAGAGGCTTCATTATGAACTTTAATTTGAATTCAATTTTTGGTTTGACTATTCATCAACTTTTTTACTACTCATTTTTTCTCACAGTTCCCACGTTTAGTAATGGGTCCATGGATTAGGAGGCTTCTGCCTGAATTGACTGTTGAGAACCATTTCTGTAAGTTAGATTTGGAACACAGCTTCAGGCTCCCATGATTTAGGGTCTTTTCCAGCAGAATAAAAACATGGCTGAAAGAGAATTCTTAGCAGTGTTAGAATGCTGTGAAATTGGAATGTTCTTCCTTGATTCTGTGAAAACTGAAGGCTTACCTCTTCCTAAAATCCTTGCTTCTCCCAGTGTCTGTTCTTACCTTTATATTTATATTTATATTTATATTTATATTTATATTCTGTGCATCCCTGACTCCCCCCCCCCGCTAAGTCTACAATTTTTCCTTCATTGTTATACAGTTATTTAATTACTTGTACTATTCTCACTTAGGCTGGCTTTGTCCCCTTTCATACCTATTCTGTCTCTTATAATTTTGTGGTATACTACTGAAGTATGCTCTCGTGGTTATCTGTCATTTAATTGTGGTCCACCACAATTGAAATATGTTCTGTGTCAATCATTTAATCATGGTACACAGTTTAAGCATATTCTCGTGGTTTGCCGTGTCTGTGCAGTAGCTTGTGATTCTCTTGAAGACCACAAAACATTTTGTGTTTTTCCTTTAAAACACATATCCAGGCACTTATAATTGCCAACTAATTACCATAGAAACCAGTTTCTCTTCCTATGAAATAAACACATATCTGAACACAGCACACCAGAAAGTCCTTCAAACTATGTAGCTACTTTCCAAAAAAAGTAAAGAAAGTTAAAAAAAGCAAGAGGCCTTTTCAGGTGACTCTATAGCATAATAGTAGGAATGCCAGGGCACACAGAAAACAAGACTTTGAACTCACCAAAGGTGCAAGGAGCTGGCCGGAAGCCAACTAGCATCAACAAGGGACCATATGTCCATGAAAAGGTACACGTAGAAAAGCTCTTCAGATCGTCTTGCTGTCCTCAATGTCCTTGATGGAGCAATCAGTCTTCTCTAAGCCTTTGTGACTGAGCTCTGTACATACTGTAAGCTGATGTCTCCACCTCCCTTGTGGGGCCTGAGACCCTGCTGTAGAATTAAGTAGTCTGTGTGTGTAGGTCCTGTGAGGACACTGAATTTTCTCAGAAGAATCTATTCTTGGGTTTTCCAGTTAGATTTCCTTGTTCTGTGTGCCACATATGCAAGTACAGACTGAAGGCCCATCAGAGAAAGGTAAACAGAATGAACCCTAAAGGGCTTTAGAGTCAATGGGGGAATATAAAATACCTATTTAAGGTGTTCCAAAGAAATGTGAAATTTAATTTTTTGGGGTATATGTGAAATGCATAGACTTCAGTGGCCAAAATGATCCTTCCAGTTGAGGACACACTGCTAATCTAGAAAAAACAATACAGCCACCCAGCTCCAGATGTCATGAGTGCAGGGTCCAGGTGGAAGGTAGCAAGGCTGGTTAAACCGAGGTCCTTGACTGAACCCCGGGGCTCTGGGCTTTCACTGTCATGACTGCAGTACAAAACAGGTTATAATCACCTGCATCCATGGCCAGCAAAAGGCAACTTTACTGGGAAAAGACAAGGGGCATTTTGTGTGCATGTATGTGTGGGTGTGTGTGTGGGTGACTGAACCCCAGGCCTTGCCTATACAGTCTGTCAATGAGTTGTACCCCTAAACTCAGCATTTTTAAGAATTTCTTTTGAGTCAACAGTGCTCTGCTGCTCCTGTTTTGCTTTGTTACATGAGTAAGACAGCACAATAAAGGCAAATAAATGGAAATGTGTAATTTGAAAAATATTGATGGCTGGCTTATTTTATAGGTTAGGTAACCCCAGATCTATATACAAACTAACAAAAAGTCTAGCAAAAGTCTTAAACTTAAGGTCAAAATGTAATGACTAAAAGCCAGGTGTGGTGGCATATGGCTGTAAATCCCAGGACTCAGGAGGTTGAGGCAGGAGGATTGCTGTGAATTTGAGGCCACTACATAACAGATACCAGGTTAGCTTGGACTGCCGAGCAAGGCCCTGTCTCAAGAAACTGTGTGTGTGTGTGTGTGTGTGTGTGTGTGTGTGTGTGTGTGTGTGTGTGTGTGTGTGTGTGTGTACATGTACGATATATTACTGTTAGCAAAATAAAATCTAAAAGTTCTTTTAGTAATTAAAATAAAGTATCCTTGCATGAGTATAAAAGCTGAAGTAGAGCTCTGAGAGAGAGGCATTATAAATTGTAAGGAAAGAGTTGAGGAAATTTATTTGAGAATTAGTCATATAGAAAAGATAAAATCTCTCCTTGACCGTATGAAAAATCCATTCCACATGTGTACTCACAAATATATTGTTGAGTAAAGCAATATGTTTATAACTTTAAAGTCCCATTTTAATTTTAAATATGCAAAACAGTGACATATGTTTCTTGATCATGCAAGTATATTTATCTACAGAAAAAAAAAAGAAAAGAAAAGGAATTTGAGAGTCCTGAGCACTGGCCTTAGGGCCATGTTGCCAAATGCTGGGGAGTGAGAATCCTCCAAGTGGGATTTAATTCTTCAAGCTTCTTGGATATAGGTGTTAATTAAAAAAAATGTGTGTGACCTAAGTATTATACTTGTAATAACTTTAAAATAGATTGCTTTTTAATGTTCATTTTGCCTGATTGCCTTCTTGGGTTTTGCTGGGTGTCTTACAGAAAGCAGAGGTACTTGGGGGCCAGCCAGCTGGCCTTCGACAGGCACCTATGCCAGACTGTGACACTGGAGAGACTTCTCCCTGTTTTGCTCTTTCTTATCTATACAGTGCTGTGAGAATTCTAATGTGACAGAGATCATAGTTCTCAGTAGAGTAAATAATTTTAGTAAATGTCCAGTAGTTAATGTAGCCCAGGTGGGCCTCAAACTTACTGTGTAGTCAAGAGTGTGCTGAACGTCTCCTCATCCTCCTGCCTCACCTTCCAAGTCCTGGGACCAAAGGGTGTGCCACCATACTCAGCTTATATGTCTTTTTAAAACTTTACTGAAAGTCACTGGTTCCCCTCCACCCTGATGCTACACTTTCTTGAACCTTCTTCAAACCTCAGACCTTGTTTCTGCATTCTTCCTCTGCGAGCTTTATCTGCTGGGCTGGGAAGGTGTCAGTCATGGCCAGTTGTAGCTGGCTCATGGAGAAAGGCATTTTGTGCTTCCTTGAATCCAGAGCAGCCTTGTTGGGAGTTCAAAACCACACTCATCACTGCTCATTCTACTGTGGTCACACTGGTGTCTTAACTCTCATGGGGGTCCTGGCTGACAGAAGCCCCTGCTCCCTGCGTGGTCAGCTACATCAGTGCCCTGTGCTTGTGGTGTGGGTTCTTATGTAGGTCACATTGGCCAAAGATGTTATGAAAACACTTTTTTGCTGTATCCTCCAGGTCGGATCCGCACGAGACGGCAAAGCTCGGGGAGTGCCACCAATGTTGCCTCCACACCGTCAGACAGTCGGGGCCGCAGTCGCGCCAAAGTGGTTTCACAGTCTCAGCGTAAGCAGTGTGTTTTATGCTTTGGTTTCCTTAGCTTCCCTTAGTAGCAGGTCCCACAGCTGGACAGAGACTTCCAGCAGCTCTGAGACATTCTAACCACAATGCTAAGGTAGGCTTTCAAGAGGGAGCATTCCAAGTATGCTTTGGTCTCCTTTCCAGGTGATTCCTGTTTCTTGGGTTGGGTAGATGACTGTCTCTATAGTGCTTGAGGACCTGAGTTTGGATTTTTAGTACCCACATAAAAAGCTAGCTGTAATCCTGTGATCCCAGTACTGGGGAGATGGAGACATCTGGATCCCTAGAGCTTGCTGGTTGACCATTCTAGTCTAATTGGTAAGCCTTGGATCCCAGTAAAAGACACTGTCTGAAAAAAGAAGGTAGTGGTTGAAGAAGGTACCCAACATCCTCCTCTGGCCTCCACACATGCATGCACACTCAGGAACATATAAACACACACACACACACACACACACACACACACACACACACACACACACACACACACACGTTGATAGCAACTTTCACTCCCTATCCTGAAGTCTTTCAAGTCAAAATTTACCTGTTATGTAATCTGTTTTGAATATGATTTCCTGTAGGGAATGGTAGTTGAGAGAAGTCTTACATTTCTTTTTTGTTAGCTCTTGGCCATGGACTCTGCTGGGTTCCCCACTCCAGCTGGGTTAGTGCTGTGTTTTCTGGCTATAGAAATCCAAATGTCACTTGGACTTAGAAAGAGGTGAAAATTGCTTCTCTGGTGACATTTAGATTAGGAGAGTCTTAATCTCAAACCTCAGGAGCATACCAAGCCTGACTTTGAGGTTCCTCACTTCCACTTTGGCCTGGTGTACTCACAGGAATGGAGGTTGCTAAATAGTAACACATGATTGAGCCTACACCCCAGGCTTACACATACAAATTCATTACTTTCATAATAATTTGAATGAGGTAAATATATTTATACTACAAATATGGGCATATGACATTCATAGTCCTGGATTGAAGTAGATTTGTTAATTCTAGATTTAGGGTCCTTAAGGATTGAAATATTTTAGATATTTAAGATAAGGGAAGCCATAGGTAGTCAAGGGTGAACACAGTCCATAGCCATGGGCATCTTGTTAAAGATGGAGTTGGGCACAGGTGACCAAGTTGTGCTTGTTTCCCTCTTGCTGAAAGCTGAGGAGGTGTGCTGTGAGAGGCAGGGGGCTTGTCTTCTCCACATCTCTTCAGCTTGGTTCATTATAGATGGTGTTTCACAAACAGACCAGGGATAAATGCTAAACTGTGTGCTGTGTGTAAAACAAACCCTTGGAACAGTACCGGTTTTGCTCCTGTGCTTGGGAATAAGCCATTTGGGTTGTGTTGCATGCTGACCTTCTGTATTGTGTTATTGTCTTTTAATCCACTTTTTGCCTGTCCTTTGGTCTGCTCTCCTAACGAAGGATCCAGATCTGCTAACCCCGCTGGTGGTAAGCCATTTCTCTTCTTGCTTTTCTGTTGTTGTCATTGGCACTCTACCTCAGCCATGCTCTTTGCACAAAATTAATTTCTGTTTATGCTTAATCTTTCTGCGTTTTCCTGTATTTCCAAATACTAAAGTTTGAAATACATTTCTTTTTTGCCCTTGACATAGCTTAATAGTTTATTACGTGTTCAAGTCTTGGGATAGTTCTTCATAATAATGTGCATTACTGACTTTTACAATGATTTTCTTTCCAAATTGTGTATAGCTTAGTCAATATTAGGTATTAATTTTCTTGTGTAGCCAACCAAGTGACTCTATTGAATGATGATAGTTTTAATAGATGAGATACATTTTTGAGACATATTGTAAAATACATTTTCAAATCTTTATTCTGTAAGAAAGTAATTTGTGGATAACTTGTTTCAAAAGGGTTTGTTTGTTTTATTTTTTGTGAAGGTCATTCTGTTCTGTATCATAATACTTTATATTTTATATTTAAAATTTTTACTGCCTTCTCTACTTAGGGAGACAATCTGTTAAGTGGCTGTCATTTTGTGTATATTATTTAAAATGTTGCTGTTTTCTAGGAGAGAATTCTATCCCATATTAAATGCTTATAACCATATCTGGATATTTAGCTATTGATAAAGATTAGGAGTCCTGTTATTTATTCCTGATTTCTGGTTTTATTGCATATTTCTCAGGGATTGTGGCCCACATTTTTTCTTCAGGTTTTCTGAGATTTGTTTGGAGGTTTAGTACACAGCTAATAGTTATAAAATATGGGTGTTAAAAATGAAACAAAAAGTATTTTGGGATATACAATATGAAAGAGGAGTTTGCATGTGAAGTCACACATTAGGAAATGTTAGGCAGTTGAGGGTAGTTACACAAACTGAGTTGGTCACCGCCTCACCAGGGAATATAGGCATGACTGGTTGTATATGTGATTTGTTGCTAACAGAGGAGTTGTCATTGTAAGTCATGGTTGTATGTGTCCTACACATTCTTATCAAACACTATGCATACAACATTTGGTTGCTGGCTCTGTCCATTTCTTTGAGGCTTATTAGGTTTTTGATAGGCTCTTTTAATAATGATGACTTTTTTCCCATTTCTCCCTATATTTTTATTTTTCTTGCTTAGTATTTCAAAAGTATATTGTTTGGAGTTTGTATTTATTATCTTTGTGGTCAGTTACCCTTTTACCAGTGTTTGCACTTTTTTGTTGTTGTTGTTGCTTGTTTTAAGTGTGTTATTTGACACTTACAGACAGCATATAGTTTTGCTTCATTTATTTATTTTATTAGTTCAAGGCTGGGGGTGTAGCTCAGTAGTAGAGCACTTGGCTAGCACAACAAAAGTCAACCAAAAACTTCCTGTCTTTTAATAGATGAGTGGTGTCCAACCACATTCATTACAGCACTGATAGGTTTAAGCTTAGTTACGCCATCTTACTCTGATTTTTTTAACCGTTTCTAGCTATCTCACCCCATGTCTTTTCTTCCGCTTGTTAGATTAATGGCATTTTCTCAAACCCATTTTCTCTATGTTAATGCCTAAGAAGTTTTGTTGTGTTCATATTTCTGCTTACCCGGTGATTACACCCGATTTCTAGGCAGTCTGTTCCTTGGGGTTGTGAGTGTGTTAGTGGGACAGTGCTTGCAGATGTCTCTGGCAATGTGTAGAGCTGCACTTTGGAGCGGGGTGCTCCTGGGCCACTGTCAGCTTTTCCTTTAGAAGCTGCACCTCCATCTTAGAGTTTGCTCATGGGTGTTTTAGACAAATACGTTTATGATGGTAATCCTATGTCCTCCGTTTAAAAAACAGTATTAGCAACTAAGATGCTATTTTTCTATAAAACTTTCTTAATGTATCATGCAAATTCGTGTGTGAAAACGTGTTTCTTTAATTACCATGAATTGTCACCTGGTTTATAGCCATCTCTCACCATTATTTTGTTTCACTTGTAGCTGGCAGCCGGTCAAGTTCCCCTGGGAAGCTGTTGGGAAGTGGCTATGGTGGACTTGCTGGGGGTTCCTCAAGAGGCCCACCTGTAACTCTGTCTTCAGAAAAACGAAGCAAGATTCCCAGGAGTCAGGGATGTAGCCGAGAAACAAGTCCTAATCGGATAGGATTAGGTAAGGATTCTCTAAGAATTGAAACCTCACTTCCAGCATGGCTGTAATCTCGGGTTCTCTTCTAATCGCTGTCTGATACATAAAGTCTGCTTTTCAACTCAAGGAGCTACTTCAGCTGTGCTTAAAAACAGGCATTTGCTTTGTGTGCTGTACCATACAGATTACACTGAGATTTCACTAGCCCTGAGAAATGTGTGGAACTTAGGCTTCCAGCTGATGGGGTGGGAATTTACCATTTGCAAAGTACTAGAATTGGAAAATAAGAGTTCCTTTCCTAACTAGAAGCACTGTTGCTCTTCATTTTTCTTTCACTGAGTTCATTCTATCACTAGTATATATTAATTTTCTAAAGCATTCCAAGGCCCCTATTGTTTTGATCTCTAGCCTAATTGATGAGACTTATAGTGAAAGAGTATATATACTTACTTTTGACGTAATTTTGATGAAACGTGAAAGCTGATATACGCTCTGCATTGTTGTTTAGTTTCTTTATAACACCGATGATCCTCAGTACCTTACAGGCCTGAAACACTCTAACTCATGTTCCCTTTTAATGTAAATGTACTTCAAGATTTAATACCAAACATTTATTGATGCATCTACATTTATATATCTGCTTCACTAAGTACAAATTTATTACTGTAAAATGAGAGTATTGCATCTTTAACTTTTCTTGTCGGCTTGGTTTTCATATCCATTGACTTTTCTCAACATTTTTTTACTTGAAAGTTTACTGTGTGCCAGGCTCTTTTTTAGACCCAAGAACTTCAAGATAAATAGGTTTAGCTTCTCATTTCCAAACCCTTCTCATGCCTTGGGAAGGGGTGTACATGCATTGTGGCAGGTGCTCAGGGACCATTTGACAGGGGACCCCTGTGGCCCTCTAGATTTTCTGCTAACAGGTGTCCTGGAGTAGGTCTTGCTTTGAAGTACAAGGAAAAGATACTCTCAGGAAGAGAGAACCAAACCCAGAAGCAGCCAGGCAGCTGTGTGGGGTGGCCGGCGGTCAAGGGCAGCGATTGGTAGGGCTCAGCCAGGGGCAGGTGTGAAGGAGTGGGTAAAATTTGATTTGAACTCAAATTTCTGAGGTGAATGTCTGAACTGTCTCATCTGCTACTGAAATGATAGCTGTCTGCATTTGGCTTAGGTTTTGTTCGGAAGGACATTTTATTTTTAAATGTAGGTGTGAATCTTCAGCTGTCTTTGCCATTGTTGACTTCTGAAGTTTATGTAAGTTGTATGTATGCATGCATTCTATTAGGACATCGAAAATGAGTGTTTTCGGTTGAGGACATTTGAGTGTCTGTCAGTACTATTTGTTTCAGGTACTTTTCTTGCCGTGATAAAACACCTGACTGATCACGGCAGCTTAGGGGAGGAAGGGCTTGTTTGGGGTCGCAGTTCTAGGGTACAGCCAGTCTCGGCAGGGATGGCTTGTGGCAGGAGGGTGAGGCAGCTGGTCACGTGGCACCCACAGCCAGGAATAAAGCCATGGTGCTGATTTTCAGCTCACTCTTATTTAGTCCAGGCCCCCAGCCCACAGGGTGGGTCTTCCCATCTCAGCTCCCCCATCTAGAAACTCCCTTACAGACTTGCCCACGGCTGACATGCCACCCACCAACCCTCACATTCTTCTTGAAATTAGGGAATAACCCAATTTCAGTAATCCAGCATAACTCTAGGACCTGCTATTCTAGTCTTTTCTCCAGCAGTGCCTTGTGCATAGTAGAACTGAGCTTTGAAGGCTAGTGTCTTGAAATATCAATAACGGAGTTCGTTTCCTTCTAAACAGCTCATATTTGAAGGTGGCATTTTTTTGGTTTTGTTTTTTGAAACAGGTCTTATGTAGCCCAGGTTAGCCTAGAACTCAGAGATCTGCTCACGGGTACTGGGATTGTATTACCATGTCTATCTAAAGTATTATTTTGAAGGAAGCTATTTCTGTGGTGCTCATGAGGGACATAAATAGTGTTGGAATTTTAAGATCATACATGAAGTTCTGATGAGAACATACATATAAAGAAATACATATGAGTAAAATGTACCTTTATACTTACCATTTATAAGGTGTTAGGTGCTTAACATTTTTTAGTAATAGATTGTTTCCTGTGATCATTGAGTTTATACTAGATATATATTTGTATAACTGGTCATTTGGTTTACTACCTAGCAGTTTAAAATATAAATATTCAAAAGAGAGATAACATGTTTCCTCAAATCACCAAACCACTTAACTGAGCTAAAACTTAAGCAGTTTTAGTGGCTGCTAAACTAGGCTTAGAATTTACCTCAAAAGCTAATCCTAAAGCCAGGGAGATGGTCTGTGGGTAAAGCCGCTAGCTTCATAAGTTCGATCACCAGAACCTACAGAAAACGCCAGGTGTGGTGGCTCACCTTCATAACCCTAGCGCTCCTGCTGCAAGTTGGGGGAAGAAGGCAGAGCTACTGCAAGCTGCAGGCACATAACTCAGGGACAGAAACGAGCAACGGGGGGAACTGACCTCCACATGTGCCACCCATCCCCATCTTTCTCCCGCATACCCAGAGAGAAGAGAGAAGAAACTAAAGAAAACCAATTCTAGTGATAATCTGCAAATTATTCCTCTTTTGTTTTCAATGCACTTAACTAAATTTTCCTTTCTTGTTATAGAAATAATGCCAGGGCCCTTGTTGTATTTTTTGTTTTGTTGTTTTATTTTTGAGACAGGGTCTCACCCTTTTTAGCCCAGGTTGGCCTAGAACTGTAGCTGTAGTTCAAGATGGCCTAGTTGCAAGAGTCTTTCCTCAGCCTTCCAGGAGCTGGGAGAACAGGTTCCATTTACCACAGTGGGATCTGGGGTTACAGACTCCATCTGCCTTAGTCGGAGCTGGGGTTACAGACTCCATCTGCCACACTCAGCTGCCATTTAATTGCTAAGTAAAAAGCACGTAACTAGACAGTCAAGAAACAAAGGCCTGATTCCTCTTGTACACAGTGCCTCCCCCTTCCCTCCCCCACTCCTCCCCTCCCTCCCTCTCCTTCTTCCTCCCCCATTTTCCCTCTTATCCCCCCATAAACTACCCAAACAATTAGGAAAACACATTCATAAATTGTCCTGCTTTGGTGTCTTAAAGACTTTGCAGATGTGAAGCCATGGAAATAGCCAGAGTCACTGGTGACGGTTAGCAGTTGCCTCCAGTTTGCTTCTCCTATGCGTCTATTGAAAATACTACAAAAACCATTCAACAGTTTTGCAACCTACATTGTGTGATGTATATTTTAAATGTCTTATTACTTTCTGGTTAAAATAGATTTTTGGAAGATTGAAATTAACTAACTGATTTCTTTCAATTATGAAATTGGATTTGCTGGGACATGAAAATGTCTAGAGAGGCATAAAATGCCTAGTTTCTAGTAGTTTTTCTTAATTCTCTTGCACTTTTACTTTGGTGTGCACTCTGATTGGGTCATTCCTCAAAAGGCAGAAGTTGGGTTGGAGAGATGGTTCAACAGTGAAAAGCATAAACTCTTGCAGAGGATTAGAGTTCACTTGCCAGGACCCACCTCCAACTCCAGCCCAGGTGGATCTGATGCCCTCTTCTGGCTTCTATAGGCATTGCACTCGTGTGGAATATACCACTGTAGACATATATAAATACACATAAGTAAAAATGAAAATAAATCTTTTAAGACAAATGTAAGGATTGCCCTTGATGTATGGTAGTCTTATCAAGAAATGCAAACCAAACAAGTGCCAGCATTTCATGTAGACAAAAAGTCAAGAGCTTTCTAGAGTGACAGCTCTTAGAAAGACAAAGTATATTTCTCCTGTTCCTCTTACACATCCCTCATGCCATTGTCTCACTAGGATGTTTGTTTAGACCTTTCCTACCAAGACAAGCTGAATTTATACTCTAGGTAGGTAGGTGAGTGGGTAGGTAGACGGGTGAGATGGATGGGTGGGCGGGTGGGGAGTATATGAATGAGTTTTGATGAGTTAGTCTATAAAAATAATTTTCTGTGATTATTCTATATCTTTCTGTAGACTAGTCTTTGAACTAATGTTGTAAGTGTCTGTTTTTTCTCTTACCGGTTAAATTACCCTGCATTTGAAATACCACTCTTACCGCAAAAGGCACTTTAATAAGATTTGGGGCAATTATGGACAGATTTCTGACAGAGAAGTGGGCAGAATTCTTTTTCTGTATACCACATCATAAAGGAGCCCATGAGCATAGTTGAGTAAGTGCATTCTCTGGAAGAAATACCAAGAGGGTAAGGCTTGTCGAGAAGTTTGTGTGGGCATTATTCCATATCATGGCTGTTTGTTCTTGTTAGTGGTCTTCGTAAAGTAGACCTAGTCCAGAGAGAGTATGTATTTCCATTTCTTTAGCAACTCCATGAACTTGAAAAGGCATGGGTTCTGGATAAAGTTACAGTGCAATCAGCTGAGCATGCACTTATATGAAAAGCCAGGAGGATATCTTTTTTTTTTTTTTTTTTTTTGGTTTTTACGAGACAGGGTTTCTCTGTATTGTTTCGGAGGCTATCGGTCCAGCCCGGCCTCAAACTCACAGAGATCCGCCTGCCTCTGCCTCCCGAGTGCTGGGATTAAAGGCGTGTGCCACCACCGCCCGGCTAGGAGGATATCTTTAACACCTGTTTTGGAATAGACAGTAGAAAAGATCAGGACTTCCATGTATAATGTTTGACAAGCAACTCTGAAGTATATATGTATGCATTGACCCCAGTATGCTTCTTATATAAATGAGGTGATTCTTTTTCATTCCTCATTTTCCTCTAAGGAAGATGAGAACCAGGGAGACCAAGTAGGTGGATCAGTGAGGCAGCTGGGAGCTGTATGGGTCACTTTGTGGTTCAGGTACAGTTCTCTAAAGATAAGCAGCCCTGCTGTGTCCACTTGAGGAAGCTCTTATGTGTTGGTTGGTACAGCTTGGCACCTGTTGCTCTTGCTCTCCTTGTACAGCATATTTAGTATGTTACCAGAAACTGCTGATCAAATAGCCACCAGTACTGTGAGTATAAACCTCAGTGTTTCTGTGTCATTCTGTCCAAATTAAGAAATTTCCAGTGCGGTCTTTGGGTTGATCATTCAAATTATATTTCTGTCTCACCTTTCCTTCCTGTAGATTGACAAGTATCTGGGCCCCAGCACGGAGCTGTGGAGCACACTCTAAGCTGGCTTCATTTCTTACTTACACATTCTTCTTTATTGCAGTTTCATGATTCTGCTTCGTGAGATGTCCTTGTTATAGCTTAGCTATAAATCTTTGCTCTGAAATATTAGGCTGTGTTCATTGTGACATAGATGTGCTTGTTTTTTACATCAGAGAGTCTCCGCTCATTCCTACCCAGTCTAGCAGCTCGAGGCCTCTGAAGATGAACTGTTCCCACCAGCTGTGATGTTAGGCGCTCCTCTGCACATACCCCGTACTCAGTATCTCTGAAGAGTGTTTTGCCAGTATTTTATTTCTGGTTCCTCACATTGAGAAGCACGGGTGTCCTGGTCTTCCTGGAGCTTCACAGCCAGCATATTATTCGACTTAGACTGTTGTATGACTTTGTCTTGCAGTCTAATGTTTCAGTGTATGGGAATAATAAGCTGTTCAGAGACAACTATAAAGTAATTACTATTCTGAGGCCATTCGAGGAATTTTCTTGCACAAATACTGAGGTTGTCCTTTTTCTTGCTATAGAACTCAGAAGATAATAAACAGACAATCCTGACTCTGCGTGTGTTGGTTTAGATGGTTGGCTTCATGTGTGTGACGTCTCCATCTTGACGAGCATGTAAAGAGACGTCTTCTTTTCCTTAGGGACGTTTGTAGACTTCAAGACCAGAGCCTTCATTCCTATTATTCATCCAAATTAAACGGTCTTTTGGGGAACCAAGTGCTGTGAAAACAGCTTTGGTCTCCAGTGCTCTTGGTGAGATGTTTGCTGAAGCCACAGACATTCGTGTTTCTGACATATTTAGATCTTATTATATTTGATGCCAGGCTGTCCTTTGGGAAGATTTCATTTCTCACATTTAAGTGTAATTTCACTTCAGTGTTTAAATCCACAGCCTTCTGAGGGTCAGAGCAAAGTCGAGTTTATCCAGACCCTCCTGTCAGTAAGCCCTCATCATGGGCAGGTGGCCCATACTTCCCAGCATAGACAATGTCATAATTACATTGAAGCAAATGTGACTGATGCTTGTGAGTTTTTCTGTCTTCATTAAATTTGTTCACCTTCTCTGAAACCCCTCATGCTGCACGCTAGCACGGAGCAGCCGTATCCCCAGACCCAGCATGAGTCAGGGGTGCAGCCGCGATACCAGCCGTGAGAGCAGCCGCGATACAAGCCCTGCTCGGGGCTTCGCTCCACTCGGTGAGTACCCATAGGCGCTGCGCAGGGGCTCCCGGTGCTTGTGCAGGCCCTGCTGGGTGGAATGACCGCTTCCCTCTGCTGCCCTGTGATCCTCTCTTCTCTCTTCCCTCTTCCTTAGTCACCCTTGCGGTCCCCTCTGCATGTGTAAACTTCAACAAATTAGAGGAAAAAACCACCAATTCAATCTGCCATGGCCATTTGTGGCCACCTGGCACCGGGCAAGCCCATTCTTGTGGCACTTTCTAATGTTAGGCAAAACGTAGCTGAAGTGAATGGCTTCATGCGACTCCACAGGAAGTGAATTCAGAGCCCACACAGAGTCATCTGTACCTTTGTTTTTCCTAAAGAGGATGGAACCAGGAGCCTCAAGCTTCCAGGGGGCTAGGCTCTGAGCCATGCGCCCAAGCCCAATATATATTATTCAAAGGAAGGGCAAAAGTATAGTCATAGAACGTTTTGAAAATTAAATGAGTCTTAGTTTTAATATCCATGCCTTCCTCTAAAATGGACATAGTACATTTGTTTAGTACAAATTATCAATTCCCAGAGGTGTCCATCCACACACTAACAAAAGGATTTTTATCCTTCGAAGGTTATTTCTCAGTTGTTTGGCATGTGTAGTGTCATCCAGGTGTATATTTTACTCTTAATGAACATAAGAGCAGAAGTAATTTTGTTGGATTAGACCTAGACCTGAAATGGCCTCCATTCCCAGTAAAGCAGGGGCTTCAGCAGTCTGGGATCTTTTTTTTCTTTTGACTGTGTGATTATTCAGCTGATCTTTTCACTCTGTAAATGTCACTCTGAGAGAAACAGTAGTAGATCACGTGGGAGGTCTCTCCTGCTGATGCCGTACACCTCTTCTGACGCCTTGTTTTTTCTCCAGTCACTGTCAACAATTGAAGTCAGGACGTAGCCTCTGAAAACAGATACCAAAGTTCTCTTTCTCTAGCAGTTCCTTCCCTTAGGTTGTCCGCTCTCTTCTGTCCCTCGGCCAGGCGGCTGTGCCAGCGCATGTGGCTGCACCCTCAAGCTTTGGAGCCGAGTCTCAAGACAGCAACGCTGATACTACTTACTTGTAACCCCTAATGAACTGGTGATTTTTCCTTTGAAATTCAGGTTATACACCTGTGCACCTTGGCTCTCTATCTGCCCTTCCAAACAACTTGTTACACGAGTAAGCCATTTGCCTGTTAGAAGCAGGTCAGGTTTTTCATATGGCTGACATTTTACACTGTCTGTGAACCCAGCCTTGAAGTCTGATGTGCAGTCTGTAGACCAGATGAGGAGGACTAGATTGTTGATATCTAGATTGATCCCAGAGCAATTGATCGATGACACCAGCTCCTTGGGTCAACAGATCTGCTTAAGTGACTTGGTGCCATCCCAGAATATTGCAGTGTGTGGTTGCCATTGCCAGGCAGAAGCTGTGGCCCTGATGAACTCTGGCTTCATCAGCTGCTGTCCTCTGCTGTGCTCAGGGCAATAGGAAGCACCTCCAAATGAGCTTTTGGACCTTGCCGCTTACCTCCTTGGGTTAAATCTGGCCCCTAAACTTGTGTCCAGAGGGCTAACAAAGGGACACCATTTGAAGTGTCAGCTGGCACAGTGCCTTCAGTCCCTACTCACATCAAGTGACAAGCACCCTTGGCATCAGCCTCCGAGCCTGATCATGTGGTCATGCTGTGAAGCTGTGGAGCCAAGTGTGGTTTTGACTCCCAGCCTGCCTTGTTCAAAAGCAGTTCTGATGAGTTCTCTCACATTGCTAAACCATGTGGCAAATGCTTGGTAGTAAGGTCCCTACTGTGTTAGACACAGAAAAGGGCTCAAAAGATTTTACTGAAGTGTTGGTTTCCAGGCGTGGAGTTAGGACTTAGGGATTCAGAGAGGCCACTCAGAAAGCGGCTGTCCTGTGGGAACTTGCTACGTATCCCTGAACGCCTCCTTTTTCATGATTGTCTCCATAATCACTCCCCACCAGTTACCTTTGAGTAAACTTACATGGCCAGACTTCATTAGGGGAAGGAAGGAAGGAAGGAAGGAAGGAAGGAAGGAAGGAAGGAAGGAAGGAAGGAAGGAAGGAGAAAAATAATTGTATCTCAGTGAATGCAGAACGCTCTCTGCCTCCACAGAGGATCGGTTCCAGGGCTGCCTGTAGATGCTCAAGTCTGTTCTACAAAATGCTGAAGTATTAAATACAGCCTGTGCTCCCCGTGCCTCCCCATCCATATATTTAAATCATCACTGAGTTATTTATAACATGAAACAATGCAAATGCTATGTAAATGGTTGTTGTGCTGTTCTCTAGGGATTAACGACAAAAAGCGTATTCAAAATCTACAGGTGTGGAAGCTGTGGAAAGCTTGCCAACTGTACCTGCCGTTTCTAACTTTGCAACACTGTGTTGAAGCCTCTCAGTAGTCTTAACGCTAAGTGAAATTATAGACTAGAGCTCTGCTGCCAGTCAAGTCAGGCTTTGACACAAGCGAGTCCTTCATGGATTCCATTGCTGGGTGTTCACTTGGGAATTCAGCGGAGGAGTCGTTACAGAGCAGATGTTCTGTACAGTATTGTGTTCAAACCAAAGAAATGCATTTTAAGAGACGTACCGACAAGTCTAGTATTAAAACCATTTTCAGTGTAAGCTTCAAGAACGAGTGCTAATGCAATAGATAAGAACTGTGCAGTTCACTCTGGCCTCAAGGAAACGTACCAGCTTCCTTACCTAGCAAAGTGGTAAGTCTTGTTCTGGACACATCACCTCGTGTTTTGTGTGTGAATTTCAAACTGCTAAAATTTTATATTGCTTGACCAGATAACATTTCTTCTTGATGTTACATCTACCACAGGGTTCATATTGTATAAAGTGACATGAGCTTAGGAATAAAATTACACCGGAGGTTAGCGGCTTTGACACTTAGTGAATAAATGTGTGAGTTTTAATGTGTGCAGAAAAGCGGGGGCAAAGGGTTTCACCTATGTTTTGTTAGGCATGTGAGCATCTATGACAGAGCACCGTGACTTTCCCAGAGCAGTGAAAGACAAACAGCATCTTCTGTTGTTCTCAATAAATGAGTAGCTGAATGTTATATAGACCTGTGACGTCAGCATTAAGAACAGCTTCTTATTCCAAATTTATTTCTCAGAGTTACTCTCTTCACAATGATGGGATTTGACATCTATTTCTTCAGGTGGATGAATTCATAAACATGTTACAAATGCTTGCTCATAAAATAATATACTAAATGTAAGCTTTCCATGATCTTCACTGCTCCCCTCATGCTAATACCGCTGTCTCCAGTACTGCTGTGTGCTGGTGGTGTGTGTTCCCCTTTAACACGCCCCATGACAAACAAGAGGTAGGTACTGTGACTAACAACCACTTTAGAGATGGAGAAACAAGAGGGTTAGTGTGTTACCAAGGGCCCCAGCTTGCTGTGGGCAAACCAGGCCTGCCAATTGTATTTCTGAAATGGTGCTCAGACAGGCTTCTGTACTGTGTCTCCGAGGAAGGCCTCCACACTCACTGCCCGTGGATGCCCGACAGTTAGACAAGTACATTAATAACGAGAGTAGCTGTGCAGTAGACCCTAAACCTTTCCACTGGGTAGAATGTAGGTGTTGAGCCCCCTTGTTATCCATGAATTTCTGCTGAGATAACGTTACGAACCTCTCTGCTTTTGTTTTTGGTGCATGGTGGCATATGTATCACATACCAGTGACCCATCTCGTAAGCTGAGTTGATACTCCATCCTCTCACTGTCCGCCCTGGGTTCAGATGGTGCTCTGACCCCTAATGTTCTTCATGTGGCTTTTTTCCATGATGGCTGGTGGAAGCTTCGTGTGTGAACCTAAACCTGGAGTCTGAGTCCGTCAGTGCGTCCTTAGTATGAAGCAGCACTGTACCGAGTGCCTCTGTCATGCCTGTGTGTGTAAGAGCTGTGTGAGGCCAGCGGCCACCATGCAGTGTGGGGTCAGTCCTGCTGTCCATTCATACCCAGCACCATTTCTTCATGAGAAGCGCGGCCGTGGTGGTAGCAGCCCCCGCATTACCTTGGTACTTGTGTGTTGTTAACCCTGTGGGTGTTGCCGTTCCTTTTACCTGCAGCCTCTCGACGTCATTCCAGGTCCACTAGTGCTCTCTCCACTGCTGAATCTGTTGGGCAGTCAGGTGAACAAGTGCTAACTGCATGTCTCGGCCTCTCCATCCATCCTCCCACCCCATGCCAGCCTCTGTTGTCATCGTGTCAGCTAGCGCTTGGCATGTGTGCACCTCATGTTCGCCTTCCTGTGTTGTCGTTTTTTTGCGTTGTTGAATGTTTATGGTTCTGTTCGTAGGCTTGACGCTTGGTCGTCTGTTTGGCATTGTCTTTCTAGCGTTCATATCTACATCAAAACAAAAATCAGGGAAGTACGTCTTCCTTCCTTACACCCCCTTCCCAGGAAAAGAACAACCCTAAGTAGGTATCACTAGACCTCCCATGGGGAAGGAGGGATTGGTACCTTCTAGCAGTGTACTGTCAGATGCTAAATTAGCTGTGTTAGTGTCAGGTACCAGTTCCATACACCTCAGATTACAGCATACATAATGTCACACATATGAAAATAAAGCTTTATGGAAAAGCAGGGTCAGGATCCAGGTCATGAAGAGGCAAGAAGTTAATCTCATTGCCTGTGAACACCAAACCTGTCTCAGCTTCACTTAAGCAAAACCCACTGGTCACAGGAGTAAAGAGTGTCTAAAGATGCATCCATATGTCACCTTAACTGGCGTCATCCTCACACACTAACAGCCCTAATGGCTAGTTTCTCGGTGGAGTCAGCATGCTCTACTAATTCATATACTGTTAATGGTGCTAGTGCTCACCTGTTTATCACGTGAATCGCTTGCCCTTCAACCTTCTAAAGGAAGCCAGCTGCATGTTTTCACCATGTAGGCTCTGATCGAATGTGTTCCCTTGAGGATTAGGGGCCAGGCTAAGGATGCAGTCCTCTGTATCCATCCTTTGGAAAACAGCTTTATCACAATGTTGGAACAGTGAGCATGGACCACAGGGTTTGCCTGGTGAAAACAAAAAGCCTGCCATTCTACTTAGATCTAGACAAGCATGTCCCCTTCAGATCCACAGGTCACATTGTCTATCAGATGACCGACAATTGCTGTGTGTGGCAAAGCTATATGCACCTGGGAAGCACTGAGTCCTTGCTTTATTCTTAAAAAGTTTTCATTTTCTGTCTGAAAAAATCCAATATTATCCCTGGAATAAGAATTGCTGGCATGAAATCTACTTGTGTTTTTTTTTGTTTGTTTTATTTTGTTTTTTAATTTTTGTTTGTTTTTAAGACTATGTGTATGCTGGGTAACTTTTAAATGGCTTTTAACTGAATTACTCATTTTGTTACTCATAAATCCCCTGCTATCTACCCTTTTTTAATGGAAAAAAAACTTGAACCAAAATTACTTACAAAACAGCATGCATATAACTCTCAATTCTATCCCTGCTTCACATTCTAACAAATGAGCATACTTATGTAGGTATGAGTTGACTGTCCATGGTCTTTGTAGTTCATAAAGCAACAGTAACTCACCACCAAAACCTAATGGAATAAGATGACATTTGTAATCATCAGCAAGTGCATTAAAAAAGGGGATAGTATAACATACAATTTTTGTTTCTTTATTAAAAATTTTGTGACTGTGTATGAGTCTATTAATTAGCAGTGTGTAAATTATTTTCCCTGCCTGTGGTGGCAGAAGGGTAAACCGTTTTGAAAGTGATGTTTATAAAAAGCTAAATAATGCCTCATTTTAAAGTTCACTAATTTTATAGATGATGTTTCATGCCCTGTCCAGATGTCTAAGTATATCATTTCATAAGCAAGTCAGTTTCTAGGGCCCAGCAAGATGGTTCAGCAGGCAAAGGCTTGCCACCAAGCCTGACCCCCTGAATTGTACATGTGGTACCCACACAATGGAAAAAGAGAACTGACTCCTGCAAGTTGTCCTCTGACTTCCTTTGAGTACCATAGCCCCTCCTCACATAATAATAAATAAATTAAAATTAATTTCAAAAGAAAAATCAATTCCTGTAGAAATAAGTACAGTATCTTATTCTAAATGCTGTATTGCTAAAGTGTGTCTAAGGCAGAGATTTTTTTTCCTTGTCCAAATATCCCTTATTAACTCAGGAAAACATGTTTTTTATCCTTACTTTTTTTTATTCTAGAGGTTTATATGTATTAGAATTTTAATGAGTAAACTTTCATCAGCAGCTGATGAACCCTCCCTGGAGTGTATAACTTCCACAGACTTTCTCCTGCTGTAGTCTTAGTCTCCGGCACTTCTTAAGGAAAGCTGGTTAGTTGACTCCATGGGATTTGAAGAAGTAAGTTCATTTACCTTAATGAAGAACAGCTGTAGGCAGCTGGAGAGGTGGCTGTGTGGGTAAGAACACTTGCTGCTTCTCCAGAGAACCCGTGTTGAGTTGCCAGTGCCTGTGTTACACAGATCACAAGTGCCTTTAATGCCAGCTCCAGGGTGTCTGGTGCTTTTTTCTGACCTCTTAGCACACATGTGACATATGCTCACACAGACACACAAATAAATAAAACTAACTTTTAAAAAGAACTTTAGATTAATTGCTTAAATTGCTAACATTTATCCTGAGTTTTTTTTTTTATTCCTTTTGCGTTATCTATATAAAGTTTATCATTCAAAAATCCTTGAAGGAACTCAGGTAACATTTAAACTGATGATATCTAAATGATTGATGTTCTGAAAAGAAGGCACTAGATTCTTATGGTGATCATTAAATAATTTTAGTGAGTTGAATCTTTAAATAATAATAACACTAAGGTAAATTTGTACCAAGATCAATTTAATAATTCATCTCAAATATTAACTTTTTCCATCACTTTGCCTTAGATCTTAGATCTTATTTTCCAAACCATGAAGCTTGCTTAAGCTAAGTAACCATCAAGGGCACTTGCCTCTAAAAGGAAAGCTAAATAGAATAAAAGAGTCAACCCAGAGTCTGCTCCCTATTACAAGGTCTCTTATCTTCTGTCCCAGGCCTTTTCAGTAACAGAATGACCAGAACAGGCTCCACTTAAAAAAAAAAAAAAAAAAAGAGGAAGAAGCTCTTGCAGTGACAAGTCAGTGGTCAGTGTTAAATGTGATGCTGCAGACACATCCAGTACGGTTTACACCGGCTAGGGAGTTTTCATGTCTCTGTCTTAGGAGGAGGAGGCAGGAGCCCTTGAGGAGAACTGAGAAGCTGTGAGTAGACTGACATATGTTCTGCTTTTGTCTTTAAATAGATCGGTTTGGGCTGGGCCAGTCAGGACGAATCCCTGGTTCCGTGAATGCCATGCGAGTATTGAGCACCAGCACGGACCTAGAAGCTGCGGTGGCTGACGCGCTGGTAAGAGGCACAGGAAGGATGGAGTCACAGTTGCTCACGCATATCTTTCTACCGTAACACAAAATTGCCCTAAGTCATCTTTTATGCTTTTCAAAAGGTGTGTGACTAGGGCTGGGGTGATGACTCAACCATTAAAGCACATGCAAAGGTGAGGACCAGAGTTCAGATCCCAGGACCCACGTGGATACCAGGTTCAGGGGTGGCCTGACTGTAGTCCCAGTATTCCAGAGGCAGAATGGGATCCTCTGAGAAAGCTGGCCAGCTCGATTACATGTTGGCAGTCTGTGGGTTTGAGTGAGAGGATTGTGATCAAGGAAGACTTGATATCCTCTCAGCCCGCCCCATGTGTGTGATGTGCTCATACCCACACATATATACACAGGAGAAAGGGAGAGAAAGTTAATGGAAAGTTTGTTATTGTTTTCTTTCTCACACTTTTGCAACACGCAGTGAAGTCAGTCTTCAGGAATTAGCATCGAGAACCTGACCCATGATTGCTCCTTGGCACTCAGGAAATTTTGATGGCATTGGGCTTCTCACATGTCATCAAGCTCTCTCTTTTGTTTTCTGTATACCATAGCTTCTTTTCCCACAGTATTTCCTGTTTTCCATCCTTTTGCCTCCGTTGCTTTACGACCTTTGACAGCATAGCTTACATGCATGATTATAATCACAGACGATAGAGTTTGAGACCTGAAAGTTGTATTTATTCTGTTATGTGATTCTGACTTAGATTCCCCCACCCCCAAAAATGGATCAATTCAGTATTTGAGAAAAATGGTCTAGGTTGGGGAGATGACTCAGTCAATACAGTACTTGTCCTGCAAGCACAGGGACCCAAGTTTAATCACCAGAATCCACATATAAAGCAGTGTGTGGTGGTGTACCCTTGTCATTGCTGCACCACAGAGATGGAGATGGGCTGAGTCCAGGAGCTCAGGAATAAGTGAGATCCTGTCTCACAAACAAGGTAAACAGCGCCTTGAAGAATGGTATCTCACGTTGGCCCCCACTTCTCTGTCACTCACACATATACACAAATGCACACACACATGCACGCATGCACATGTACACACATGAAAATGTTCCTAAATGTTAAGGTTTGGTCTCTAAATATCTAAAAGCACTAGTGGAGGGAATTTTGCATATTACATTTAAAAAAACACCAACTGCTCATGGCTCCTTCAGTCTGTGGCACAGCGAACATTCTGTAGGATCAGCTTGTGGCGAACTTGCCTCCCCGCTAGCAACAGCCTTCCACACCTGCTTCACGTGCTCAGCATTTGAAATAGGTGTCTTCAGAATGGTCTCATAGGCGCCCTGCCCTCTGCTGCTTTAAGAGTTAGGAAAAGAACACACACAGAACACGGCCTTTCAAATCTGAGGTTTTGAATTTAGCCGGCACCACCTGATGATCGCTTTATGGTCCGTGGCTGCTGTGAGTCCTGCTTGCATCCCTTCTCATCTCTGCCTTGTTTGTTCTTGCTCAGTCAGCCTGTCTTAAATGTGTATCTGTGAGCAAGCTGTTGGCGGCTCTCAGAAGGCTTTCCTGCTAGGCAGCCAGCCTGGCCAGCTCTATTCATCAGCCTAAGCACAGAAGGAAGGACTTTTTCCTGGCAGGTTTTAGAGTGCACAGTACTGCTCAAACCATGGTTGGAACCTGAGTCAAGAGTGGGAACAGAATCCAGTGAGGCTTTCTCTTTCCAAGTCAAAGCATTCTGAGCCTGCGTTTTACATATATTCAGAGACCCTAGGAAGTGTGGTGGACAGGGGGCTGGGGAACAATGGAGCTGAACCTCAGCTAAGAGGGACTTCCAGTTAAAGCAGAAGATTTTCTAAGTTGTTTAAAGCCCACATAAGGGACCGTGTGCAAAGTTCTAGAAGGCAAAGTGGGGCTAGAGATTTCAGACCTTTGCTATTGACTTCAGCTTTTCTCTGAGCCCTAGTGCCAGTCTGTCCAAGCTGCCCTTGCTCCTTTGTCCACTCTGTCTGGTCTCTCCAAGTGACCTGCTTCTGAAGGGGAAAGTGCCGGAATGGTAGGGAATCCTTACCCACAGAATGGAAGCCCCTGGGGAAGGCAGAAGCTCTCATAGAAACAAAGAATGGAGAAACAGAGACTTAGAGAGTGCCTCCTGGGTGTGGGAAGTCTCAGTAGGAATTCTGCCATGAACCAGAGAGCCAGGGGAGAGCTGCAGGACTAGGAAATGCCATTCGGGAAGCAGACTGCTATGATCTCCCCAGACAAACCGCTTGCTGACCTGTGTTTTGGTTTGCTAAGAGATGTTTGCTGTACACTTTTGTTGCCAGAACAATCCCCACATATGCTTCTGACATAATTCTCTATGCTTTTTCCCCGTCCTCCAATACTTTCCTGCCTACTACAGCTGTTAGGAGACGCCAGGAGCAAGGTACCCGTGCTTTCACTTTTGTTTACAACTTTTTTTTTTCTGTTGCAAGTATACTTTTAGAATTTAGTTGACAGCGTCACAAAATGTAGTAGTTGTAGTTAGAAATTCTGGTCTCACGTGTTTCCGGTAAGCATTCTGATTTGCTGTCTTTACTTGTGATGGAATCCGTCACCTTTCACATATTTCTGTTTTTTGTTTTTGTTTTTTTAATGTCACTCTCTACTCCCTCTCCTTTTTGTGTTTCCTTTTATTAACTCAGTCTGTGTCTATTTTATCATAATTTCATGAATAGATCTGTCAGCCAACCTTTTTTCTAATTTTAGGAATCTGGCTTATCTGTAAGTGTAAATCATATAGTTTATTATCTAAATCAAAAATATTTTCTTTTTTTTTTGGTATTTACGAGACAGGGTTTCTCTAAGGTAAAAACAAGGGGTACTGTGAATGATATTGTTGGGACAGGAAGCAGTATAGTCCAGAGCAAGCTGGTATTCAAAATAAATTATTTGGAAATTAGGACTATCTGTGTGGCTAGAGTCAGTAACTGCATTTAGGAAACATTGTATGTGCCAACTTATTGTACTGTTTTACTATATATGGATTTAAGATACTGTCTTACGTTCAGGGAGTGAGAGAGGAATGAAGGGAATTGTAGTCCACTTTTAAAAGAAGCCTATTGGGCTGGAGAGTTGTCTGGGAGTTTAAGAGCACTGGCTGCTCTTCCAGAGGTTCTGAGTTCAATTCCCAGAAACCACATGGTGGCTCACAACCATCCATAATGAGATCTGGTGCCCTCTTCTGGTGTGCAGGCATACATGTGGGCAGAACACTGTATACATAACAAATAAATAAATCTTTTCCTATTTGCATTATAAAACCAAATGATGTTGTTAGCTAAAGTAGCTCAAACAGTGTGGGACCCTTCTGTGTAGAATACTTCCACCTCTGACATTTCAGGGCTCTGGAGGGACTGAGCATGTACACACTTCCTTGAGAGTCCTATAACCTTCACGGTAGTCTGGTGAGGCAAGAGTAATAGTTGCCCTCCTTGAGAGGATTCACTGAGGTAGAAAATGGCACAGTTGTTCAGCAGTGATATCAGGATTGGAACCCAAGACCATCTCGCTGAAAATCCTCCTAGCCACCCCTGCAGATATTTACACATACTTTCTACAACGCAACAATTTTTTTCTCCCCCAAAAAGATATACAATATGTCACTTATATCACTACCTTGACAATTCCCTAATCTGTAAGCATAGGCTGTGTGTGTGTGTGGTGTCTTTTTACATTTAATTCTGCACTGTAGCTTTTAGTAAACGACTTGTGAAAGGCTCACCTTTCTACTTCTTCCTTACCCCACCCCTCATGGGACATTTCAGAAGAAGCCTGTGAGGAGGAGGTACGAGCCCTATGGAATGTACTCTGATGATGATGCCAACAGTGACGCCTCCAGTGTGTGCTCTGAGCGCTCATACGGCTCCAGGAATGGTGGCATTCCCCATTATCTGCGGCAGACTGAGGATGTAGCAGAAGTTCTCAACCACTGTGCTAGTTCCAACTGGTCAGAAAGGAAAGAGGGGCTCCTGGGCCTGCAGAACTTACTGAAGAGCCAAAGAACACTGAGGTGAGGACAAGACACTCTGCCAGTCCTCTGTTAGACTCATGGGGGCTTTGAGGGAGTCTGCCATTACAAAGTCCTTGTAAAGTCTAGTCACTGGATGCTGCGCAGATGCTTGGAAGCATCTAGAAAATTCTTTGTAATCTGTTAGGCTGCTAAGGCATTTGGTTCTGTAAGGTGCACATCTGTCTGCTAGATGATGCTTCTGAGGAGTCAGGCACAGAGAGCAGCTGCACATTGCTAGGGCTTACTCCTTTCCAGGCTCCAGGATGAAGGGCAGCATCTGTAAACTTATACCGCTCATGTGTACAGCTTAGACGTGTACCCAGCAAGCCCAGGATGAAATAGAGCACTCCCCAGTAGAAGCAGCACATTAACTTTACAGTGATTATTTCTTGTGACTTCCTGTGATATTTCATAAAGTTTTTAAATAAGCAAATATTACACATACCAAAAGAGTATGCACTATATCACATTTTATTACACCTAAGCTGCCATCAGCATCAATTATTTGTAACTCACAAAATAATAGAAATATAGCTAGGTATGGGTAGTCTATGCCTGTTATCTCAGTGCTTATGAATCCCTGCTGGTTTTGGGTAAGTTTGGACTACAGAGTGAGATCCTGCCTCTACCCCTCCCCAAAATAAAGGGAAAAAAAGAAGGAGAGAGGATGATACATTCTGTTCACTAATCAAGCTGTTAATATGTCCTTGATTTTAAGACCAATCTGCTAAACAGACGTGAGTAAAGAGTATAGAAGCCATGAACACACTGGACAGCTTTTGAGTGTTAACTGCAGAGAAGGGCAATTTTTTTTTTTTAAAGAAAAAAGTGAGCTTGAGTGGGTTTGCGGCTGTGGATTGAGGACCCTTCTGGGCCCCAAGTGATTTATGCACTGTTTGGCTGTCCAGTCTGCCCATGCACTCCATATTCACCCTTGCTCCCATTAGCCCATTCTGTTCACAGACACCCTTGTGATTTGTCAAACACAATGTGGATGTGATTTGTCATGGTTGTTCTTGAAGCTCTGTTTGGTCTTGTTGACTAGTCCACTTTCTAGATTCTCAGTGTTTACTAGGTACACCCGAATGGTCCTTGCAAACCTGCTAGCACCTCGAGATTACTGAAGGATCATTGGGGCATCTGCATCTCAGATGTATTAAGGAAGTGTATTGTCGCAGGGTGGCAGGAAGAAAGATCTCTTCTTCCCAACCCTGATGTGAAAAGGGGACTCACGTATGCTCCGGGATGAGAAAAGGCAGAGGACCAGTGAGCACTGAGGCTTTTCTTGGTCCTGGTGTTAACGGTTGTCTTGTATTTTCCTCAGAGCTGTGGCATAGTGCTTATCCTCAGTTCCCAGCTGAAGAGAAGGCACAAAGGTGCCACTGTAGGTGGTAAGAGCGCAAGTCTGTGATCCAGTGAGATGATGGCTCAGTGTTAAAGCGCCTACTGCCGAGCCCAACAGCCTGCGTTCAATCCAAGGGCCCCACGTGGTAGAAGGAGAGAACTTCCTCCCACAGGTTGTCCTGTGGTCACACACACACACACACACACAGAGTAAGCCTGGCACAAACCTGCGCTGAAGTAAGGGGACTTGGCTCACATCTGTCCACTTCCGGGTGGCAGTGAGCAGATGCCAATCAAATCTGTTTCCTCATCTTAAAATGAGTCTGAGATAATTCATTCGAGATAGGTCTGTTGTTGTTGTTGTTGTTATATAACTAAAGACAAGGTAAAGGGTTTTTTTAAGCAAAGCCATGACTAGTTGCACTGGTGATATTACATTTTAAACTCATTTATTTCCATTTTATTCCTCTAGTCGAGTAGAACTGAAGAGATTGTGTGAGATTTTCACCCGAATGTTTGCTGACCCTCACAGCAAGGTAACCAGGCCTTATGTATATTCCGTCTGCATGCCTGTGCAAACTATGTAATACACCCCAGGACTGAGAGAGAATTCCCCAGTAGTCCTCATTAACATCTTCCTAAGTGCAATCCTTGGGAACTTACATGGCCATCGGTTTCAAATAAGGAGTGTCGTGAAAGGAATCAGATGGGATCTTTTATTCAGTCACCTATTTGTCTGTCTCCTTTTAGCCAAAGTGTGCTAGGTTCTAGAATATAATATAGTATATTAAAAAATGTCACAGTTTAGGAAATGTGTGTGATTACTTTGGTGTCTCGTGTAGAATTTGTATTCATAGGATAAGATAGAAAAATAGAAGTATTTATTTGTTCCCTTTATTGGAAAACCAAGTTCAGTCCCCCCACTCCCCATGGAATCTGGCTGTTCCCTAGCGCTTGCTAGATAGAGTTCTCCTGGGTGGTCCCCTGCCTTTTGGAAGACAATGGACACCAAGCTTGAGGATTGCTGAGGAGACACCATACAGAGGGTGGAACAAAGACCTTTCCAGGAGTAGTGCTGGACTTTACAAAAGTCTCTTGGATCTAACAGTATTTTAAGTAAATACTATTGTTTGGGAAAAGGCTAGTAAGGGTTATTGATGTTGGAAGAGTGAGAAAATGGAGAAATGATGACAAGAGGGAGTTGAAGGGTAAAAACAAGCTAGATATTAGAGTGTGGAAATGAATAGGAACTAAATTCATTGTGGACAGGATTGCACTATAGTTTCCTAGTGAAGATGGTCTCTTCCAAGTCATACTGGGATCAAAAAAAGCCTGTGGTAGCAACTTGCTTTTCTTTCTTCTGTCCTACCTTGCTTCCTCATAGAAATTGTCCTTGAAGTACTAAATATCCATCCACCTACCCATCAGTTCATCCATTCACCCATCTATCCTTCCATCCATCCATCCATCCATCCATCCATCTACTATCCATCATCCATCTCCCCACTCACCCACCCATTCATTCATCCTTCCACCTCCATCTATCCATCCATGGACCCATTCACTACCCAGTCATTCACCATTTCCTGAATTCCTGCCCTGAGCTAGGGATATGGAAGAACAGGCCAGCCCCCTGCCCTGGAGGCACTCACAAGAGCACAGGGACCAAGCACAGGGTACTTCTCCTGCTTGTTCCTGCAACAGCTCTCACGGTATCAGCTATGAAGCCTGTCTCTGAATGCCTTCCAGAAAGGACAATATCAAGAGCATTAACTTTAAAGTCCCCAAAAGACTGAGTTTAAAGGCCACATAGATAACCAAAAATCTGATCCTTTAGATTGTTTTCTGTGGAGGTATTAAGAGCGATACAATTTAAAGCATAAGCATGCTGTAACTGGTAAGAGTTATACCGTAAGGGATATGTTAGATGGTTTCACATTGATGAACTTTTTGTTACCCATTACCTCTAGATTGCTGATTCAGAAGCAGAATGTGAGGATAAAGAAGGAAATTTGTTACCATCAGAAGGCTCTTGTCCAGTGAGTTGGAGGTCTCAGTTTAGTTCATATTTATTAGACGCCTGAGCCAAGCTAGGAATCCCACCTCTCAGAGCTCACTGACTTTTTTTTTTCCTGAGCTATCACTGGAGACCCCTGGTGGTGAATAGTTGCTGTGATCTGATTGAGGAGGTGTGGGGTGGGTGTCCCAGCACAGCAGCAGGGTTGGGGAGTTAGTGCCGCTTCCTTCCCTGAGACAGGCTTAACCTCAGGTAGCAGCAGTAACCTCATGTTGGCGTGAGAAGTAACAGGAGTTGTCAGTAGCTCCTCCGATAACCCCTTCATAACATCTGAAATTGGCACACGTCAAACTCCTTGACAAAAGCCAGTGGTTGCAGAAACCTGAGTGGGGCTTCTACCCTTTACATCTGTAGTAATGTGTTGAATGCTAGGGCTGGAGTCAGACTAGTATAAAATCAGAACAAAACACCACCACCTCGTCTCTCTCTCTCTCTCTCTCTCTCTCTCTCTCTCTCTCTCTCTCTCTCTCTCTCTCTCTCTCTCTCTCTCTCTCTCTCTCTCTCTCTCTCTCTCTCTCTCTCAGAAAGCCCTCCAGGATTAAACTCTAGTTTATTCTCTTTGTACTGACAGTTACAGGTTTATATTGAGTCTTATCAGTAGCTTTTTCAGAATTCTTAAAAGAAACTGCATGAAACTGGTATTCCTTTGCTGTGGACTAACATGGAATTTGTTTTGTTGCATGGCCTGGTGTGCGGTGGAACTCACAACAGAGAGTAAGTGTCAACTACCCCAACACCCCTACCCACACCCCCACATCTCCACCCCCACCCCCACACCCCCAAACCAATTCTGCTGTGCACTCGTCTCTGATGATGAGAGCAGCAAACGTTGTTAACTAAGTGACAAGACTGGGCAAAGCCAGCACAGGCGGCCTAGTGTCCTTGGACTGTGGAGGAGATCCTGAATGCCGGCCGTGATGTACTTGGTTTTCTCTTGGTGCAGGTTTTCAGTATGTTTTTGGAGACCCTCGTGGACTTTATCATCATTCATAAGGATGACTTGCAAGACTGGCTTTTCGTCCTGCTTACACAGTTACTTAAGAAAATGGGAGCAGACTTACTTGGATCTGTGCAGGCGAAAGTTCAGAAGGCACTGGATGTCACCAGGTAAGCACTCGGGTTGTTTCTCATACTCTAGTTGACATATCTCACCAGTCCAGGAGATAAGAGTTCTGTGTCTTCTCTAAGTTGTCAATATTTTATGAGCACCTATAGAGTATATAGGGTTTTAAATGATCCCTTTTCTAAAATAGAGATTATTTAGAATATTTGTTTACATCTTTCTGAAGGTTTTAGATTTTTGTTTTGTTTTTTGTTTGTTTGTTTGTTTTTTGAGACAGGATTTCTCTGTAGCTTTGGAGCCTGTCCTGGAACTCGCTCTTGTAGACTAGGCTGGCCTTGAACTCACAGGCCTGCCTTTGCCTCCCAAGTGCTGGGATTAAAGGTGTGTACCACCACAGCCCAACAGATTTTAGATTTTAATATTTCAATTTTTTTATAGTTTGCCTCAGCAATTTATCAATATATGATGTAGAAATCTTGTTGGAACTGTCTCTAAATTGGTTGTTCTGGGGCTAGAGAGGGGTCTCAGTTGCTGCTAAAGGCATGCACAAGCACTTAAATTTAGGTTCCAGAACCCTGTTTGCATCTATAATCCTAGCACTGGTGACACAGGGACAGGAGGGTGCTGGGACTTGCTCATTAGTCAGTCCTACCAAGTCAGTGAGAGACCCTGCCTCAAAAAGTAAGATGAGGAGTGCCTGAGGATAGTACCTGATGTTGACTTCTGGCTTCCACATGCACTGTGTGTGTGTGTGTGTGTGTGTCCAGAAATAAATAAGTAATAATTAATAAGAAATAATTAATGCACACACGTACAGAAATAAACAGTTTCTCATCTCAGAGTTTGAAAACATGACAGTCTTCATAGCCCATCTGGCTTTACAGCAGCGGGGGGGCTCTCCAGAAGCCTGGTGTCAGATGTATAGTTAAGGGGCCTTATCATGCCTGGGCTAGAAGTGAATGATCTTAGAAGACACTCCTGGGGACCTGACTGATGCAGTAGAAGGTAGAGGCAAAAGGGAGACTCACAGATCTTTGAAAAGAATAGGAAGTGACTCCCAGGCACTCGAGCATTATCACCAAGGCAGTAACTTTCACAGAACTCAACTCTCACACTCTATGAGAGACCTCAGTTATCACAGCATTTTCACAACATAGAGCTCAGAGGTGAAACGTATTCTCTTGGTGAGAAACAGAAGCCACCTGACTTGCCTAAGGTCACAATTAGTATTGGTGCCCGGATTTCTGGCCTGTGCTTTTTGTCCTCCACTAGGATTGCAGGCTGCCCCGCGTAGGTTGTGTCCTGCCCTCCTGCACCTTCTGCTCAGTTCGCACGGGCCATTCCCCCTCACACCCGTGCTTGCAGCTGCTGCGTGACCATGCCGTGTGGGGTTTGTGCCTGTACAGTCTGCTACCAGCAGGTGCCTTAGCCTGTAACTTGTGTAGTGTGCACAGATTTGAACACACTTTCTTCTGATTTTGAAAGAACTAAGACTTGCATACATTGAGATAATTCTTCTCATTTCAGCAGGAACTGTACACCAGTGCCTTGAGGCCTTATAGAGGGACAGAGCGGGATTGGCTGGGTGGTCTGGTCAGATACAGCTGTACAAACAGCCACACAAGTAGGAAGGAGGATAACTGACATTGTGACAGCAGACACCATTTGTGGTCTTACAGTGTTCCCAGGCTTTATATACGGGCAAGAGCATAGATTTGGGTAACATATTTAAAGATGTTTTTGTGACCCTGTGAAGACCAAATGAAACATATGTGAGTTAGAGTTTGTTCAGGGATGTCTTAATTCTGGTGAGTTTATGAATGAAAGATTAATCCTTTTCAAATGATGGGAATATTAATATTATAGTCCTAAATTTTGGTGATTAAGGAATACAATTGGATGTAGCTCAGTGAATTTTCTCTGTTTCTTCCCCATCCCAGCTCCCTACACACACACACACACACACACACACACACACGCATGCTATGTGCATGCATGCACGCATGGAGAAAAATAGGACTGTAAGCTTTTGTCAGTTACTTTTCCTTGACCTCCCCTCTCTTGTAAGAGTCCTAATTTTAGGCTGGGAGATGGCTCATCAGCACTTGCTCCACAAGCATGAGGACCAAAGAGATTGCCAGAATCCATGTACAAGCCAAGTCACCACAGTGAACACATGTAATTGCAGAACTTGGAGAGCAGAGGTGGGAGATCTCCAGGGTGAGCTGGCTAGCTGGACTGGCCAGAACTGAGCTCTGGATTCAAGTAAGAAATCAAGTCTCAGTAAACTGAGTAATCAAGGCAGACACTCAGAGTCATCATAGGCACACACACGCAGGAGCAAAACCAGAGTAAACCTGGTGTCTCCACCATCCCCATCCCCGACTCACTTAACTGAGATGTTTAGCTGTTCTTGTAGGAAAGGTCAGATAGGGGCAGAGACTGCTGGAAAGATGGCCTAGCTACAGGCCCTGGAGGACTCTGTGAGTCTTATCAGTGATTATTCACCGTGAGCAACTTGCTCCACTTTCTAATCTGCCTTGGCTTCCTTGCCCCTAGCCATGCCTAAAACAGGCACATTTCCTCCCTAAACATACCAGCATGTCTCCACCTGCTGGAAGCAGAAGCAGGCAAGGCTTTCAGCTGTGGCTTGTTGACTACTTGAATGGCAACATGAAAGCACACTTTGTCCCAGATGTAGCCCGCTGTGGCTTCCAGCATATAAATAGATGTGGGAATAAGGTTGCTCTTGGGCGGGTTTTATCACTTTCCAGGACAAGGGATCCTAAGTCTTTGCACGTGTTAGGCAGGTGCTCTGCCACTTAGCTTAAGTTAGCTCTTCATTAGTAATTATGATTAAAACACTAGTTCATAGTATGTTCTTCTTTATTAAACTTTATAGTTTTCTTGTATTAGTTCTTCAATTTCCACTTCAGACTTGGAATACTTGATAACACTTCTTCCTGTATTGGAGATTCAAACCTGAATTCTTAGTCACTTTCTCATACCTCTGTAGGAAGTTTCTTAAGCGATACCAAAGAAAACAGTCTTATCACTCAGCCCCAGGTACTCAACTGTCTTATCTTTCCTTCGATGAGGACAGCGTTACATCCGAGTGGCTTCATTATGCACTTTAAGGCTGAAAGGACTGATGTCCCCTAGCCAGAAGCCCCTAGAATCCCTTGATTGGATCAGACATGTACAGTGACTATGAGACATGAGCTTAGTCACAGGCTTGAAGCAAGAGAAGGGGCTGCTGGGATAGCATCTGTATGGAGCCACAGCTGTGCAGAGAATTTCCAGCACTGAGCGTCACATGGACCTTCTTCTCTGGGGACTGCAGGAGGGTCACCTGCATACCCAGGACTAGAAAAACATCTACTTAGCCTCACAGAGTGGGGGTCAGCATCTTCCCATAAGCAATGCCCAGGGAAGGGGAAGAGGCGGAAGGCTGCCTGCTTCCCTGCATTCTCTGCTTCCTATTCCGTTTTAAAGTAGCTACACAAAAGCGACCTGTGTTCCTTTCCCTGAGGTTTCTGTATGTAAATGTTAATTTCGTATTTATATAAAGTGAAAAGTACCTTGCATAAAAATGTGGGTGTACTTTTATATATACATTCAGCAGGATATTTTGTATGGTTTTATGTTCTTTTCTGTACTAAATTTCTTGAAAAATAAGAACTTGGTTTTGTTTTTGTTTTTTTGTCCTAGGGATTCTTTTCCCTTTGATCAACAGTTTAACATTTTGATGAGATTTATTGTGGATCAGACTCAGACTCCAAACCTCAAGGTCGGTGGCTTCATGTGCTTTTCACGTTTACAACAGTCGTGATGTGTCAGCAAAACGGGGAGCACTCCATCAGCTCTCTGTGGACGTGCTCTCGCTTCTCTTGGCCCTAGATGGCCAGTTCCTTGTGTAGGCAAATTCCTAACTCTTTAAGGATGTGCCAAATTCTCTTCCTGCCAGCAATTGTGCATTAGCCGTTTCACAGGTGATGCTGTAACTAGGAAGGAAGGTGTTCTCATGTGCTGCGGATCAGTGCAGTGTGAGAATACTTTCAATAGAGGGTTCTCTAAGGCATAGAGTCTTACAGTCACATCCTGTATGCCAGGATAACTCAGTTACGTTAAACAAAGGAAGGGGCTGTGTGTGGTCATATGCAGTCTGTTCTTTGACCACTGCCTTTTCCTGTGACTCTAGGATGGGTCTCATAGATAATAATCCCTCTCTCTTGAGATCAAAAACTAGTGGAGGAACTGGAGCAGAGTATGAGCTAGGGGTGAGAATTCCTCCCAGGACCTGGCCCAGAATGCTTCACAGAACTGGCTTAACAGCTGAGCTTAGCCTCCAGGCCAGTGGGAGAACTACTCTCTTTAAGAATTTAGGAATGGGACTGGAGAGATGTCTCAACCCTTAAGAGCACTGGCTGCTCTTCCAGAGGACCTGAGTTCAATTCCCAGCACCCACGTAGCTGCTCACGGCTGTGCGTAACTCCAGTTCCAGAGAATCTGGCAACCTCACACAGACCAAATACCAATGCACATAAAACAAAAACATATAATTCTTAAAAAGAAGAAGAATCAGGAATGTGGGTTTGGAGTGGCTGTCACTCCGTGCAGAAACAGTGTGGGGCAGAGGGAGGCTTCGCCTTCCATGTGTTCACTCTTCTACTGATCACCAACTAAGACTTCTGTTCAGTCTGTGGCATGTACTTAACATTTAAAATCATTGTCTCTCAGGTAAAAGTTGCCATCCTGAAGTACATCGAGTCTCTGGCCAGGCAGATGGACCCCACGGATTTTGTAAACTCGAGCGAAACAAGGCTTGCTGTTTCTAGAATCATAACATGGACTACAGAACCAAAGAGCTCAGACGTGAGAAAGGTATGTTCACAGAGCCGCAGCAGGACTGCAGACTCTTCCCAGGCATGCGTAGCCATTCCCCTGGGAATGTGCACACTGCCCCACACACCTGTGTCACCAAAGCTGTGCTGTTTCCGCTTCTCTGTCCTGCTCTGCCCATCTCTAGTCTGATGGATCAACCTTTGTGATAACAAAGCACTAGTAGTTCTGTGTCTGCTGGTAATGCGCTCTGATGAGGGGCCGGCAGATCTTGGGCTCACTGGCTGCAAAGGTACCCGGGAGTTAAATATGGCTGAAACAGTTGGAAGACACAGCAGACTCCTGACTTCAAAAGAGCCAAATCCTGTTTACATTTGTGAAGTAGAATGGGATTCCAGTAGAATTCAGATTGTGTGTGTGTGTGTGTGTGTGTGTGTGCACATGTGTGTTCATCCATGCACATGTGTTGTGGATTGTGTGTGACCAGACGTTAATCTCAGGTATCTTCCTCTGTCTCTCCCTCCACCTCAATTTTCAACCTGAAGCTAATCATTTCCACTATGGTGACTGACCAGTGAGCTTCAGGGATCCTCCTGCCCCTTCCTACCATTGCTGGGGCGATTCACATAGACCAACATGCTTAGGATTTGCACTCAGGCCCTCGCCATCTCCCCAGCTTCAGTATTCACTCTGCGTGCGTGTGTGTGTGTGTGTGTGTGTGTGTGTGTGTGTGTGTGTGTGTGTGTGTGTGACACCTAACACCAAGCTATTATTGTATTGCTTTAGTGGCTCACAGGGACTGTTTCCTACTTTCTCCCAAAATGCCATATGGAAAGGCATGCAACAGTGGAGCACAGGCTGCAGATTTCTTACGAGATAATAGTCTGCTTCACAGAAATGTTATCCGATACATACAAAACATTTACTCACCCACAAACCACAGTGAGTCATACTGGGGTGCTGTGACTGTCACCTTTCTCTTTCTGCCAGTGTTGCAGCCTCTTCTTGGGTTTCACATGTGGCACACAGATGTGGCACACAGCTGTTGTTGCCCTTTGCTTTATTATAAAAGCTTTGTGGGGGGGGGGTGCGTCATTCAGTGAAGTGCCTGCCTCCAAAGCAGAGGCCAGTCCCCAGAACCCATCTTAAAAACCAGGCTAGTGTGTGCTCACCTTGGCAGCTCCCCAGCAGGGTTCGTCCCTCTGCCATGCAGGCCTCTCCTCCTCCTCACAACTGGAAGGCACATCTGGTTGGAGGCTCTTGGGAGCAGACTCCAGCTGTTGTCCCTTCTCCAGGGTGAAGTTCAGATGCTTCCCTGAAGTCTTAGTGTTCTGTTTCTGTGAAGCTACACCATGGCCGTGACAGCTCTTAGAAAGAAAACATTTAATTGGGGCCAGCTTACAGTTTCAGAGGTTTAGTCCATTATCATCATGGTGAGAAGCATGGTGACAGACACGGTGCTCGAGAGATAGCTGAGAGTTCTACATTTGGATTGGCAGACAGCAGGAATAGAAGGAGACACTGGGTCTTGGTTGAGCTTCTGAAACCTCAGAGTCCACCCCCAATGACACATTTCTTCTACCAAGGCCACACATTCCCTTAGCACCAGTCCCTGTGACTCTATAGGGGCTGTTTTTGTTCAGACCACCAAAGGCAGTGACTCTGGGATGTGGCCAGCCTGTTCTGTTCTGAGCAAGGATGGAGATGGTTTCTTTCAGCCTCAGACTGAGGGGTTTAGATTGACTGATGGAGCCCGGGTACAGGTCAAAAATAGTTACAAGTTAGTGGGTTCTCAGTTATGTACTCTCCTTTATCCATGGCCTGGAAACTCAGTAGCCAATGACATCAGCAGGTATGAACTGGCCACACTTCTGGCATGATGCTTCTGCTCACCCATGGGAATGGGAGGTCCTGAATAGCACTGGTTCCCCAAGAGTGGGTGGGACTCCATGACTGGGAGCCAACAAGGTACTTCTCAGGACGCTAGGCGTGTGTCATAGCAAGCTATAGGAAAAACTGGAAAGTGACACTAAGCAGGATGGAGAACAAGTGCTACATGGATTTCCCAGTTGCTCTTCAGGCATCAAGGCCAGAACATTTACTGACCTATAGCCCCTTTGATGAATAATAATTTTAATTTATCATCATTTTGTGAAACCTCTAAGTATTTGTTGGAAGAAATTCCATTGGCAAAGTGTAACCAATGAGCCACTTTGGGATTCAGAAGATGAAGTAGTAGATGGTTCAGTGGTTTTATTTGATTTAGAGGTCAGAAACATGTTTTGTTGTCATTTTCAAAATGACAGGGTTAACAAATATAACAAAAGCCTTAGAGTCACTAGCCTCCCAACTCCAGGTGTGAAGATATGTTAACGTTTTGTCAAAACAAAATGATGAGACACAAATCGCAGGCTGTTTATGAAAGACCTAGAAGTCTGGGACTTAAGGGCATGGTGCTGGTGTTTTTGCTGCTTCTGTTGAGTGCCCTCTTGATAGGGATGCAGATACAGAAGGGCTTACAAAACCAGCAGGAAGCAGAGAGAAATGAAGTCTTAATAATGCAGTCGTGAGCATGCCCCTGACCTAAAGACTTCCCATCAGCCCTCCCCCTACTAAGGTCTCCTCTTCCAACAGGAGGATTTCTCTCCCTCTTTTCAGGGCTCACCTAATTGGGTCATGCACACTCAGGTTATTTTTACCTTTGTCTCAAAGTTAACCATCTAGGGACCTTAACTATATCTTCATCCCTTCCTCTGAATGACGATGATGAGAAGCATAGCCATCTTCCTCCCAAATCCCACTCACTGCAGGGAATGGCATGGGGCAGTCCTTGCATTGTGCTTCCAAAGCTCTTGCAATGGCATGGCACGTCATTATTTGGTAATTCCTTAGCCCTTAAGTACAGAGGTTTATGTGTATGTGTGGAGGCCAAGCATTGTTCCCTCAGGTTCTATGTTTTTTGTTTTGTTTTGAGATAGAGTTTCTCACTGGCCCAGAGATCTCCAAGTAGGCTAGGCTGTCTGGCCAGTGAGTTCCAGGGATTTCCCCATCCCTGCCTTCCTGATGCCTGCCTGGAGAGAGCTCAGTGGTTAGGAGTGCTTACTCCTCTTAAGAATGCAAGTTCTGTCCCCATCACCACCTCTGGCAGCTCACAACCACCCCTCACTCCAGCTCCAGGGGATCTGTCACCCTTCTGGCTTGCATCTGCATACACATGACAGACTCATCTGCATACACATGACAGACATGCACTCATAAATGAACAAAAAAATCCTTAGCAAAATACAAAAACAGAACAGGAGTGGTTGCTCTTGTTATTTTAATCAACTATGGGAAAGGGTACATGACACACACATGTGTAAAGTCAGTGTACAACTCGGTGAGAGTCAGTTCTTTTTCACTATGGAGTCCTGGGGCCAAATTCAGGTCATCAGTTTTGATCACACTTTTACCTACTGAGCCATCTCACTGATCCCATACTCTTTATGTGAGTCCTCATACTTGCCTGCAAACACTTTACCAAATGAACTATATCCCCACCCCTAGAGATTAAAATATATATATATATCTGTCCATTTATTTACTTACTTACTTTGGCCTCTCTGCAAACTGTGGTGAAGTTCATCTACTAAGTAGGTGTGCCTCTGCCTTCCAGACACTCTCTACTCATTTTTAATCATCCAAGGTGTCATGACTCTGAGTGCACTAGGGAAGTCAAATAGATGCATTAAGACATGGTATTTCCGCCAGACATTGGTGGTACACGCCTTTAATCCCAGCACTCGGGAGGCAGGATCTCTGTGAGTTCGAGGCCAGCCTGGTCTACAGAGCGAGTTCCAGGACAGCCTCCAAAACAATACAGAGAAACCCTGTCTTGAAAAACCAAAAAAAAAAAAAAGACATGGTATTTCCAATATGTGGTCTTTGGCCCCATAAACTACTCGCCACAAATGACTCACTTTAGGTCACCATAGCTTACCACTTCCTGAGCATAGAGTCACTTTTGTTTGAGTGCTCTGTTTGATGTACAGTTGATACTGGACAAATTGAGATGACTTTGTGTCCTACAGCTCACTGTTTTGGCTAGACTGGCTGGTAAGTGAGCCCCCATTTTAGCCATATCTGAGCCCTGCCTCCCTGGTATTGGGGTAACAGGCACATAGCCACAAACAGTTTTTACATGGGATCTGAACTCACGTGCTCATGCTTTCCTGGCCTGCATTTCACTAACTGACCCACCTTCCCAGCCTGTGAAAGTCCTTGTCATTGTGCCAAGCTCACTATGTGGCTGAGGATAACTTTCAAATACTTTTTTAAAAAGACTTAAAATTTTTATGTGTATGTATGTACGTATTTATATATGTGTTTGTATGCCATGTCTTTGTCTGGTGCCTGCTAATGTCAGAAGAAAGCATTGGATCCTTAGAACTGGAGTTCTGGAGGTTGTGAGCACCAAACTCAGGCCCTCGACAAGAGGAACAAGTGCCCTTAATAACTGAGCCATCTGTCTAGCCCCTTTATTATTTTTAAATTATGTATATTTGTGTATCTGAATGTGGTTATTAGCATGTGTGAGCACAGGTACCCTTGGAGTGTACAAGAAGCCATCATCCCCTAGAGTTGGAGTTACAAATAGTTTTGAGCTGCTGACACGGGTGCTAGGAACAAACCTGCTTGGGTCCTCTACCAGAACAGTGCACTCTCAACACTCCCCTCATTTATCCCCATGACCTTGAACTTCTGATCCACCAGCCTCTACCTTCCAAGTTCTGAGATTATAGGCCTATGACACTACACCCAGTTTATATACTTCTGGGGCTCACACCTAGATTAGTGTAGTTATGGGGATCACACCCAGAGCCTCATGCATGCTGTGCAAGCACTCCACCGACTGAGCCATGCCAATGGCCGTTTTGAAGCATTTGAAACTGATGCAGACTGTTGGAGTTCAGATTCATTAATATTTAATATTTATATTAATATTTAATATTCCTTTGTTCCTTTCTTAGCTCCATTTTTAGGGATGTTTCACATGACAAGAGAAGGGTTTTTAATATTTAAGGTATTTCTCAAAACCAAAACCAAACTCAAAGCATTAGAGGGACATTGCCTACCAGACTGGCTGCTAGAAGGCTCCCGGGAACACCAGCACTTCCCTGGACTGGCTTCTCTAACATTAATCTTTTCTTTGTGTAAGTGCGTGTATGGGAGCTAGACTTTAGAGGCCACTGCACCTTTCACAGTTCACTGGAGTATGTTACCATAGAAACAATTTTGCTGTTTGGCCCCTTTTTGGCTTCTACCCGTGCAGCTGAGCAAGTCATTTACTCTCCTGAGGACTTGTTTGTTATCTGCAAGGGGCTGGTAATAGTTGCCTGGGGCATCTAGGGCATCTAGGGCATCTAGGGCAGGCTTGATTACAGTAAGAATCAGATCCTGGAGCCTCATTTGCTGATGTCTAAGGGTTGTTCAGGATTTGCTGCTGCTGCTGCTGTTTAGGAAACAAATTGAAGGCTAGGCTCTTTCCATCACTTAAGAAGTCATGTGATCTATGAAAGGCCACCTAATTAAAGGCAATAGAATTTTCCCCATAAAATGTATTTGTTTGTTTGTTTCTTGTGTATGTGAATGTGTCCATATGTTGTGCTGGAACTCAAGCTCAGGAACTTGGAATACTAGGCACTGCTGTGTAGCTCTTCCAGCCTCTGGGTATTTTGAGACAGGGTTTTGTAAAGCCCAAGCTGGCCTGGAATTTTTGATCTCCTACCTAACTTTTCTCAGTGCTGGAGTTGCAGGTGTACACTCCAATGCCCAGCCAGAGTATTTAATTGCATGTCCCAGCTTCAGGATTCTAAATGCTTATTTCGTATTGTGTCACTTGTCAGTGGACTAGCGGGGACCTTTCCCAGTGCTCGGTAATTCCTTGGCTTCCAAATGTTTTGAAAGATGTGAGAGATGAAGACATGGCAAAGAAACCTAGGAAGTATAAAAATGCCATTGGCTGCATCAGGAAAAGTATGGAATTGGTCTTTGAAGTGTGAAATTCCTAAATGACTTATGACTAAGATGACCCAGAGGACAAAGGCCCTTGGTTCTTAGAGTTTATGTGTGAAAGTAGAGAAGTGACTCTTTCAAGTTGTCTTCTGATCCCCATATGCATGCTGTAGTACATGGCACACCCCCAACACACACACAAAAATGAATGTCGATTTTAAAAGTGTGTAGGTGTGTGTGTGTGTGTGTGTGTGTGTGTGTGTGTGTGTGAGTGAACATAGAGGCTGCATAGCCTAATCTAAAAACTAAGAGTTGTCTCTGAACTTAACCATGACTGTGACTCCTTCTCAAGTCTCACTTTGACCTCTGATTGCCCTTCATATCACAGGAAGCAAGAATTCTCCTCCCCTTAGGGAGGATATGGTTAAATGAGAAACCCAGCAAACAAACCTCTGTGTGCTATCCCTGACTTGTGGCTCAGGGACTCAGCCTTGATGAGCTTCACTCTCTCTGAGCCAGCGAACAGCCTTGACTGACCTCTCCTGCTTTCTAATGCTCCCTGCCCTCTTCTGCTCACCAGTCCCAGCGTCAGCGTCAGCGTCAGCGTCAGCATAGTCGAGCAGGGGACGATGCCCCTACTAGGTCAGTTCCTACTTGCTCTGGGCCTGGAGAAGGAAACTTGGAAGAAAGTTGTAAACAGGTAGATTGAGCCCGTGTACTAATTCCAAGCACACCCTCCTGTCTGCCCTTACATTGTCCCTACCAGTCACCGTTATGAGGCCCTGAGAATTACTGTTAATGTAATGATGTGTGATGTGTGTGCCTGTGTTTAACCACCTTCTCAGTGAAATGGTTCCAAATGTAGTTAACTGCCATATTTACTAGAATAGCAAGGGGAGAAAGACAAAGTCATAAATACCAGGACTTAGGGAGGTGCCTTCCTAAGTACAGCTCCAGGAGATACCAATGCCCTCTTCTGACTTCTGCAGACATATGCACATATGTGCACATGTGTACATACAAACACCGATAAATAATAAAAATAATCTGTTTTTTAAAGTAAAGGGGCCTGAGAAATGACTCAGCAGTTAAGAGCACTCACTGTTCGTACAGAGGACCCTAGTTTAGATCCCAGCACCCACATTAGGTAGATCACAGCCACCTATAATTCCTGCTCCACAGAATCTGACACCCTCTTCTGGCCTCCATATAGGTACACACACTACATTTTCTTTCTTTCTTTCTTTCTTTCTTTCTTTCTTTCTTTCTTTCTTTCTATCTATCTATCTATCTAAATATGCATTGAATTTAACATTGGTATTATTTGAAAAAAGACTAGTGAGTTAGAATTTAAATTATACACTTTCTTTCCTCAGATAAGTGTATTCATATTAAATAGCCAAGAATTTTCACATTGTCTAGGGCTGTAGGCCCACTGTCCTTAAAAGATGCTGCCTTTTAATTGGCATCATGAAAAACTCAAGTTTGTGGGAGGCAATACGGTCTCATTTCACATGAAGCTAGCCTATTCAGGAATCTAGTCGTAGGACTGAGGCTGTAGCTCAGCTAGCGAGTAGAATACTTGCCTAGCATGCACAAGGCCTGGTTCCATCCTCAGCTCCTCATAGTATGGGCATAGTAGTGCACAGCCATTATATTGTTATCCTGACACTCGGGAGATGCACACAGGAAAACCAGAGGTTCCGTCATCATTGGCTAGTATAGCAAGTTCAGGACCAACTTGACACTGTCTCCAAAATGAAGAGTGAGCGTGCAGCAATGGATTTGTGCAGTTCAGGTGCCAGTTTCTACACATAAAAGCTGAGTGTCTGTGCTTTCTTATTGCAGTGACAGCACGCTTGTGTTTTCTTGCTGAAATTCCAGTCTCCTGCCTGTTTTCTCCTCAACATGTGCTTTTTCTGCATGTGTGTGAGGCTGTCCTAACATCTAGTTAAAGGTTTTTACCTGTACAAATTAATTTGCACATTTTTTGAAGTTGGTTTTGTTAGTACAAATTACCTTAACAGTGCCTTTATTTGTTAGGAAACAGATGGTTTTGAATGATGCTTAATTCCAAGAAAGTGGGTTTTGTCATAGGACAACAGTAACGATGTTCTCGTGTGTGGTAAGAGTACACTGGCCACTGTGTCTGGATGGAAAAAGCTGCTGACTAATTTCAGGATCAGAGGAGGAAATGGTGCCTGGGGTTTTCAGTTCTAGAAAATGGAAAAATAATTTTTTGTCCCACAAAGAATATTGTTCTACTTAGTTTCAGATTTGAGCCTATATCATGGAAAAATATCCCAAATACTTGACTGCAATCCTAAAAAGTATAGTCTCTGAAAAGATGCCATATAGTTAAAATGAAAATGAAATAGAAACTATTTCTAAAGAATATAAAGAAACTGTTGTGTCTTTAGAAATAGTTTGAATAATATCTTTTCTTTTCCCTTGACTCTTAGAAATTAACAAGAAATGACTATTGGCATTTCCTAGGAGCATCTTTCAGCTTAGATTTTGTTTGGTTGTTATTTAATACATAGTCTCCCTCTTCACTCGTGGCTAGCCTGGAACTCACTATGTAGACCAGGCTTCCCTGAACTCAGAGGTCTGCCTCTGCCTCGAGTGCTGGGATTAAAGGTGTGTGCCACCATGTCTGCTTTAGCATTTACAAGTCAGCCTCCTCATTAATTCCCAAGTCTTTGGGTTTTAAACTCAGACTGCATACGGCTAACTCCCTTGGGAGCACTTGCTTGTGGGAAATCCCCTGTCTCTTGTCTTAGCTCACTGCTTTCCCATGTGCCACCATCACTGTGAATGTCCCTGCATTGTTTCCCCAGTTAATAAAACACTTTCCTTTCCCAAAGGTAATGGAGTGTACTTTTGTCTATCATCAGTATCCTGTTTGTTTCCCCAAAGTCTGTGCTCTTGGCTCTAAGGCATAAAAGAAGAAATTGTTCATGTGTCTCTAAAATTTGTAGTTTCTTAGTGGAGTGCCCAGATAAACCCAGCAGTGGTTTAACTAGGAGCTCCCTCTTCCCAGGGTGCACCGGGTACACCGCCAACCTGTCCAGCTCTCACTAGAGTGAGAGCACTCTTAAACATCTAGTATGTTTTTATTGTTCTATTTATTGGTTTTCTTCCTAGTGCTAGACAATGAAAGAAATATATCAAGCCAAAGCACTAAAAAAAGAAGCAGGGAATGTTCCAGATTAATGCCGGGGCTCCCTGAGGCTGATGTTACCATTTCCTCCAGATCTCAGTTATACAGAAATGCTCTCCTTGTGAAAGAGCATTAGTGAATGTTCTTTGATATGTACACACATCTCTTAGCCACACCTTCTTTTTCCAGGCAGCACAGATTGTGCTCATCTCTCTGTTTGAATTGAACACTCCCGAATTTACCATGTTACTTGGTGCCTTGCCAAAAACATTCCAGGATGGTGCCACCAAACTCCTGCATAACCACCTCAAGAACTCCAGTAACACCAGTGTGGTAAGTGCCCTGGTTGTGGTAGTCATAAGATGGACAGCCAGCTTCCTTGTTCTTTGTTAATAGCCTGTGAGCCTATGGAGGTTGGGGTCCTTTCTGGTCCTCGCATACACCTGGAAGTCAATGGACTTGGTCCTCATATGTGGCCTTTTTCTTAGGGTAAGGTTGTTGAGTCAGTTAAATGTTTCCTAAGTTTTATTTATTATTCAATCTTTCTTTCTTTGAATCTGTCTTAGATATTTTAACTCTGTAATGAGAGGAGTGTTTACTTGTGTGTATCAGTTTAACACAGCTCTGTTAGATCTTTTTCTCATTGCTCTGACAAGAAGAACTGAAGAAAGGGAGGATTTGTTTTCATTCACATCTCCAGGGTGGCACAGTCATCGTGACAGGGATGACAAAAGCAGCAGGTGTGAGGGGCAGGTGGTCGCATGGCATCTCTGGTTAAGAGGCAGAGAGTAGTGACTGCTTGCTGACTAGTGCTCAGCTCACTGTCTTCCTCTTGTTCAGCCTGACACTCCAACCCATGAGATGATACTCTGTCTCTATTCAGGGTTGGTCTTCCGGCCTTCATCAATGCAGTCCTAAAAGTCTCTCACAGACATGTCTAGTGATGTGTCTCCTACGTGATTCTGGATCTTGTCAGATTGGCAGTTAGTATTAGCCACCCTAAGTGACAGTGGTCATTAAGTTCCAGGGATTCCTACAGAACAGTTATCCATCCATGCAACTAATAATCAGTGGAGGCAGGGACTGGGGTCACTGTGAACAGCTCCTACCCATTTACATATGACTTAAGAGAGGAGTGGTTTGGATTGGATGTTCATGAAAGCCTTTGGACAATGATGTCTGCATTCCTTTACTCCAGGGATCTCCAAGCAATACCATTGGCCGGACGCCTTCCCGACACCCCAGCAGCAGGACCAGCCCCCTGACCTCACCCACCAACTGTTCCCATGGGGGACTATCTCCAAGGTAAGCTCATCCACAGAAGTGAAAAATGAAGATGTCCTACTTTCTGTGCAGCCTGACTTAGACCTAAGTTTGCTAGCAGAGTGCTAGGAATCGGGGGTGTGTGTTCCACTCCTCCCTCTACTTGTGACTGTGTGGTCCTTGGCAGTAACTCCTGTGTTCTTGTGTTGCGTGTTCTCTGTAGTTCTACTAGCTGTAAACACTGAGCCTGATACCTCATAGATTTTAAAACTGAGGTCACATGAATCCCTGAGGAAGCCTGTCAGCTGTGCTCTAAGAGATGGAGAACCCTAGCGGTATTTATTGAGTTATTTATACACTCTTCGGAGTCTACACCAAGCCTGATGTAGATTTCCACTCAGGGAGCCGCTCCAGGCCTGCCCCTGTCACATTAAAGCAGATGCTGCTCTGAAAAAACAGTGGTTCAGTATGTATACCTGTTAGGACCGTCACAGTGGCCTTGTAGAGTCAGGGGCCTAACTTTTTACGTGTTGGTTTTTATTTTTGTTTTTGAGACAGGGTCTATTATGTGGTCCTGGTTGGCCTGGAACTTTCCGTACATATCTTGCCTTAGCCTCCAGGTTGCCAAGATCACGATCATACACCACCATGCCCAACAGTGAGGTCTGACTTCAAAGGAGAAAGTACTCTGTCTCAGGGCTTGTTAGAAGTCTTCATGGCACTACGCAGTCCCTCAGAGTGGTGGCTCTATGAAACCACACATTTTTCTGGACCAGCAAGGGCCACAAGTGCTGTATTTTATCTATGAGAAGTCAAGGTCTTTGGTCTATGAGAATCTAAAAGACTTTTGTCCTGAAGGTACTGTCACAAGGTCTTAAAATGCAATGAGAATATGCCAAATGTACCCTTTGCTGATAAAGGTCTCCATCTGCTGGAAAGATGGCCAAATTTATTTTTGTTTTTGAGACAGGGTCTCATTTAGCCAGGCTGACTATGTAGCAGAAGATAACCTTGAACTCCTGATCCTATGCCTTCACTTCCCCCAGTGCTGGGATTTCAGACCTGTAAGACCAAGCTTGGCACACCAGTGCTTTTAAAATGTAACTTTTTATGAATTCTATTCTTGCCACTAGAGTTCTCTTCAGGCCCCAGTTATACACCACCAATATCATGGAACAAAGGAAATCTGTTTTCCTCTTGGGGAAAGCATGTGGATTTAGTTCGTTTGTTGTTTGAAAGCCTGTGTTGTTTTCGTGTTGCTTTGGATGTGCTCCCTGACCTGTGATATCCAGTCTGATGTTCTATCTCCAGAGTCAGTGTTGTTAGGGTTTCAGTGTAGTGTTAGAATTACACAGGAGTGAGCAGAAACTGATGAAAATACATCTGCCCTTCCTTCCCCAAGTGATTTAATACTAAGATCTCCCAAGTATGGGTTTTATCCTGAGTGACCAGGGTCCAGCACAGACACTGAAAATTGTATGGAAAATGCATATTTTCTATAAATTGTTGCTTAGTCTAAACATGATGCTCTGCACTGTTAATTGGGAAGGCTGTCCTTCCATCGTGTGCAGTTCATAGATCTTTTAGTTATTACATTATTATGTAGTAAGAAAATATTAAACCTCAAATTAAGTATTTTATTACTTTGTTTATTAAACACTTACATTTAAAAAAACTGGGTGGGTGTGCTAATAAAATCCATCAAAGAACTGACTGGAAATTAATCTTTGAAGATCTCCAAACTTTAAAAATTTCCATTAATTCTTAACTATAGATTTATTTTCAATATCAAAAGGTCTGGCTGTGACCTAAATATTTTCTTGTGGCTAAATCTTTTTTCGGGAATTACTTATTTAATGTAGTTTCTATCTGTTTAAAAAACAAAAAACAAAAAGTCCCCCTTCAGTACTTAGATCGAAGGCCAGCCTGAGCTCAACAGGAGAGATGGTTTATCTCCTGGCGAAAACTGCCCCACCTGATTGTATCATTGGAAGGAACACTCAGGCGGGTAGCATGCTTTCTACTAGGGAAGCTATAAAAGAAATGAAGTTTTTGATGGCAGAAGAGTTGAGTAGCTTGCCATATGTCCAGAGGGTAATAAACATGTCACAGTACAGCCTCCTACATGTTTCTTGAGTTACCCTTGAAGCATGATTTTGACTATAAAGTGTTAGCTTTTTATTCCAAAGAGGAAAAAAATAAGACCAGCTATTTGTTTTTTAATTCTGAACATCAAGATGAACTAGGAATTTAAAAGGTTTTTTTGGTTCAAAAGTTCTGTGGTTTGATTATGGGATGGTTCAAAAGTGATGACAGCTCTCATATGATGGTAGCTTCAGATTTGTCCACAAAGGAGGTTCTTTTCATCAGCCCAGTGGTGTTGGAGATGCCAGCAGGCCAGCGCTTTGTAAAGATCTCATTACTAATTAGTTATGAGAGTGGGATGGCTGCCAGTCATTCCCAACTAATGATCATACATGACATGATATTTGAGATTTAGAACGTATCTTATAGTTTAACAAACACTTCTATTTTAGCTCATTTTACCCATTATGATTTTGTGGTAGAGAAGGGAATTGTAGTTCCAAGTGTCTAGGGTCTTGCTCCAGTCTGGCAGATGATCCTGATGAGAGTATCCTAGAACAGAATGGAACTGCATGGTCACCTCTGGGTTCCCTGGCAAGGCTGCCCTGTGGACAGCTCTTGTGTTTCTCCAGTCAGAGTGAAGTAGCACCTATAAAATATGGCAGGGGTTCATAGCAAGCCCGGGCCAGCCAGGAGTCAGGCCTGCGTAGCACCTCTATTCCCTTTGTGCCCTTACCCCCAGAGTGTGGCTTGAAGAAGGGCTTTAGACCCTGCACAGTGATGACCTCTCCTCTCCAAGCTGTATTTTCCCTACAAAATGGATTATTCTGTGACCCTGCTTAGAGCTGCTGACACTCAGTGATACCTGCTGTGAGAACCATGTTGGTTGGGACCTGAAGTTGGTGATGACTCAGTTGATAAACCATGTGCCTTGCAAGCATGAGGACTTGAGTTCAGAACCTATTTTTTAATTTTTTTTTTTAAAAAGACCAGGCACAGTGGCCCATTGGTGTATTCCCAGTGATAATGTGATAAGAGATGAACAAATTTCCAGAACATGTGTGCAAGCTAGCCTAGGTAGCCTACATGGTGAAGTTCCAGGCTGGGGGAGGCCTTGTCTCAAATAAAACATAGAAGGCACCTGAGTGTTGGTGCCCCCTGAGGTTGTCCTCTGACCTCCATATATACACACATGTACAAACTGTGCTGCAGCAGGCCGAATGCTGTGGATCTGCTCAGTAGCAGAAGTTAGAATTTCTCTGGGGACCTCCGCAAACCCAGGCCAGGTGGTGACACTGGGGTGAGCAATAGATACCAGGTGTACTTTAGTTTCCTTTGGATGGTGTGGAAGCAGAGGAATGCCGTTTCATTTCTTTATTCTATTTCCTCCTCTGAGCTGTCCAGTTGAGACTAACTGCCCCATGTACTCACCCTCCAGTGGCACTCTGTCCTCTGAACTCCCACCAGATCCCCAGCCCAGGAGCACTCTCTCTGAAGTGCTGAGTCACAGTAGTGTGGTCCTGGAGCATCTCCTTGCTTCTGTCCCACTTGAACTAAGTCTTGAGAGCGCCACCTCTGGTCCTTCCTGAAATAACCGCTAGGATGGTAACCTGAGCATCCTTAGTTTCTCCTAAGTGCTTCCAATGCACGTCCAGGCCAGGCAGGCAGGTGTGCCCTCTCACAGGTATGTACACTAAGCATGGGATCTTAGTTGACTCTTCATGAGTCAACTAAGTGGTTGGTAAAGAAAAGAATAAAAACAGTCTTACTGAGGAGTGAAGTGTAAAATGAACCTGTTCTTTTTCTCTGTGTTTGACATACCAAATTTTGCTGGAGCTAATTTGATGGGTCTCTGGTGGAGGGTCTTCCTCCTCCCCTCCCCTTTGCTTCTGTGTTTCTCTCTCTGATTTTCCTCTTCTGATCACTGCAGTCGGTTGTGGGGCTGGAGTGCCGATGGGCTATCGAAGCCCCCACCTCCCTTTTCTCAGCCTAACTCCATTCCCACCGCTCCCTCCCACAAGACTCTCAGGCGCTCTTACTCTCCCAGGTAACATGCTACCTGTTAAATTTGTTCAAAATGTCACAATATTATTGTGTTTCCAAGGTTGCCCTGGGTCTTTTGGAAAGCCTCTGAGTTCCTCTGGTGTGATTCCTGCTTGCATTTAATTTAGCCTTGCAGGAATGAAGCCTGGGTGAGCTTCAAGAGCAGGAACAGGCTCAGAGCCAGGCTGCTGCTCTGTCTAAGGACAGTAACTTCTTTAACCACCCAGCCAGACTTGTCACCATTTACCCTCATGGGCTGTTTGGCCTAGCATGTCATTCAGGATACATCATGTTGTCTGGGGAGCAGTGGTAGGTAGAGTTCCCTTAATCTGAGTGCCAGGTATGGAAGAGCTCCACTAAGGATCTGGTGACACCTGTGCTTTCCACAAGTTGCTGTCCGCGCTGCAAATGCCCAGACTGACTACTTTCCTTATACACTATTTTACAGCAACCAGCCCTAAGAGCTGGTGTCTTAGTTTGCTTTTTACTGCTGTGATAAACACTGTGACCAAAAGCAGCTTGGGGATGAATAGCTTTATTTCACCTTATAGCTTGTAGCCCATCTTCTAGAAAAATCAGGGCAGGAACTCCAGGCAGAAGCAGAAGCCATGGAAGAGTGCTGCTTACTGGCTGATTCTCGTGACTTACTCAGCGAACTTTCTTATACCACTCAGGACCACCTGCCCAGGACATGGCACTGCCCGTAGTGAGGGACTTCCCACATGGATCACTAGTCAGGAAAATGCCCACAGAGTTATCTACAAGCAATGTGATGGAAGCATTTGCTCAATTCCTCTTAACAGATAATTCCAGCTTAAGTCAAGTTGACAAAAACAAACGAAACCACCAAAATAGGTAGCTTCATTGTCCCGTCTCCCTAAAGATGCCTTACCGAGGACTGAAGCTATGGTTTCATGTTAGAGCTCCTACTTAGCGTGCCTGAGATCCTAGGTTCAGTCTCCAGTACTGCCAAACAAATACATGCATTAATTGGGAAAGGCGCCCTACTTCAGACAGGACATTATTATAGCAAGCATCGGTTGCTGATGGGAAATGAAGATGCCTGGCACTGGCTGAGTGACAGTGTTACAAATCTTGAATGACATGGCTTCTATCAGGTTTTAACAGTTATGTTCGTGATCCCAAGAAAGTTCTATGATTTCCTCCAGACACCTGTTCCAGGTCTCTTGGGTGCTGTCATAAAGACTGTCATAAAGAGCATGCCTTTCCTAGATGCCTGTCATTGCATGGGCCGAAAATAGGAGGCCCACCTGTCACTGTGCTCGGTAAGAGGTGGGTGTACCCAACTGTGTAAACAGTTTTTAAAAAAAAGGAAAGAAAAAACCAGAGGGTCTGTGAGATGACATGCTCATGCCTGACCATCTGAGTTCAGTCCCTGAAACCCACAGAAAGGTGGAAGGTGAAGCCAGCTCCACAAAGTTATCTCTGACTTCCACATGTACATCATGGTGCCCATGTACATGCACAGGTGCATGCGTGCACAGACACACACACACACATACACATACACACACACGATAATAGATTTTAAGAATTTAAAAAGTGGGCTGGAGAGATGGCTCAGTGGGAACCCAGGTTCAATTCATAGCACCCATATGGCAACTCACAATTGTCTGTAACTCCAATTCTGGGGGATTGAAACCCTCACACAGATAATACATGCAGGCAAAACACCAATGCACATAAAATAAAAATAAATCATCAAAAAAGATTATTAAAAAATATAATTTAAAAAGTAAACCTAGAAAACAAAAAGCAGCAGCAGCCATGGGTTCCCATGACCACTGATGCACAGACTTGTATCTACTTTTCAATGGTAACTGCATTTGTCACTGTTTTTTGAGATTAGCCTTGTCACCCAGTATAGATGTGCTTCATCAGCTGTCCCCCAGCATGCTGGCCTGTACACCCTTCCACACACGGAACCTCACTCCAGCCATCGTCCACGTCCAGGCAGCCATCAAGATTACCATCCAGAGGACATCCCTCTCCAGATTCACCTTTCCCATAAGCCCATCGGTCTATCTGACCAGTTGATAACAGTTAACACACACTGACACCTGGGGTGTGGCTCAGTGGTAGGGGGTTTACCTGTCATGCACAAAGCCCTGGATTCAATGTCCAACATTGCGGGGGGGGGGGCACATAAGGAGAACTTGTGGTAAGCAGCCGAAGAGAGAACACTGAGTGGAGATAGGTTTGGGAGACTAACAGAACTGTTCTCTTTCTCTGTATGGTATTCATCTCCCAAAATGACAGAAAAGAAAGGTGCAGAGAGCAGACTTCCTCAATCTATTTGGTTTCTTCTTGGAATCCTGGCCCAGTGTCTCTTCCCCTGCCCAACCTGGTTCTCCACAGGGCTCCACTGGCTGCTGGAGGCTGCAGTGTGTGGTGACAGGACCTCAGACTGATGACTGAGTTACTCCTCCTAATCTAGACTCCTAAAGACACCCCCCCTCCTTTCAGAATGTTTACAGGTGACAAAGGTCTTTAACCCAACAGATTGTGCCCTGGGGCTTTCTTCAAGCTAAAACGAGTGTCACATGCAAGCTCACCTCTTCAGTCTGCTTCTGGGCCCTCCCCCTGGTCCCATGTGCCATTCCTCAAGTCTCAGGGTTGGCAGCTCTATCAGTTTGAATTCTGGTGCCTACTTCGGTGGCTCACAGATGACTGTAACTTTATCTCGCAGGAGCTGACACCTGCTTCTGGACTCTGTGAGCCCTTATGCAAGCATGCACATACACACATACATGCATATACATACACAAAAATAAAAAATAAAGTATTTTTTAAAGATAGATTTAGGGTGTTTGTCCAGCCCACTTCGTGATGACAGCCTTCCTGGGAAATTTTTTTCTACAAGAAGTGAAGTCTTAAAGGGTATTGATCTTCAATAGATCTATAGAGACATCATGGAAGAAGCAAGAAAAGGGAATGATAGCCATCACTAGAAAGCATTTGTCTCTCACACCTGGAGCGCGTGACTTCAGATTCATCCCAAGGGGCACTTGGACAAGGACACCTCAGGAATGGCCTCAGTGGCTATGGACATGCACGCTGCTCCCAAGTTGGCAACTGGAGTTGGTTCGTTCCTGGAAAGTGAGACAAGACAGCAACAGCTGGCAGAGCCTTTGTCTTCTTTTCTTTAAGAGTCTATTGTGATGGTGCAGTCATTTGAACTGAAATGAAATATTTTAAGGGAGTTTGGGTTGAAATCATGGGGTGAACTATCTGAAAGCCAACATTCTCTGAAGCAACACATGGAAAATAATATTGTGACATCCCTTAAAAGATTGAACGTTTCTCCAGACCACCTCTCGTCCATCCATCACTCTTTCAATTCTTTGATTTTTTTTTTCTTTTGCATGGGCTATGCTATTATCTTTGGTTGTTGTGATTAAAAGTATTTAAGGCATTCTTTTACATCTTGTATATATATTTTATTTGAGTCATAATACTCAGTCGTTCTATATAAAAATAGTGTACTGGTCAGATGTATAAACACTTCTGAACATAAGCTGGTGTTGCAGAGTGTCTAGGAAAGGGACATGGAACATCCTCTCCAGTCATACTTTTAACACTTCTGGAGATTTGCCTTGGGGACAGCCTGTGAACTGAGAATGCTTAGAACCCTAGAGTTCTGCTCAGTTTAGTTTTAAATTACCCTCTCATGGGTGCACACATTGGGTTTCAGCTGCAGATGTGTTCAGAGCTCGTGGTTCTTTTCACTGAGTGCCAAGGCCCTTGAGTTGGCATGTGTTGTCTGAACTCTCCTAATACAGATGATATGTGCTTTCTTCTGTTTATCAGGAAAGGATTCTGTCTGAACCAGTGTTGCAGTGTGAGGCTAGTAGCTTCCACCCATGAGAGTGAGCTCAGGGCTGTTGCTATAGCCAGCATTAGAAAATACTTGGGTCATGGCACCCCTCTAGCAGGCAGAGATCTGGCCAGGCCCATGACACTCACCGGGGGAGGAGCATAGACAAGTCTGATTGTGTTTAACTTAAAAGAAATCTACTTCTTGTGCTGTGCATGGCTTGGCGGTGTCTCACCATTGGACACCTTGTACCTCAGTTCTCGTCTTGTGGAAGAACTAACAATGCTGCTTGCTTGTTTCTGTACAGCCAAGGATTGTCCAAGTGCACCAGTTCCTCAGCTAGCTCAGGACTTTGTAGAAGTGAAATAAACTTACAGCATCTCATCTTTTATTGAATACCTTGTTAGTTACTTTTCTATTGCTGTGATAAAATATCATGACTAAGGAACTTACAGAAAGAAGTTAATTTGGGTTTATGGTTTCAAAGGAATCATGGCAGCAGGAAGCTTAGTGCTCACATCTTCAAACCGTAAACATGAAGCAGAGAGAACAAACTGGGGAAAGACTTTAAAACACTCAGAGCCCAGTGATGTGCTTTTATCAAGAAGGACACACTTCCTAAACCCCCAAACAGTGCTGCTAACTGGGATCAAATGTTCAAATATCAGAGCCTACATTTAAACTACTGTATTCTCATTTAAACTATTCCCTTCTCATAGTCTTTCATAGTCTAAAAGTCCAAAGTCTCCAGAGACTCTAGGCAACTATGACCCCTGTAAAATCAAGACAGGTTATATATTTCCAATATATAATGGCACAGAATAGATACTACCATTCCAGAAGGAAGGAATGGTGGCACGGTCAAGAAATTCTGAACCAAAACAAGACTGAAACCCATCGTAGCAAATGCTGAATCCTCTAGCTCCATGTCCTTGTCTGGGGCTTTCATTTCAAAGGACTCGAGTGGCTCTGCCCCTCCAGCTTTGCTGCCTGTGATGCATATCTCTTCCTTGGACTGGTTCTACTTCCTGTGTGCAGCTTTACTTGGCAGATACCTCATGACTGGCATCGCCAACATCTTGCCCTCTCTCCCACTGTTAACAGATTTCACTCTCACAGCTTCTCAGGTGGCATCTCATAGCCTCTTGCCCTCTCAGAGCAGCTATGTAGGGATTTCCTCGCCACACGTTGTCCTCAGTGACTCTCTGAAACTGAAGGAAGACTCTACAACCCTTTCCCTCTTACATCCCTCATGCCTCTAAAGCCAGTACCACATGGACATCCTTACCTGGCTCAGCATAGAAACGCTTGTATTCAGTTGCTTCTTAGGAGCAGAAAGCTCCTTAGACTTCGTTTCACAATTTGGAAGCTTAGCTGGATGGGGTCTTGACTGAGGGCATCCTTCCCATTGTTTCTGTGTGGAGCATGAGGCCTGTCCTTACCTGCTACAGCCCCTCTTACAGCATAAGTCTTGACTAGTGGAGACAACGTGATGCTTCTTAGCGCTGTTTCTCCCCACAATATACATTTTCTGTTTCCTCTGCTCGCTTGTTCTTCCTTGTAGACTGCATACTGACTGTAGTGCTGTCAGTAACAGCCATGCCACAGATTCAAATCCTGTCTTGAATTTCCTCCACCAAAGAAATTAGTCCATCATTTTTAAATGTAGCCCCAGGCAGGTTCTTGGGACAAGGGTAGCCAGATTCTTTCCCAAAATATCACGAGAACATTCTCTAGCCCAGTCCCTAATACGGGTCCCCTCTGCAGCGTCTCGAGGTGAGCTGCAGCCATCTGCACTGCTCTCAGCACTCCTTCCTGTCTTCTAGAATGTCTCTAGCTCTCCTTCTTGTCTTCTAGAATGTCTCAGCACTCCTTCCTGTCTTCTAGAATGTCTCTAGCCCTCCTTCCTGTCTTCTAGAATGTCTCAGCACTCCTTCCTGTCTTCTAGAATGCCTCAGCACTCCTTCCTGTCTTCTAGAATGTCTCTAGCACTCCTTCCTGTCTTCTAGAATGTCTCAGCACTCCTTCCTGTCTTCTAGAATGTCTCAGCACTCCTTCCTGTCTTCTAGAATGCCTCAGCACTCCTTCCTGTCTTCTAGAATGCCTCAGCACTCCTTCCTGTCTTCTAGAATGTCTCAGCACTCCTTCCTGTCTTCTAGAATGCCTCAGCACTCCTTCCTGTCTTCTAGAATGTCTCAGCACTCCTTCCTGTCTTCTAGAATGTCTCAGCACTCCTTCCTGTCTTCTAGGATGTCTCAGCACTCCTTCCTGTCTTCTAGAATGTCTCAGCACTCCTTCCTGTCTTCTAGAATGCCTCAGCATTCCTTCCTGTCTTCTAGAATGTCTCAGCACTCCTTCCTGTCTTCTAGAATGTCTCAGCACTCCTTCCTGTCTTCTGGAATGTCTCAGCACTCCTTCCTGTCTTCTAGAATGTCTCTAGCACTCCTTCCTGTCTTCTAGAATGTCTCTAGCACTCCTTCCTGTCTTCTGGGCTCCTACTAGGATAGCGCTTAGAGTCACCTCTCCAGCTCACAGTTCCAAAGTCTTCCATGTTCCTCCACATAGCAGCACGGCCAGAATCTTCACAGCAACAGCCCAGTCTCGGGCACCAACTTCTGTGTTAGTTACGTTTCTGTTGCTGTGGTGAAATGCCATGGCCAAGGGAACTTCTAGAAAAAAGTTTATTTGGTGTACAGTTCAGAGGGATTAGAGTCCATCATGGCAGTAGGCAGGCATGGTGGCAGGAACTGGAAACTGAAAGCTCATATCTTCAAAAGCAAGCATGCTGCAGAGAGAACAAACTGGAAGGTAGGCAAGGCTTTTTATTCTCAAAGCCCATAGCCAGTGATAGAGTTCCTCCAGCAAGGCCACACCTCCTAACACCCACACCCCAAATCCACCTGTGGATCAGTTATTCAGACACCAGAGCCTCTGGGCACAGTGTCATTTAAGCCACTACAGATGCTCTCTGAAAATAAGCAGTGTTTAAACTGTCCTTAGTGATTGTCCCACCATGCTTTGCTCTCATTGTTGTCTACCCATCCTGTGCTTCTTGGTGTTTTGGTTTTTTTTTTTTTTTTTAATTCTTGGTAAGGAGAGGTATGGATGTTTTCTCTCAGGACCCTCTTTGTTCAGCATTCTTTTCACACATCTAAAGAACACTTGCCAACAAACTGCAGACACCAAAGGGCTTCCTTGCCTTTTTCTTTTTTAAAACTATTTCTGCTTCGTGTTTTATTGTTATTAGTGTCTCAAAGGATAGCAATTGGCATCACTTTCCCATAAAGGACAAGTATCGTTTCTAGAAGTGTTATACATGTCCATCCAGGAAGGTGGCTCATCTCTTTAAGATGTGCTTTAATAAAAGAATCTAATATTCCCAACAAGCCCCTGGGTCATACCCCATGGGAAGTAGAGCCCCAGGAGCCCAGTGAGGGTAGCTCTGACTCTGCCTCCCAGGCTGGTGTCTTGTGTTTTTTGAGGGAGGGTCTTACTTGTTTCTCTGGATTGGATTCTGGTGTGCACAGCCTGGTCTTTGTGAAGTGGTTTGCTTTGCTCCTCAGAAGTCTCTCTGTAAGCCGAGCTTATTTCCATGTGCCTGTTCCTCTAGAGTTTGTACATTTGAGACCAGTAACAACCAAACCACGTTTTTTCATCTCCAAGATGAGAAAGTTACTTTCCACCTTCATTCTCTTGTGCGTTCAGTCACCAATGTCACTCCTGTGTTCTCACGCTCTTGTGGTTTTGTTGTCTCTCACTGGTTCCTGGGTGCTGTGTGACGTGTCTGGGGCCAGCTTTGACATGGAAGATGGACAGTGGCAGTGCCCTGATAAGAGCTGTCCCCGTTGCATCCCGACTAACCAAAAGACCCCAAATATAATTAGTCTTACTCTAAATTACTAGATCATTTAGGCCCATGCCTTGGTCTTATGCACATACCTCAGTTTTTCAAAAACAAAATGTTTTTCTTTTCTTTTAAATTATAGCATGCTGGACTATGATACAGAAAACTTGAACTCTGAAGAAATCTACAGCTCTTTGCGTGGAGTTACAGAAGCCATCGAAAAGTTCAGCTTCCGAAGCCAAGAGGACCTGAATGAGCCAATTAAGCGAGATGGCAAGAAAGATTGTGATATTGTGAGTACCCTGGCCCAGTGGACAACTCTGTCAGTTAGGTGGCAGCGGACTGAATCTTTCCTACGCTGAACTCACTCCCTAGTGACAGTGTTCTCTACTCTGTTGTTAAAATAACAGTCTTTTTGGAGGCCTAAGGCAACTTTAAGACATTTCAGAAGAATGATTCTCTGCTTCTTGTCATTTGTCTTGGACGTGTTCTTGCCTCTGTGATGTGATAACACGGTGAATCTGGGGCTGGAGGGATGCTCAGTCAGTAAAGCATGAGAGCCCGACTTCAGTCCCCAGAGCCACATTAAAACTCAGGAGGCAGAGGCAGCCTGGTCTACAGAGCGAGTTCCAGGACAGCCTCCAAAACAATACAGAGAAACCCTGTCTCGAAAAACAAAAACTAAAACTAAAATAAAATAAAACCAAAATAAAATCTTGGCAAGGTGGAATGTATCCGAGTGTCTGAAAGACCAGCTCTGGGGACCCAGAGATGCTAGAGCAGTGGTTCTCAACCTGTGGGTCACAGCCTCTTTGGGGGTTGCCCAAGACCTTTAGAAAACACAGATATTTACATTATGATTCATAACAGCAAAATTACCTTTATGAAGTAGCAACAAAATAATTTTATGGTTGTGGGTCACCACAACGTGAGGAACTGTATTAAAGTGTTACAGCATTAGGAAGGTTGGGAACCACTGTTGTAAGGGAGAAAGGTGTTCACTGGGGTCAGAAGTCTCCTGAGCTCTTGAGACAGGTGACGTGATCTGGTGAGGTTGTAATGTCTGAGAAGGAGAAGACAGTGAGCAAGGGCGGTGACCTATTGAGAACATCGTGAATCTAGCTGTGAGTGTGTGTGGATTGCAGGGCCCATCGATCAACTAAACAAGCTTAGAAAATCAGTGTATTGGGAGTTTAGGTCAGTGACTGAGGCCAGAGCAGAGACTTGAGAGGCACTGAAGAGTGAGTCTGTTGTAAGAAAAAAAAATGAAGGAGGAAGTGCCCAGGCACTAGGTAAGTATAGTTGGGAGGAGCCCCAGGTCTGCACAACTGAGAGGATGGGAAGGAGCCAGGGGGTGAGTGAGGTCCTGTGGCACCAGGGATGGAGCTTCAGGGCAGACAACATGCTTTCCTTGTGGGAAGCCCTGTGAACTCCCATGGTACTACCATGTGGATGTGCCATATGTGGACACACAGTGTTCTGTTTGGGGTCATCTCAGTGCTTTCTGTGTTTTAAAAGCACAGCAGTGCCTTGATGAGAATTGAAAGGAGTGAAATTGACAAGAGAAAGAAAAAATGATGAAGTCCAAGAAACTCACATTTCTGAGGACCCCGTGAAATGGAGGGAACGGGTGTCAGGGCCACAGTCCCATTGGTGGTCAGGACTATAGTGTGGTTAAGATGTCGGATTTAATTCTACAAAACCATTGTTGAGGAAGGGGAGAATGTGACACTTTGGTGACTGGGTTGGGTTAGAATCCCAAACCAGAAAAACCCTGCATTACAAGAAAGCGGTGGTGCACACCTTTAATCCCAGCACTTGGGAGACAGAGGCAGGTGGATCTCTGAGTTGAAGACCAGCCTGGTCTGCAAGAACTAGTTCCAGGATAGCATCCAAAGCCACAGAGAAATCCTGTCTCAAAAAAAAAAAAAAAAAGAAAAGAAAAGGCTGTCGGATTTTGATCGGTATGCATAGATATGGTACTGGAAATTGAACCCAGAGCCTCAAGATGCTAAGAGGTGCTTTACTACTAGACCACACACAGCTCTACCCTGACATTCACTCCTATTCTGCTCATCTTCTGACTGTGTTGTCCATAATACACAGGCCCCTCCTGTAATACAGTCAGCCCTTCATATGCACAGGCTCCTCCTCAATGGAGTCAATCAGATATGCGCCAGAATATTCATTTAAAACCCTGTGGAGAGACTGGTTTTTTATTGATGATTGATGTAGGAGGGCCCAGTTCAGTATGGGCCGTGCCATCTCTGGGCTGGTGGCCCTGAGTGCTTTAAGAAAGCAGGTCAAACAAGCCATGGGGAGACAGCCAATAAGCAATGTTCCTCCATGGTCTCTGCTTCCATTCCTATATTCATGTTCCTGAGTTCCTACCCTAACTTATTTTGGTGATGGAGTGTGACCTTAGAGTTGTAAGCTAAAGTAAACCCTCTCCTCCCCAAAGTTGTTTTTGTCATGATACTTTCTCATAGCAACAGTAACCCTAATTAAGACAGGGGAAACCGTTTATTTCATCTTACAACTTAGAGTCAATTATTGCGGGAAGCCCAGGCAAGAGAAGCAAAGACCACAGAGAACGCTGTTTACTGGCTTCCTCCCCCATGGCTTTCTTACACAACTCAAGACCAACTCAGGAGTGGCTCCACTCACAGTGGATCTGGGCCCTCCTCAACAGTCATTAAGTAAGAAGATGCCCTTCAGACATATCCACAGGCCAATCTAATGGAAGCCAATCTCAACTGTTCCTTCTTCCCGCCACATCTTCCATGTGATGCTAATTGGTGCCTGGTTGTCAGAAATTAACCAGTACAGACACATTTTCATCAAAGACGCTGAGTGAAAGATAGAGCCAGCGTATCTGCAAAAGTAGGCCTAGTTTGCCAAGGCAGTACATAGTCACAAATCAGAGATGGTGGGTGATGATTCACACAAGAAATGGCAATGTTAAAAATGTTAGGAAAGTCCATCCTGAGCAATTACAGAGGTACAAGGACCAACTATCCAGGTTCCAGTCTGATTTCAGTAGACATTGTAGCATTGAATATGAGAGATTATAATGCTGTAGTAGATGCTATGCGAGACTAGTGGAATTGTCTGGACACAAGAGATCATCCACTTTACCAGTAATTTATTCTAAGTAAAGAGCTCAGCAAAAGAAAAGAACAGCATGAAGTATCACATTTCAGTATTAATCTATAACCTTTTAAAAAAGAATAATTGAGTAAATTTTATTGGTAGTGTGATTGCACATGATAACCACAAAACTTTATCTACACATGAATTGCTTATGCAGTGAGGAAAACAAAATGTCAATTATATGTATACTGGAAATTCCATGTTTGCAAAATCTACAGGTAGAGAAGGACAGAAAAGAAATAATACACAAAATAGTAAAATTGGAGGGCTCCTAACAAAGTGGCTCAGAGGGTAAAAAACACTTGCCACTCAATTCAGTCCTTGAAACACAAAGGTGGAAAGAGAACTGACTCCGTGAAGTTGTCTTCTGACCCCCACATTTGTGTATGGTGTACACACACACACACACACACACACACACACACACACTATAAGAGAGTTACAAAGTCACACATGAATTACCTTCTACTCAGAAAGCTGCTATTGAGATATAGTCTATACCTTGTTGGTCTGAATTTGTGCAGGTCTATGCCTATATTTTTTTATTCCCTGTATCTTAAATGTAGTATAGAATCTTATTTGTAGGTGTCAATAACAAATGAATTCCAGATCTTCATGGGGTATATGTACAGAGAGCTGCAAGTGTGAGTTCAGACAGGTACCTGTAGACTAGCATTTACAGTAGCTTTAGTCGTGGTAGCCAAGGCCAACACAACGCCAGTGCGGATCAGCAGGTGCAAGGATAAAGATGTGACAGGCCGTCTTCCTGTAACCTAGATGAACTTTAAATGCATAATGCCAAGTAAAATCATCCAGTTGCAAAAGGGCTAGTATTTTCTTATTTCCTTTACTTAAGATACCTAACAGAATAGAATCAAGGTTTGTGGGAACAGGAGAATTGTTATTTATCAGGTATAAGGTTTTGAGGGGATAATGAGAAAGTTTGGAGTGTACATGGTGTTGATGATTACACAAAATAGTGAATGTATTTCATGTCACCTAACCGTATGGTTATGGATGGTTGAAATGATAGGGTATGTGTATTTACACAACTTTTTAAAACGTATAAACACAAAGTGAGAGTTGTATCTTGTTAGCAGCACAAATACAATTTTGTGGGAATCACCAGTATGTTTCAGATTCCTGGAAATCATGTCCAGGTGAGGAAATAGGCTGCCTGCTGCCAGCACTTAGCCCTCATAGTAGTGTCATGTAGGGGCTGAAGAGGCTAATGTGCCCAAGGTACAGGCCAGATACCAGGTCTTGGTCACGTTTCTGTCACTGTGACAGAACACCATGAGCAAACACAGCTTGAGGAGGAAAAGGTTTGTTTGTGCTTACAGTTCCATGTCACAGTTCATCCCTGAGGCGCTGATGCAGAGGCCACAGGGGAGTGCTGCTTACTGACATTAATTATTAAGAAAATGCACAATGGGCTTGCCCACCGGCCTAGCTTCTAGAGGCTTTTTTTTTCAACTGATGTTCCCTTTTCCCAAATGACTCTAGATTATGTCAGGTTGACATAAAACTGGCCATCAGAGCAAGAGTATCAAAAACATGCCAGAGACCATTGAAAGACAACTGTTAAGACAGACAAAGGAAAAGAAAGTTCAGTACTAGATATCCGAAGAATGGAGGAGTAATTTGTGGCCTGAGAGATACTGCTTGTGTCTCAAGGTTAGAGGTAATTTTGAGATAATCTGGCTAACCCTCATTATTATCTCAAAACATCTGTAAACCAAGGGGCTGATTTGTAGATACTTAGACTGCTTTAGGCTCTGAGCAGTGTTTGAGCTTTCTCCATGGAGGTATTGTTAAGGTATCATTGAGAAACCCCTACTGTTGGCAATGGAGCCAGAGGCCACAGTGGTCTGAAGCAGACTTCTCAAGAATGAACAATGGACTGGGTGTTGGTGGCCCATGACTTTAATCCCAGCACTTGGGAGGCAGAGGCAGGCGGATCTCTGTGAGTTTAGGCCAGTCTGGTCTACAGAGCAAGTGCCAGGACAGGCTCCAAAGCTACAGAGAAACCCTGTCTCGGAAAAGCAAAAAAAAAAAAAAAAAAAAAGTGGACAATGAAGGGACTCCTCCATTCCAAGGTAGTGATCCATCAGAAAACTCATAAGTGAATCACGAAAGAAAGAAAGAAAGAAAGAAAGAAAGAAAGAAAGAAAGAAAGAAAGAAAGAAAGAAAGAAAAGAAAGAAGGCAGGTTAAATATATAAGAAGATGTAGGAATGTTCTATTCAGATAGAAATATCAATAGCTTGGAGCTGGACAGATGGCTCTCCATGCTTAGGAGCACTTGCTGTATCAGGCAGCTCACAACTAGCTGTAACTCCAAGAAGAACACACACACACCTACCTTTTAAATTTTTTTAAATTAAATTAATGTCACTAGCTGTTCTTTTGTCGGTAGCCAGCTGGCAAATGAAAATCCCTGGTCCCTCTAAGAAATTCCTAAGCATCAAAGAAAAAGTATGGCCTGGGTGTGGTAGCCCAGGCCTTTAATCCTAGCAATGGGAAGACAGCTAGCTATGTGGATCTCAGAGTTTCAGCCCAGCCAGAACTACATAGTGAGGCCCTGTGAAAGAAAGAGAGGTGGAGGGAGGGGAAGAAGAGAGAGGAAGAGGGGGGAAGGAAGGAGGAGTGGAAAACAATGAACAGGTGTGTTGGGACTCCCAGAGTGACTGTGTGCTGTGTTCCAGGTGTCCCAAGACGGGGGAGCAGCCTCACCTGCCACCGAGGGCCGGGGAGGTGGTGAGATGGAAGGAGGCAGGATGGCTTTGGACAACAAGACCTCCCTGCTCAACACACAACCTCCACGTGCCTTCCCGGGGCCGCGAGCACGGGAATATAACCCATATCCCTACTCGGACACCATCAATACCTATGACAAGACAGCTCTGAAGGAGGCGGTGTTTGACGATGACATGGAGCAGCTCCGCGATGGTCTGTCTGCTTGCCCACCCCTTCTGTGTCTCCTACACACTTCCCTCTGTCATCCCAGGCCTGTGGACCCTGTCAAACACAAATAGAAACACAGGGTCTGTCCTGGTCGGTCATTTGCTCAGAACTGCTTATTGAGTCCCTGCTATGTGCTTATGCCTGGGAGGTCCCCTGTGAGTAGAAACCTATTTGCACTCTGTGAGTCTGTAGTCTGTCCATGGAGGCTGTGCTACTGGGGTTTTCCTAGAAGGCTGCCTGAGTGGAGTGGCTGACCAGGATATACCACAGGGCATCTCATGCTTGCTCTCTGTGAAGACCCTGGCCTGCACTGTCCCAGCTCTCTTAGCCATAAAGGTGAGGTCCCAAAGCAATACACAAGGCTTCCTTTAGTGGTGCAGCACCCAGGGTACTCCCCAGATGTGCCCTGCTGTATCAGAGGAAGGAGGCAGGGCATCTGATGGTAGTTACTTACCTGCCTCATGCTTGGCACTTCGCTGAGAAGCATATGCCCATCAGCTCCTGAGATTAGAGACGATTGTTCTCATTTTACAGGTTAACAAATAGATTGGGAAAGATTAAGATAACCTGCCCAAAATATAACATAGGGATGTATCCAGGATTTCTTCTGAGTACCACGTCAAAACCAGTATCCAGGGACAGAGAATGTGGCTCAGGGATTGAGTTGTACTTAGCACTTATGAGGCCCTGAATTCAATCTACAGAACCAAAGAAAAATCCAAGTCCTGTGTCCACTAGCAAGTGACCAGTGAGTGACTATACACTGGTTTGATAGTGTTTGTACCAGCAACTTAAGTTTTTCTTTTCCTACCTACTCATATTCACTAGCTTTGTTCTATTGCAACTTCATATGACTTTTTTTCAACTTGCAGTTAATCTGTTTTGTTTGGATAGAGTTTAAATGGAGAATTATGTAAATTAGAATTATAAATAATTAACACCTGCTTGAGTGCTTCTGGAATCATGAAATACTTAGATTGTCCTGACATGGTTGCTCCGGCCTGTTGGGTTACAGACTCAGAATGAGCACACTTTGGAGAGGGCTGCTACATAGGTCAGGGGGCAGGTTCAAAACACAAGAGGAACAGAGGACCCAATACTGTGCAATACTGAGATTGAAGACAGTTCTCCAGGTGTCCAGAACAGAAGCATCAAGGGTCAAAAAACAATCCTGGAACTGTTGTTTCCCTGGATTTGCCAAGTGCTGGTCCCCTGGCTGAAAGCCTGGGGTGGCCAGTGTTTGCTGCGGCCCGTGCTTTCTGGGAGAAGTGGAGGGGGGGGGGGTCCTTTGCTTATAGAGTTGCTTCACCACTTACTCCTTTATTGCTCTTGACCAGAGATTAGAGTGTCAGTTACTTCTTATCCACCACCTGTGTACTGAAAAGCTTATGGAGAAAGGCAGGATGACAAGGGCTTAGTGTTTTGAACTTCCTTATGTACTTGCCCCCTAATCTCAGAAGCTAAAGAAATTTGCAATTATGCCTCAGGAGAGTGCTAGTGGTGACTTGTCTGCACAGTTGGTTCCCCATGTTCCCTGTTCAAAGCTGAGTTTTCAGAGTCAGGGCTTTTCAGTGTATATGACCAGGGAATGAGGTGCCTTTGAGCCATTGGATGAGGCTGAAACCCCTGCTGGTAAGCATGCTAGTGGAGGTGGGCAAGCTTTGCACATCCAAGAATGGAACAGATACTAGTCAATGTGATTGTGAGAAGGTCTTCAGGGAATGTTTGCAGCTATAATTGGGACAGATGTAGTCAATGAGAAAATGGGAGGATCTTTGGAGAATGTATATACTGGAATGGGACAGATGTTAGTCAATGAGAGAACTAGAGGGCCTTGGGGGATCTAGTTTGTACATGGCAGTGGGTCTCCTACTGGCAAGAGGCTGTCCAGTAGAAAGCCTGACTCAAGGCTGTAGTAGTAGAAGAGAGTTTGGGGAAAAAAAGATGGGTCTCAAGTACTTGGATTTTTTTTTTTTAACTTCTGTGTAAAAATAGAAAGGGGGAAATGGTGAGGAAGAGAGACTGACTCCCAGGACACTGGTGGTGTGTAGCTGGCCTGGCACTCTGTTCTCACAGCATGGTGAGAATGCCGAGAGTACACAGGAGAGGCCGGCAGCCAAGCAGGGCAGAGTAGGAGGGAAAGTGTAGCATCTGTTACTCAGAGTCATGGTGGGAAAGGACATGGCGGGAGCCCTGTGGCCACCTTCTTCTGAGGTTCCCTGTTTGTCTCCCCAGTGCCCATTGACCATTCGGACCTGGTGGCTGACTTGCTGAAAGAGCTCTCTAACCACAACGAGCGTGTGGAGGAGCGGAAGGGGGCACTGCTGGAGCTGCTCAAGATCACCAGGGAGGACAGCCTGGGCGTGTGGGAGGAGCACTTCAAGACCATCCTGCTGCTGCTGCTGGAAACTCTAGGGGACAAAGATGTAGGCATTCCCTTCAACATGATGCCTTTCCTGATCAGGGCAGACTAGCCTGCAGCAGCCACGTCAGCTCACATGCCCCTGTGTACGCCCAACCAGTGAAACGCCTTTCTGAGCCTAGATACTTCACCACAGATGTTGCCTGGACCCCATTAGTATAGATGGTAGCCTTCCAGCCTTCATTTTCACATGACTTTCATGCAAAATAAAGAAATAGAGATGTTTATTTTTAAATTTTTTTCTTAATTTGCCAGGCGGTGATGGCACATGTCTTTAATCCCAGCACTCGGGAGGTAGAGGCAGTTGATCTCTGTGAGTTCAAGGCCAGCACAGTCAATAGAGAGAATTCTAGTAAGTCAGGGCTATACAGCGAAACCCTGCCTTGGGGTGGGGGGCTAACTAACTAATGTGGTCATGCATCATATGTGTGGACATCAGAGGACAACTTGCAGGAGTCACTTCTTTCCTGCCTCCATGTGAATTTCTGGGATTAAACTCAAGTCACTGAGCCATCTTGCCTGCCCAGAGTTTATTTTTTTAAAGGACCTTATTAAGTGCTACATTTCATGAAATTTCATCTTGGTTCACCCTGTGCCTGTTAGAGCTAATGTTAGCAGGGCAAATGACAGGTTCCCAAGGTGTATTAATAGTTACAAAACAAAACCTTCATGGTGGGACATTTGAGTGAGACAGATCAGGCTTTGTGGCATGCTTGGGCTGTGACTATACCTGGTACTTAGTAGCTACCATCTGCGGGGGTGAGTATAGATGGGGAAGGTGATCCAGTCTTGCCTCCTACCTGTGAAGCAGGCCCCTACCACACAAGTGAGAGGTGCTAGCTGAGATTAAACTTTATCCATTTTTCCACATTGCTTTATCATGACCTAACAGACACAGCTGGAGCACAGGTCTGGGAGGAATTCCAAGAAACTAGCACAGTGTGAGGTCATAGGCCAGACCCAGGGTCACAGTGGTGGCGACTGATGGCAGCAGGCAGTGGGGGGGGAGAGAGCAGTCAATGCCACCCTGGAATTGTTTTCTGACTCTCGGGATTAAAGGTCTGCTTTAGTGTAAGTAAAGATGGGGACTGTACTGCCTATGGAGGCAGTTACACTTGGCTGGGCCCTGCGGGAGACAGGGTGATGTCATGCAGAGGGCAGGTGCTTTCTGTGTGCGTTTGCACAGGGCACAGTTGAGTGACAAGGAATCAGGATGTGCTTCTTGGCTCTGTTTGCAGTAAACTCTGCTCTCTCTTCTTGAGATTAGGCGTCTGTTTGGAATGGCTTTTCTCCAGACACATGACTTGGGCCTTAACAGCTTGAGGCCTGTTGCTTGGGTGACCTCATCACACAGAAGGTCAGGAACAGACACAGGTCTCCAGCTGACCTCAGAGAGTTCACAGCCTGAGAGGTCCTGTCCCTGTGCTTGTTTCACAGAAGGATGACCCATGAACCCAAGCTTCCATTAAGTCTAGAAAGGCTAGAGAACTGACCATGAACTTAGGTGTGCCATCCTCATTTGATCTGTAGTATACAGTTCATTCTAGAAACCTTTACCTGCCTCTCCAGGTGCTGGGTCCTGAAGATGTCACCATGCATCAGTCTCTGCCCTCTTGGAGTTGACTGTCTAGGAAGCCCATGTTGAGTAGACTTTTGTCATCCATGTAGAGAGGCCTGTAAGAGGCCAAACCACCTGGAACAGGGCTTAGCCTGGCCCATGCATGCTATAGGCATGGACAAGGGCCATATACTATTTGATGACATTTCTTTTCCTCACACACCTAGCACTCTATTCGAGCTCTGGCACTGAGAGTTTTACGGGAGATTCTGAGAAACCAGCCAGCAAGATTCAAAAACTACGCAGAACTGACCATCATGAAGACTCTAGAAGCTCACAAAGACTCCCACAAAGAGGTAAGATAGCCCTGTGACCATGTGCCAACAGGACTGGGTTTAGGAGGGGAGGACCCAAGATGAATATTCAAGCTTATAGTCTTTCCCTTCTAACTCAACCTGGGTTATATGGAGTAAAATTCCTACTGGTGACATCAGAGCTGAGGAACTACATGTCTAAGAAGCTCACAAAGTGTCCCTGTGATTCCCAGGTCCCAGCATCTCCACTGCCCTCTAGAGAACAGGCAGGCTACATCTCTGTGGCTTGTACAGGTGGTATAGATGATGGACTCTCAGCAGTCACTGGCCTGTTGCTTGTTGGTGTGTTGAACCCCTATGGTTCCCTACTCTGTAGAAAGGCTAGAGACCTACGGAGTGTAAGGAGCTGTCCTCAAAGTGAGTCCAGGACTGGATACATGGTTTAATTACTTGGTAAAGTACCTGCTGTGCAAGCATGAATAACTAATCCATTTCCAGAATTCACATTAAAAAGCCAGTAAATCGGTAGAAAGAGACAAGTATATTCATGAGATTGCTAGCCTACTCAGAAAGCTGGAGCAAACTAGACCATATCTCAAGAAGGAGGGGGAGAGGAGAAAAGATGGACAGCTCCTGAGGAATGACACCAGAGATGGATGACCTCTGGACTGTGTGAACACACACACACACACACACACACACACACACACACACACACAAGGCCAGTAACACCCTGCATCAACAGACTCATGGAAACCAGAATGGTGGGTTTAGAACTGGAGCAAACTCGCAATGGCGAAGAGTAGGTATGACCCCACCAAGCCATCCATGACCACTTGTCCAGTGCAGCCTCTTGGTTCTGCATAACTATTATGAGAATGCTCGTAGATGAGGGCTTATGAGTAGAGCAGTTCTAATATTAACAAAGATGAGACCCTGAGGATAATTTTTCTCCTGGCCATGGTCTGGCTGCTTGGACAGTTAACTGTTTTGACCTCTTCAGATCGTCATCTGGAGAAGGGACTGTCTGTGTCTCTCTCTGCTGGACTCATACAGTACACCACACATAGGCTCTAGGAACATTTCCAACAAATGACTGAGTCTCTAAAACCTGGGTTGGTGGCATAATGGTGACACTCATGTTTGACCAGAAGGCATGTGAACCAGACAGGCCTAACATGCTCTCAATGTCATTGTTCCCAGATGAGGAAGAAAGGGTTCAAAATAGCCTGCCCAGCAGTTCATAGCAGAACAAGTGTGGACCAGGTCTTGGGTCTCTTATGAGGGACAAGCTATCTTGCACCAACTTGGTTTTTTTAAATAGCTTGTCCTTAGAATCAATGATGAAAAACTGAAATTTGGTGTTGTTTAATATCTAGAATTCAGGTGTGTCCAACCAGCAGTTTGGATCCCCAGAGTGCCTATAGATGCAGTCAACTCAAAATTGTAACTTAAACACTAAGATGGTGTGTGTGTGTGATTTTTTTATACTTTGCTTTGTATACACATGCGGAGACAGAGGAGAGTTTATCAGAAATCAGTTCTTCCATCATGTAGAACCCTGTGAGTCAAGCTCAGACCATCTAACTTCAGCAAGCACCTTCACCTGCTCAACCCCTGCTCTCTTTTAAAACTCAATTGTGTAGTTCTCAAGCATGCACTTTGTAGCTAACAGTATTAAATATGGCAATGTCAAAAGATTGGCCGCACCTGACAGGTGGTAGTAGCTGTTTTGGTGACAGAAGACAGGCTTGAAATGAGATTAAAGTGAGCTAAAGGGGCTGGAAAGATGGCTCTGTGGTTAAGAGAATTGGCTGTTCTTCCAGAGGACACAGGTTAGATTCCCAGCATCTATATGACAGATCTCAACCATCTATGATTTCTCTGCCAGGGAATCTGAGGTTGGCTTCTGACCTTTTAGGACATTAGGCACGGCATGGTGCACATGCTTACATGCAGGCAAAATACCATCCACAACTTTTTATTATTAAATGTCTAGTTAACTAAGCTAATATAATGTCTGAACACTCACTATCCAGCTGGAGCCTGCTTTTTCTTTTCTTTTTTTTTTTTCCAAGACAGGGTTTCTCTGTATTGCTTTGGAGCCTGACCTGATACTCACTCTGTAGACCAGGCTGGCCTCGAACTCACAGAGATCCACCTGCCTCTGCCTCCCGAGTGCTGGGATTAAAGGTGTGTGCTACCAGTGCCCGGCTAGAGACTGCCTTTTTAAACTGGGCATCCCAATACTGAAAACCTTTACAGTGAACTCTTAAATGTAAGTTGAAATTTACTATTTTATTTTTGTTTTCCTTGAAAATGGTTTAGGAAGTATGAGGTTCTCTTAAATTGCCTAGGAAAAGAGTGACGAGATCTGCTTCAGATACCTTTCTCAGTATTCTGTCAGCATAGGAGTCCTGTATCCAGAAGTTGCCATACTGCCATCACCGAGAGTACCAGCGGGACATAGTGTACTCAGGTCTGTGTTGGCAGGCCCTCTGCTTTGCATGTCTGGGCTCACCTTGACTCTATGCCCTTGCCGCTTCCTCCTGCAACCTCAGGCAGTCACGTGGCCAGGAGCTGCTCCGGCACCTGTATGTTTAGATTTGGGTTTGGTTTTCATTTTTCTTGAAAATTCTTCAAGTGTGTGTGTGTGTGTGTATACACTTACATGTGTGCACATGTGTGTGTATATGTGGAGGCAAGAAGTCAGACTTGGGTATTCCTCAAGTACTGTCTCCCTTTTACTTTGAGACAGAATCTCTCACTGACATGGACCTTGACCAGTAGGCTAGGCTGGCTGGACAGAGAAGAGAACCCCGGGATCTTCTTGTCACCACCTCCCTAGTCCTGTGACTAAGTGCCACTGCATCTGGCTTTTTTATGTTTAATGAGTGTGTGTGTGCAGGTATGCTCATGCCTCTGGGTACGTGGAGGTGGAGGTCCACGGACAGTCTCAGAAGTCCCTTCTCTCCGTCTCCTCTGAGCTCCAGGGATCAAACTCAGGTCATCGAACTTGCACAGCGAGTACTTTTGTCTGAGCCATCCTGCCAGCCCATGTCTGGCTTTTTTATGTGGTTTCTGGAGATTAGCATTAATTCCTGTGTGAACCTCCTCCCCTCCTCCTCGTTTGAACCAACCTGTCTCCATCCCTGGTCTCTGATCCTCAGGGTTCTTCGGAGCAGTTAGCTCCCCATGCAGTTCCTGTGGTGACTGCACTGGTAGCATCATTTTGGTTTAGTCTTACTGTATTTTCTACATTTAATACTTATAACTCCAGACGTGCTTAGAAGGGATCCATGGTGCTTTTAGGTTTCTATGTCCATCATCCAAAAACAAAATCTGTTTGTCTGTCTGGTCAACACTTCCAAAGTGTGCACATCCCAGGGGCCCTCTCCTCGTACTGCCCTCTCTGAAGGAGGTGATTTTACATTCCCCAACAAAACCCAGGCCTTTGGAGATGAACACACGTCCTGACATGCTCACACGGAATTGCTCCAAGAGGCTGGAACACCAGCCATCTTCCCTGCACAGGGTCAGTGTCCCACACTATAACTCTGGCTGTGGAACTGTAGCAGTGAAAGACAACTTCTAGAATCCCAACATTTTGAAAGTGAGATGTGTCTAGAGGACTAGAGAGACGACTCAATAAGCAAAGTGGCATAAGGGCCTGAGTTTCAAATCTCAGAGCCCATAATACCCAGGCTTAACAGCATGTGTGTGTGTGTGCTCCCAGCACACCTCTGGCATGATGCAAGGCAGAGGCAGGAGAATTTCTGTAGGTTTAGAGCCTAGCTCAGAGCTTTATTGTAAAAGCTGGTGTTTGTCATCTTAGATACAGTCCTTTCATAGCTCTCTCTGAGTAAGCTCCTATCTGAGTGGACAATGCTGAGTTTTCGTGCCTGTAACATTTATGAAGTTCCTGTGTTTTGTATTGGTGTTCACATTCAGCAAACGCCTTAAAGGGCCAAGCTTGATACGGTGACCTTTATGATGGTTTCATTCATGTGAACATGCTTCTCCTTTTACATCTTTAGTCTTTTTGCAGGAGCTGATTGAGACTCTCTCCTTTGACCAGTCAGTAGAAGGGTTTAGGAAGAGAACTGACAGCAGGGCCTTCTGAGACTGGGGGAAGACAAACCTGCATATACAGGACTGTTGGCGAGAGTCAAGGAATAAATAAAGACAGAGCAGTTTCTGTCTGTCCCAGTGTTTTGTTTTGAGACAGAGTCTCACTGTGTAACCAAGCGGGCCTCAACCTTCCCTTCTGCGTGCCCAGACTCGGCTCCAGTTCTGGAAGCTGGAACTGTCCGATCCTTAGAGGTTTGGTTTTGCTGAGGGGAAGGGGAACTTTGTCACATTGGTGAATATTCAGTTACATTTACCTACTCAAAGAGGAAAATGTTAGCTGGGCACAGCGGTTCATACGTGCAAGGAGGTTGAAGCAGGAGGTTCTCTTGAACCCCAGAGCCAGCCTGGGCAGCATGCTGAGACTCTCCCTCTTAAAATACGGCTAAGGGCCCTTATGCATAGCCTGACAACTGCAGCCTGGGACCCACGGGGGAGTAGAAAACCAGCTTCAGAAAGTTGTCCTTGGACGTCCACACACACTGTAGCACTGTGGCAGGTGCACATACAAGGGGGGAGGGTATCTTTGAAATAAGAAAGATAAATAGTAGTGTCATTTCATGTCACTGTAATGTCGCCAGACATTTCTAGTTGCACACCGTAAAGAATCCAGCTTTATGTGGTGTGGCTTATTTGAAGGAATAGATTTCTTAGCTGAATATTAAATAAGTATTCTGTCTCTGGAGGTTTTGTTTTTAAACCTTTTCCAGTTAAATGTTATTTTTTTGTGACTTCAAGGCATCAGAAAAGCAAAATCAGATCAAACTCACTTGAAAATAGATGGGAAAAGAAAGCTGTGAGGCTGCCTGGCTTCCCCAGCAGTGGGTGGGTTTGATCAGTCCTTTGAACAGACACCCGAGGCCAGAGCAAAGGTGAGAATGCCAGAGGAAGCTTTCTCTGAGGAGGGTCCTCCT